GGCTCTATTGTGTAAGACCTGCAGACTCGATGACTCGTTCATTCGATTGTGACCCGTTTAGCTCAACACCCAACTGTATCCATTCTAAATCTCACTTTAGTGCTCATTGAAGTACAAAATGGGTTCAGCCAAGGATTGAGCAATATTGGAGAAAAAATAAAATAAATAAGAAAAATGGAATTATGGATACACCGAATAGACAGAATATATAGATTAATTGAGATACTTCTTATATATTTTATGAAATAGCTAACGATTTTTTACATAGATAGAGAGGACAGGGAGAGGGTACAGGCTAATAAGAGCTAATTATATATTATATATTAGACATTTTTATTATGGAATACTAAAGAGTTTTCCATACCAAAAAAAAAAAAAAAAGAAACATTTATCGAATTAGGAGTTGAAGAAGGTCAACAGAAAAAACCTTTTGAAGGATTTTCGCGAATTGGAAGAATCATGAGCACAAGTGTAAATCTAATGAGGATTGCTTTAAAGGAGACAGAAATTTATGAATAGAAAATCCTGATACTGTTTGAACAGATCTACTATATATATATATATATATATATATATATATATATATATATATAGCACCCGCAGCATCCCTATGAGTCGCTATGCTGGGCTAGTGTATCTGGACTTCGATGTCTTCGCCATATATACATATACATATATACTTATACATATGTATATATAGCACTTATTTAGCTTTCGTTTATTGTTCGTCGTATTAAGTTTTGCTTGTTTTTAATGCGAGCCGTGAGCTAAGTAAAGGGGCTAAAGCTGGAGCCTAATTAAGACCACGTTGTGACGTTATATAAATGGCAATAGCGAAAAAATACAAGAAAACAAATAAAAACAAATAAAACCAGAAAAGAGTACGAAAAGTTAAAGCCAAAAACCGAATCCGAAATGCGATTGCATATGCGATTGTTTTTCTTTTGTTGAATTGAGTTTTTTTTCTTTTGTATACTCGTTCAGCAAGTGAAAGACGAGTATATTCGTTGCATAGAATTGTAAACTGTAAGTTAGACACATAGAATCACAGATTTATAGATAGCATTACGAATTTATCAACAAATATGGGCTGAATATTACGTAATTGGAATTGCCTGGCAGCGAGGTTCTTAAGGTTTTCAATTTTATTATTATTTGACTCGAATTGAGTTTCTTTTTTCCTGCGAGAAAGTTGCGTTCGTTATTGTTTAAAAGAAAGCTGAAGCTTTGCATACGAGATCCGTTGTAAAATAATGAAATAGGGAGGCCTCCACGTATAAGGTATAAAATAACCCATATTGTCAGTTATTCAATATGGATTATGATATAATGTGTAAAGTATACGATGCAAAATGAGAGACTTGTACATATATTAAGTCTTGGTATGAGTTTAAGTTTAAGTTTTCGTATGAGGCACAAAAAGTAAGCTATAAGGCATACGATATTTCATAAAAGTTTTAAGAGTTAAGTATAAGACAGTCAATATCCTAATGTAGCATATTTAGTCAAAAGTATAAAAAAAATTGGTATAAAGTTATAAGAATTGGTATAAAATATTAGAGATCGGCCATAAAGTACAGAAGTGCAAGAGTGTTGCTATCATAAATATAATATTTGGTATATGGAGTAAGATATGTGGTATAAGAAGATTCGCTTATAGGTAGCTGAGGTATAAAGCGTAAAATGTGAAATATTTGGTTTGAGCAGCAGCCAAATCATTGATACAATCTCTTATATATATGGTCCCTTATAATGTACAACAGTTATGCTATAGGTATGATATTTATGTATGGTATAAAGTAAAACCGACTTTGTATAATATGCAAAATGTAAGGTAGATAGTATCCCATATTTCCTCAAGTTTATATGACTTTTTATATGTATACCAAATGAGAGATATCGTATAAAACATAATAAAGCCTATAACTTTTCTTTGGTGTAGCTGATTTACTTGAGAGAGATTTGGGGTAAGCTATAAGCTACAATATACAACCACAACAACCTATGTTTAAATCTATCTTTAAAGTACATGAGTATGAGATAAGCTAAATGAAATTATGAAATATGTTAAGTTAGCTAAACAAAACTTGTGGAGCGATCAAATAAATATTTAAATGATTTGATTAATTGAGCAAGATTGAGAAAATCGCAAACTGACAATCAAGCTTACGGAGGGTTCACTGTAGTCAAAACGATGTCACGAACTTCAATGGGTTCTACGGCAGCGGCAAGGTCGGCATAATGATTGAATTCGCATGCTTCGTGCAAATTGCAACAGCTTATGCAACAACAGCGACAGCAGCAACACCGACAGCAGCAGCACCGACAGCAGCAACAACAACAACAACTGCAATTTGATAAATAGATAAGCGATAAGTTTTATGGCTGGATTAGCCTTGGTTAATTCGGGATTTGCTTTTAAGCGAACGAGACATTTAGCGGCGGCCAAGCAAGCGACGGACGTTGCTGCGGCTGCCACATTAATCTTCGCCTGCCACAAACCTCTTGCAGCTCGCGCTCGCAGTCTGAAGTTCACAGTTCAATTGAGCTTTACCGCTAATTAGCTCTGCCCGCTGGCCGGCCGGTCAGGTGGGGCAGGGCTAGTGGCTTGAGCTAGGGGGCGGTGTCAAGGGGCATGCGAGATGCGACTCATGTTATGTAGTTGGCTGATGCCAGCCATGCCATGCCATACCATACCATACCATACCATACCTGCCCGTTCCCCTTCCCCTGGCCGCTGCTGTGGCCATTGCTGTTGGCAATGCTATTAAACTGGCGCCAAAGAGTAATATAAATTATATATGTATATATAATAATAATATATAGCTATATATATATATATACCTCTCTGTCTTATTTATTGATTTTATTTATATGAGGTTGCTGTTGCTCCATTGCTGCTGCTGCTGTTGCTATTCATTGTTGTTGCTGCTGCTGCAGTTGATGTTGTAGTTTCAAGTTTTTCTGCTGTTCAAGATATTGCTATTGATATTGCTATTTATTCTGCTCTTGTTGTTCCCATTGTTGCGGCAACAATTGCTACGCAATGCTGTAGCTATTGCTGTTGCTGCTGTCGCCATTGCTGTTGCTTCCGATGTGGTAGCTGATGCTGCTACAATTGCTGTTGTTGGTGCTCATATTACTGCTGCTCGTAGTTGCTGCTGTTCCTGCTGCTGTTGCTGCCGCTGTTCCTGCTGCAGTTGCTCCTGTTACTGTTGCTGCTGATGCTGTTGCAGTTACAGTTACTGCTGCTGTTGTTGTTGCAGCCGCTATTGCTGCTGCTCCTGCTGCTGTTGCTGTTCCTGCTGTGGCTGCTGCTGTTCCTGCTGCAGTTGCTCCTGTACTGTTGCTGCTGTTGCAGTTGCAGCCGCCGCTATTGCTGTTGCTGCTGTTGTTGTTCCTCCTGTTGCTGCTTCTGCTGTTGCAGCTCCTATTGCTGTTGCTGCTGCTCCTCTTGTTGTTGCTGCAGTTGCTCCTGTTAATGCTGTTCTTGTTGCTGTTGCTGTTACTGCTGTTGCAGTTGCTGCTGTTGTTCCTCCTGTTGCTGTTGCTGCTGCTGTTGGTTTTCTGCTGCTTCTCTTGTTGCTGTAGCTTTTGATTCTGCTAGCGCTGTGGCTGCTTGCTGCTGTTGATATTGCTGCTGCAGCGCTGCTGATAAGGCTGCGTGATATTGCTGTTGTTGCTGCTGCTCTCGCTGCTGTAGATATTGCTGCTGTTGTTCTTGTTGTTGCAGCTGATTTTGTTGTTGCTGCTGCCGCTGTTTCCGTTGCTGTTGCTCTTGCTGCTTCTGCTGCTGATGCTGCGTGCCTTTGCTCTTGCTGCTGCTACGGTTCTTTTTGTTGTTGCTGCTTCTTCTACTGCTGCGTGCTTTTGCTATTGATGTAGCTGCTGCTGTTTATTTTGTTGCTTGTGTTGTTGTTGCTGCTGCTGGTGCTTTTATTGTTGCTGCTGTTGCTATTGTGGTTGTGTATCCCACAATTATGTCAGCTGCAGTTCCATAGTCGTAAATTTACGCCGCTCGTTCAATCCACATTCATTCATTTGGCACAGCCAGAGCGGGACAGGTAGGCAGGGGGCGGCAATATATTGCTGCTGCTGCTGCTGCTGTTGCTGTTGCTGTTGCCTTTGCTGCTGCTGCTGCTGCTGCTGCTGCTGCATGTGGCAGCTAGCTGGCGAATTGTGACAATCCATTAAAAGCAAATATGCATTTGGAATGCAGATTTAATGGGAAATGCACATATTGAAATTTATGATACCACTTGATCTCGCTTGAGTGTGCGAGGGTTTTTTTTTTTTTAAATTTATTTCTTTATTTTTTTTTTTATATCTTAATCAGATTCCTGAACGTGGAGTTCATTAGTTATATGCAGTTGTTATGCAGGCATGTTCCGCTTTTCACTTTCGACAAGAATGTTCACGCGAAATGCCTTTTAGCGCTCGCTCATTTATTCATTTATTCACGTTCTGGCTGTTCGACTGTTACGACTCTTACATATTGTTTCAATTGCAATTCGTTTATCTGCATTCATTAATTTTAATATCTGTTTCATATGCATACTGGTAAATGGAATGCGGGAATGAAACACTCACAGTAACCATTTTCCTTGATGACCTGTGCCAGACTTTTCATACATATTTGAATGGTTCAATAGAGAATAAAATGCTGGAATGAAACACATTTGTATTGGCTTTAGTGGGAAATGTATGGCCCAAAGGGTAGAGATCTAGCGAGAATGGAACAGTTGGTCACTAAATTTGTTCTCCCACTTCACACTTCTATTTTTGCTCTAACGTGGAACGCTGGAATGAAACAGTTAACTATTTTATTTTGATTTTATTTAAATTTTTTCACTCTACTTCATTTACACCTTATACTACACTCCCGAATATTTCGCAAGAGGAATGCGTGAATGAAACACCCGATATGCTTTAACTTACTGTAAGATTAAAATATGTCGACGTTTAATTAATGATATCTTTTCTTTCGACTCTCTTTGCAGAACTTTAAAAACTTCAGAAATAACGAGTGAAAGTTTTAACTGAGAGACAAACAGAGGGAGGGGAACAACGAGAGAGAGAGAGAGAGGGAGAAAGAGGGTGGGAGTGGGAGTGGGAGATCTAGTAACGATACTCTCTCTCTTATCCAAACGAACGAGACAATGCACGACTCGCCGGTGTTGGGCCAACGCTAAGTGAAGAGCGTGTTAAGTCCATGCACGACAATTAGTTACAAATTGAAACCCATTTTCCCCCTGCAAGCTGAAACGGTGTTGAAAAACGCGTAGAAGAGAAACGAATACAAATACGAATAGAACGAGTTGAGAATCGAGAGATTCAATAAAACGATCGATTAAACCTTGGGCGCCATGGCAATGCTCGAGGCGCGGCCGTACAGGCCATTCAAGTCCAGTGAAGAGTACCTGGAGGCGATGAAGGAGGATCTGGCCGAATGGCTGAGCACCCTCTATCCGGAGCTGGAAATTAAGGCGGAGAATTTTATGGATCGCCTGGATACGGGCGTGGCGCTCTGCAAGGTAAGCTCATTTTAAATTTAACAAGCACTCTAACTTGCAGTTAAGCAAGTGCTAATATACATGCAGCTGTTAATTTAACTGTCTGTTAATTAACATGCAGTTGACATTAAGTCTCAAACCACATCAAGAGCAGTAAAACTGTATTAGCTTGTGGCTCGAACTTTTCGCCGCGCTTCAATTGAATTAATTATTGCGCCAAGTGCAGCTGCCTGTCAAATGTGCATATTTATATTTAGCGAGTAGTTGCTACATTTATAGAGTTGCCAGCTTTTGGTTTTAGCATGCAGTTGACATTTGTCTCGAGCAACATGAACTCTGGCAGCCAGCCGGGGCTAGTACTTGATTAGCGTTCACTTCAAAGCTGTTGTGCTGTGTGGGCGTGGCCGGGTGCCAGGTAGTGTGGCCCCTACCTTTGCTTATTTCACATTTCACATTTCTCGATATTGTTTTTATGGCCCGCAGCTGTTCCATTCGACCATTCGATGCATAAACAAAAATGTGAAATGTGAAAAGCTCTGGCACACACATTTCACGCAGATGATGCCGCCACCTGCTCGGAGTTTTTGACTCCCGGTTACGGCTACGGGCTCCTCCGACTCCGAAGCTCATAAAAGAAAAATTCACATTTGCCTCTGCAGCGCTTCATTGATGTTTGTTTGCTTAGGTGTTAAAAGCGCAAGCGATTTACGAATTCACGGATGCATTTGGGGCTAGCGTTTTATAGGCCAGTCAGTCAGTGGGTAGCTGTAGTTATGATGGGCATGCACCACTGCACCGCTGCACCACTGGCGCACGCTAGAGTTGCTTGTCTACTCGGTACGGACATATCCTGGCATTAACCTAAGTTGAGTCAAAACTCCGTACTAAGTCACACTCACACACACACACACACACACTCACCTGCACTCACACACCTAAAGAGGCACCGTTTGCAGCTGAGGTTACCCGCGTTCGTTGTGCCTGAATGCAAATGTGTTTTGTGAGTGCTTAAAATGTTAGCATTCCTCTGCTGTGTGCCTGGGCCTGGGCCTGGGCCTGGACCTGTGAAGTGGCCAGAGCTAAGTTTCTGTTTCACTTGCTCCAGTTTATGGCTTTTTGTTTTTGTGGCCATTCAACCTCAGCCTTATCGAAGCCATCGGCTAGGGCCTCAGCCAGCCAGCTACTTAAAATAGCTGAAGCATCCATAATGCATGTCGCCCTTAGCTCCAGCCATGCCAAACTGGAGCAACTTTTATCGTCTGCTTTTATCCTTAGCATAAATTCTGATGCATCTGCTGTTGAGCGAACTAATCAGCATCTAGACTTTAATTAGCTTAGTGAGAATTTATTATTACAAATTTGTATTCTGCTCAAGTTGAACTCAGAAACCTTCTGCTTGACTGCTTTAAAAGCACTTGAAATTATTTGCTTGTTAAGTTCATGTTAAGTACCTGCTTGTTAATTACAAATTTTTATGGCTGTGTAATCAGCTCAACCTTTATTGTTTTTTTTTTTTAGAATTTCAGTTTGTAAAGCTCATGTTAAAAAGTTGCGAATTTAATTGTAAATTTACAATTCAGTTCGTCTTTATTGTTGAGTTTGCAATGTGGTTTACTCGACTCCTTGTAAGCTAATAGAAATATGTTCTGCTTATATAAAATATTTTTGTTATATTATTTGAAAAGCTCATGTTAAAGCTTATGTTAAGCTAAGCCTTAGTTTAATAACTGTTGTTCATTGATTAGATTAGCATTGATAAGATTAGCATAGCAATCTTAAGTAACTGTTTTTCAAATTATCAATTTGTGGATTCTTTATATTTGGTAAATGATATATTATACATCATATTACATAGATATTATAGGAACTTGACAAAATTTCCTAGTCCAGACTTGAACTCGAACTGCATTTGTTTAATTCTTTGGCTGTGCTTCCTGGCCTATAGCTCATATATGTATTTCTCTCTCTCTCTCGCATACCATCTGCCTTGCTCACCCTCACCCTCTCCCCCCCCTCTCTCTCTCTCTCTCTCTCTCTCTCTCGCTCTCTTGCACTTTTTTGACTGCAGCAAATTCCATTATGCCACTTTTAATTACCGATGCGTTGCCGTTGCCTGTTTTGGTTTTGGTTTCGGTTTCGGTTACGTGGCGCATGCCATAAACCTCTGCCCATTGCCAGGGTGTGCGTGTGTGCATGTGTGTGGTTTGTGCCATTGCCATGCTTGTTGTGATTATGGGCGCTGAGTGGCGCTGCCCGCGGCTACTGGCGCCAGCCTCTGTGCAGCGCCGACGACGTCACGCTGGAGGCCAATAGCCAAGACCTCAACGCGTAGACAATTTGTCTTGCCTGTGTTGCCTGTGTTGTCTCTGTTGTTGCTGTTGTTGTTGTTGTTGTTATTGTTGCTTGCTTGCTGCTGCGAAGACCAACTGAATGCAGTGCAAAGCTGCGCTAAGGCTGAATTCCTGCAACAGAAATTCATATCGGGCACGCGGCATCTTGTGGGCTCTCCCGCTGTGCCGCATTGTTGGCGGCTCGCTTGCTGAAAGCAGCAAGTGAGAGTGCTCTAGGCGCGTGCCTGACTGACTAGCGGATACCCTGTAGATGGCAAGATGCCTAGATTAGTTGGGCCTGATCAATGCAAATGTATCGATGTATCGCACTTGTGCTGTAACTAGCTATCAATTTTAGGGAGGAAATACCGCAAAATGAAAGATGAATTTATGTAATAATAAAAAAAGATGCAATAAAATAGAAGAAAATATATTAAATATTATTTATGTAATGCAATAAAATAGAAGAAAGTATATTTAATATTATTTATGTATAAATAATATGATCAACTGAGTGTTTTTACCCGTTATATACTGGTATATATTATACAAATGCATATATCACATATTGATATAGCTCATCCAGCGTCATTACTAACAACATTTCTCTCGTGCATATTTTATATAAACATCCAAAAGTACAGGGTATTTGAAGGCAAACACTTGAATGCGTACCAAGAAGTTTTCACAGACTTGCAGCCAAACTATGCTGACATCGATATATATCGATTTTAAGCACTTACGTGAGGATTTACGAGTTTTGTATAATCGAAATCAAATATATGTTTATATATCAGGAAATGCGTGAGCATATCTAGCTACATACATATATATAATCTGTATAGAAATCTGTTTCTGTCTACATCTACAAGGTATTACAGGTATTTTCAATAGATACCGTTATACTTCATGGTGTCACAGCAGTCAGTTTCTGTCTGTCTGTCTGTCTCTTTAGTGGATGTATGGAAAAGAAACAGAGCGAACTCCATAGACCACGCCTTGTTCTTTGGCCTTTTTTGTTGGGGGTGTCTGGGAGACGCACGGATACGGGTGCTGGGGTAAATTATATCAGCTGCATATGGTGATGGATATGCGTGGAGCATATAATCATAAAGTTGCTTTGATCTGCGGACGGGCTGTCTTTAAATACACAAAATGAGCAGCATGCATAACTCTATATATTTATTTATCCAGTCCGAGAGACACGAGCGTGGCATTTCGATTTTGCATGTCAAGAGATGCAATGAGAGGGCGGCTGGATTGGCGGGGCGTGGTGGTGCGGGGAGGGCGGCTGCCGCTGCTGCCGGAAATGTCATAAGCATAAATTTAATTTTTGATAATTGTGTGTGTCGCGAAGCGTTAATGGAACTTTAATTGAAACTCACGACACGACGTGGCAGCAAACGCAGATACTTTGTATCTTGTGGATGCGTTTTGTATCCCGTGGATGCGTTTTACTTGAATGAAAAATCAGGCGGCAGCAGCAGCAGCAGCAGGAGCTATATGTTGCATGTCTTCATCAAGGCGGGAGTTTGTATAAATATCTATATAAAATACATATGTATATATGTATATACTCTCATGTATATATATGCATTGCCGTACATATATATGTATATATATTCATATTCAGATTCATTTGTATCTGGGCGGGCTTCATTTTAGTTCTGAGCATTGCCAATTAGCGTAGTCAGGTCGTTAGCGGCGATCATTAGCGAATTGTCTAACGATCCACGTGCAAAAGGAGATACATAGATACATTTGTATCTGGCTAATTAATGGCTGGCAGATATATTATGATGTGCCGCAGCTGTGCTGCAATTAACGCACAACTAGCCAACAAAAGACAGATCGCAGATACAAATCTATCTCACTGCAAAGATCACAGCGATTATCATCATTAGCAGCGCAAGGAAAACATTAAAACACGGAAGAATAGCATCGACTGAAGACTGAAGACGAAGATCTGAAGATCGCGCAACTCGAGCCAAAGTTAGCGGATCGACGGAACATTCCTATGTTCATAGTCATATGAGAGCTAAAGAAATATCGTTTTGAGACAAGATCCGATTAAGATGACACATATATTATAATATTTGAATATATAGATATAATTACAGGCAGAAGATACAGGTACAGATACAGATATTAGATATTAGATACAGATACAGATACAGATACAGATACAGATACAGATACAGATACAGATACAGATACAGATACAGATACAGATACAGATACAGATACAGATACAGATACAGATACAGATACAGATACAGATACAGATACAGATACAGATACAGATACAGATACAGATACAGATACAGATACAGATACAGATACAGATACAGATACAGATACAGATACAGATACAGATACAGATACAGATACAGATACAGATACAGATACAGATACAGATACAGATACAGATACAGATACAGATACAGATACAGATACAAATACAGATACAGATACAGATACAGATATAGATATAGATATAGATATAGATACAGATACAGATACAGATACAGATACAGAAACAGTTCCACATACAGATACAGATACAGTTAGATACAAATATTTTTAGAATTACAGATACAAATACTTAAATTACATGCAGCTTTAAAATTAATTCCAAATTCCAGATACATCTACATTTAGAGCTGCTGTCAGCTAGGGTATCCATGCTTCGGCCTGGTTACAATCCCAATTTCTGTCTTCTTTTTTAAGTGCCATAGTTTATCTTCTATTTATTTTTTGGGGCCAGCCTGCCGTCAGCGATTTCTCGAGTCAACTAATTGAATTTGATAAAGCCGACGACTGCTTTTAATTGGCCAAACACTCGCACTGCCAATTATTGCTGATAGAAGACCATGCCACAGCCACAGCCCCAGTCCCTGCTCCCCAATTGCTACGATTAGAGCACACTGCATTGAACGCTGGGCAGTTAATGAATGCATTGCTTGCCCAGTTCCAATTATTGTCTAAGAAAGTTACGACTGGAGGCTCAATTAGCTGGCCGCCAGTTGATTTCCGCACCACAAATCGAATAAGCGCAGACAAATCGATGAACCAATAAATGAATAAAGCACAACTCTATGTGCAAGTCAACACTCAGAATTGTCTCTCAGATCTAAGCCGAAATAGTTTAAATTCTATTCGAAATAGAGCTTTGAGAATAATTGTTTATCGATTTATCAATATCGTTAGATTGGGACTTTTGTAACTGAAATGGAATAGAAATTCTTTGTCAGCTGCAATTAAATGTTCGATATGGTTTATTTAATTGAGAGAATTGAGCTGTTTTTAATCTTAGATAACATTTATTGATAACTTGAAAATAGTCCACGTTGTACAACACTATTCGATATTAAATTATATAATAAATTGTCGCTGGACATAAATAAATGTATAAAAAGAGAGAGAGAGAGAGAGAGAGAGAGAGAGAGAGCAAAAAAAAAATGTGATTTGGATATTTGATATTAGCTGAGAATTGTGATTCTTGATCGGTCGGCTGATCAGTCGATCGCATTTGTTGTTCGTGACTTGTTGGGCTCAACACTTCGTGAGTCCATTCAATTTAATAGTCCAACTTCGGTCGTTGGCTTCTTAATTGAGACCCGGACAGTGCTCTGGACGCCACCTCTCTTGTCTGTCGACTCTTGGCTCTTGGCTCTTGTCTTTGCCTTCCACATTTATTGGCTTTGACATGCATACCAAGTGGCCAAAAAGTTATTGGGAAATTTTTCGCAGCTCACTGTCTGGACGTGGCACAATGCAATTCCAGTTGATCATTGATCCTAAGTGTACATAAGTATGTATATGTATATATGTGTGTCTATGTATATTTGAATTACAACTAGAACATATCGCTTGCTGAGCATATACAATATTTTAAGTCCATTCATTCGCATGCATAAACAGTTTCTTAGAACCCTCATGTTGTAGATCTTTAAGATCGATCTTATTGATAATATTTACATAAGAGAAACTTGAATGAATCGTCGCTTTAATGGACTTCAGTATACTCAATTCATAGTTACCCTCTAATCAGTATTCAGCTGTCTGAACAATTGATTTGTATCTCATTTGTGAGGCTTTACTTATAGGAAAAGATCTATTTCGCAATGTTGGGCTTGAATGTACATTATCATGTCATATCTGAATTTAGATTAAAAAAAATTGGAATATATATGTTATATATATAGAGTATTGGCTCTATGATTTATTTGTATATTCGTATAGACCCCAGAAAAGTATCTGATCAAAAATACGTATCATTCTTATACTACTCTAAGAATTTTATTTTATATAAGATGATTTAATATTAACTACATACAGATATTACTTTTACTATACATATTATATGTTCCACTCTTACTTCATCAATATCTCTCATCTATATTACATAACTCTCATTATCATAGTTTGAATAATATTCGGCTTGAGCGCATTTAATTTAATAAACTAACTAATCTAATCAAATCAAAAGCGTAATTTATGTACAGCTTGTATTAAAGTATTTTGCATTTATTATTATTTTTCTGATCTATTTGAAGGACATATTTTTGTAGTGCTTTCGGCACATTCCAAATTGTTGACTTGTTCAATTTGATAGATCTAGCGAACGAGCTTGTAGCTACAATTCGCAGTTTTGTACAATTTATCAAGATATGCACATAGTTATGTTTTTAATACTCGCTCACGCTCCAATGAGAAGAGCATATTGGCTTCGCTGGTATGTGAGACTGCTTTGGGGCTGGCATTAGCAAGTTCTCTTGATCTGCTCTACCAATGGACGTGAGCGGGTGCTGTGTAGTCGGATAAGCTCTTTGGTAATGTTCTTACGTGGTTTTCTATCCTCCAGTAACTGGCACGCCTTTGCCTACCGTCTGACACATATGGGTCACTTGTGCCTTATGACAACTGTCAGCTGAGATACAGATACATATGCAGCCTGAGATACAGATAGAGCTGGAGCTAGAGATAGAGATCCGAAATGTTGATTTAGTTATGGCCGAAGGCAAATCGAAATGAATCAAATTCATTAGTGCCAATTTATTGTTTGGCATTTTTTTTTTTTTTTTTTTTTTTTTGTTTTTGTTTTTTGGTCAACAGATCAAATATCCAACTGCATCTGTGCGCGGAATGGACCAACTGCTTCGCAATGGGCGCGCAGCTGAGCTCCACTTGGACTCCAGTTGGGGCCAGGCGTCGGCCGAGGCGTGTCCAATCCGATTTTGACTTTATTAACGGTGCAATTTGTACGACACTGAGCAACAGCAGCAAACAGTCGCCAAAGCATGGCAACTATTTTTTATTTATTTCGTATTATTTCTTATGTCCATGCCACCCTATAAACATGGCTTACAAGACTCGCGTATGCATTGGAAATAGCCTGAAAAAGTTACATGAGACGTGTGACCAAATTTCGTATCTTACATTTGCTTACCATAGCCGCCTTTTATCCGCCTGGCAAAGTGCCTTGCAAAGTGATTCTGGAATATAGTCGACTCTGAAGTGGTAAATAATTATAATGCGAGGTCAAGTAATAGAGGAACAACCATTCTGCCATTCTACCCTTCTTCTTTATGTTTGCTGCAGCTTCTTAAGCATTTATCTGCCTGGCAAACATCACAGTTGATCGCAAAGTAAATCTGGAATATAGAAAGGTGCTTAATTATGTTTAGATATTGATCTAATACTTCACAGCTTCACCATTTACCCGCTTGGCAATCATCATTGCAAAGTAAATGGGAAAAACGCTCAAAGAGTCTTCATCTCATTCTTATATTTGCTTTTCTTCCCATCGATCCTATCCACAGCCGAAGTTAGTCTGATTCATTGCTTTGGCGATTTAGTGGCTGGCAATTTATCCGCCTGGCAAAGTGCATTGCAATGCAATTTTATTATTTATTGCTGACAATGGCACGACAACAACAAGTTGCCACACAAATTGTATGCTAATGCCTCCACCCAGAGCACTCTCAAGCAGCGGGCGGCCAAACGCAACCCGCTTGTCCAGTTGCTGAAGCCAGCTGCCTGGCTGGCTGCCTGGCTGCCTGGCTGCCTGCCTGGTTGACTGTCTGGCTATTGGTCCACTCAGGTCCAGAGAGCAGCAGCAGCGGCTCTTTATGATTGTTTTCCGTTGTCTGATTTATGGAGTGTCTGCTGACTAATTTGAACTCTGGCGTGTTAAAGTTCTTGTAAGTGGCCGCCTCTGTGCCACTGAAAATTCGCTTTTGTTTTGGCTTTTTGTTGTTGTTGTTGTTTTTTATTCGTTTTAGCCATTGTTCACTGTGGGCCATTGTTATAGAGCGGAATCGCTGCTTGTGGCATGTGCCGCTGCCTAAGATCAAGATCGTCGCTAGCTGCGCGTATGTGTGTGAGTGTGTGGGAGCTATAAATAGCTGAAGCCTCAACCCCCCCCCCCCCCACTCTGGCATGGCAGCCACACAAATGTCTCCATTAACGGTCATTCGTCTTAGGGATTGCGCTCTATATTTGTCGCCGAGTCCAAAATAGACCAAAACCAATGCAAAGGCGCAATGCCTCTGGGAGAGGTGGGATGGGGTGGAGTGGAGTGGAGTGGAGGCGATTTCTAAAGGTTAAAGAGCGTCACCCCCTACAACTAGCTGTCAGCGTGATGCAGTTGCAGTTGCAGTTGTTATTGTTGCTGTTGCGGCTGCTGCTGTTGCTGCTGTTGTTGTTGTTGTTGTTGTTGCCGCCTTTATTGCTGCCCCATGCTCATGCGTCACGTTGCCGTTGCCGTTGTCGTGCAGTCTCAATGGCGACAATCATGTGGCGGCCGCCCCACAAAAAAGGAAGTCCAAAAGTCGTTGAGCGTCGCCTACGAAATGCGCCAATTGTTGTTGCCGATGATTCAGAATACACTGTGCGCCATGTGTAAGCGGGTATATTGACATATGTATGTACATACATAGATCCATGGGTAAACGGGCATGTTGACTTGGATCTATGCGAAAAGTTAAGTAAATATGAGTAAATTTGTTTTTGGTTATGCCCTGTACGTAGAGTAAATGTGGGTATATTGCTGGTTGACATGCTGAATATATACAGTTAAAAGCTTACTTTTCCATGAGCTTTTAGTTGTAGCAGCAATAAGACACAAAAAAATCAAAAATTAAACTTTTTCTTCAGCTAAAGTTAAATTAGATTAATTAATAAATTAATTTGAATATATTCATTCATGCCCGATGATTTCTTTTACCTATGTATGTATCTGCTTTATGGGTTCCTCAAGAAACGAATTGTTGCTGTACGAAGACTTAATTGGCGCACTGTATATTGGCTTTCGTCTGTTACATTTGGCATTGACAGCTAAGAATTTCACAGATATTGCAACACACCAATTATTATTATACACATTAGTTAACCACACATATGCATGTACATGCATATACATATATATTTATATATGTATGTATATACATACCACGTTGCGGGTTCATTAATTGCTATAATTATGTTATTTAGCCTTATTTGCCGCGAACGTTCTAGCGCGCTTTTGTTTTGATTGTTCGTTTTTCGATTTGTTTTGGTTTTAATTGCTGGCACATAGCAGGGTCACACTGCATGCACATACATAAATCGGTCGTGCGCTTGCGTGCGTGAGTGCGTGAGCGTGCATACGAACATCGAATGCGCAATGCGCTAGGCAGGGTCACACTTGTCAGCAGCTTTCACTAGCCCGCATCCGTGCAATTTATGTGAGTGCGCGTGTGTGTGTGTGCGATGAGTGTGCACAGTTGCTGCTGCCTTTGAAAAAAAAAATCGCCTTTCAAGCTAAACTTCAAAGCAAGGCCGGCGCCGTTTCCCACGCATTTGGATGCGTCTCATTGATGGACTGCACGTAGCCATAGGCCGGTACGATGTCACACTGACTCCGCGTGTATGCGCATGTGTGTGTGTGTGTGTCGGTGTGTCGCTTATAACAGTTACAATAAACAACAGTTTTGCATGGCATAAATATTGTGAATTGAAAAGCCAAATATGAAATGCGCGCACTGTTTAATCTAAGTAGCGTGTGTATGTGTGTGTCCATGTGTGAGTGTGTGTGTGTGTGTGGGTTGCAATTGTCGTGTCAACGTTTAAAAAAGAGTTCGCGTCACGTTTGCTTAATAAAATTAATATTTACATATGCTCGTATTTGACTTGGCAAGCATTGAAATGCTTTTGCTGTTGCTTTTGCTTTTGCCTCAGCGATCTGTGCCCAAAACTGGACAAATAGCCAAATAGACGAGACCCGGCAATTGGCACGATTATCTCCCACTCCCCCAATCCTAACCGCACGGCGGCCGAGCAGCCGAGCAGCCGATCTGCCCAGATCTCACTCAGATTATGGCAGGCACATATTTAGCCATGTTGTAGCCAAGTGTTTACCTATTTTGGGCGCGTTTTGTCTCACATTTCTGTTCGAGTTGCCAATTCGATTATTAAGTTTTCTCTGTTGTTTCTTTATAATAATTTAGCATGTTGCCCAAGTTAATTGCATTTGCTCAACTGCTTATTAGTCAGCCATCGTTTACCAGGAAGTTCAGGCCATCGGATAAATGTTGTACATATATGGCAATGCTAACAATTAGTTGGAGCTGAGCTATTAGATTGGCCAGAAAAAGCCCTACAGTTTCACGGAAGAATGCTTCAAGTTAAGGCCGTGCACTTTACCAGGTAACTGGTAAGATCAACTCTCTCTCTCCCTCACTCTCTCTCTCTCTCTCTCTCACTCTCTCTCACTCTCTCTCTCTCTCTCCCTCTGTCTCTCCCTCTCTCTCAGCCTCACTCTCCCTGTATATATGCTTAAAGCTCGCTAAGAGATAATTTAAGGCTTAACATGAACTTTGCCAGGCACTTGCCAATACAGCTGGATCTTTATCTTTGTCTTTGCTGTTCTTTCTTTCTCCTTGCGGGGAGCGAGAAACAGAGAGAGAGAGATGATAAAGAGAGGGAGCTTGGACCCCTTTTCCTATTCATCTCTCACTCTCTTATCTGTCACCCTAATTACCTCGCCTTCTCAATTGTCCTTATATTTTTCAATTCTTTGCTTCTTTATAACTCCTACCGTCGTGCTGCCTTTACCTCACTCTAACTTTTTTCCTTTTCTTCTTAGTCCATCTACCTTTCCTTCAGATAGCAATCCAGCCTACGGTCATTTAACATGCGCTTTACCAGGCACACGCTCAATTCCAAATGAGAGCTTTACTCAGCTGAATCCCTTCTACTCGATGCGCCACACAACAGTCATGCAGTCCATTTAACATGCACTTTACCAGGCACAAGCTAATGCCAACTCTCGCTGTAATATGTTAATCTATAACAGGAAGCACGCAGCAGATCAACTCAATTGTCAACATAATGGGAGCTGCTCTGCGCATGGTTTATGGCCCGTTTGTTCGGTTCAATATGGTCTCATCCGTTTCATGCCATTCCATATCGTCTCGTTTCGTTCCCAAGGCGCGCATTCTTGTTTTGTTTTGTTTATTTTGTGTGTTATTTTTTTGTCTCTCTCTCTCTCTTCTTTGGGCAATTGCGACAACATTTGTAACTGTCTCGCGGCGAGTCGCTCGCTCGTTTCGGTCTTTCTTCGCGGCCCCATAGTCGAACTGTCTATCTAATTTTGGGCCGAGTCTAAATTCAAGTTTATAACTAAATATGCGCTTGGCAGGTCCACAGAGGGCGAGGCCGAGGGTTCGCTCTCCCCCCCCGTTGCTCTGGAAGCCGACGCGGGGCGATTGGCCTCGATTGCGTTTGCGCTTGCGTTTGCCACATTTTTTAACAACTTCACCCACATTCAAAATTCGTTTTGGCTATGGCTTTTCGGAAAAGAGTCGAAAAAAAAAAAAAAAACAAACAACTCAAACTCAAACTAATATCAGCGAAACGAGAAACCAGTTCACTTTGGTTTAGTTGTTGTTTCTTTTTGGCGACGGCGGCGACTTTGTCTTGTTAGCTACGTAGAGCACAGTTAGGCTTAGTATATATTGTATGTAGTATAGATACGAATCAGCCCATTCAGGTTGTATCTAGAGACACTTTTGAGCAAAATCGAACTGCAATTGAATGCGTTTCGTTTTCCTTTTATTTTTTGCAGCTATCAAGTTTATTATTCGAAAACGAATATTCTACATATTTCAAGATCCCTACTATTGATAATCCAACATCAGTTTAAGTACCATGGATAGTATTTTAGGCGAATTGTTGATCAGTGTCACCATCCAGCTAGATTCGAAATCATTATTGAATGTGATTAACATCAGCATTAATACTATCATTATAAATTGGCTATCCCCACCATATGTGCTATAGTTTTTATTGGCATATTCAGCTTCCCCGCTCTCAGTATTATCATTCCTAACAATTTCATTAATATTTTCGTTGTCATTTACATTTTTAATTGCATTACAATTATTGTTATTATTATCCCGACGATTATCATCTTCCATTCATCGGCATTAGTATCATAATAATTATTATTATAATTATCACACTTGAACATTATTATTATGACGGCAATTTTCATTGTCACCGTGCTTAGTATCACTTTCATTAGCATAATCATGATTATAGCTTGCATCATTATTATAGTCATTGCCAATATCGAAAACATTTTTCTTTAATCTATAATTTTGCATTTTTTATTATAATTATTATTAGTATTATGATTACAATCCATCAATTATTCTTAACTAACTTGCTTACTAGAGATTCAAAAGATCGGGAGACTAATTAATTCCTTTTGGTTGATCATATAAATATACTCGAGAAGTGTTTTTTGGAATCCGATAAATTTATATAAATAATTTAGCATTTTTCATTAATCATTATTATTAGCATAATCCATCAATTGTTAACATTATCTTCATTACATACTAGAGATTCAAGAAATCTGGATTACTACTTTTGGATGGATCTGATAGATATCGCGCGTATACTCGGGATCTACTTTTGGAAGTTGATAAATTCATTTATTATTTAATTATATTAATTTTGCATTTTTAATTGTCATTATTATTAGCATCATTAACCATTAATTATTAACATTATCTTTATTAACACATTCAAATACTAGAGATTCAAGAAATACGGAGACTGATTTGGATTGATCAGATCGATATCGCTCGTATACTCGAAAACTGTTTTTATACCCTGAACCCATTGAAAATGGGAAATCAGGGTATAATGGTTTTGTTAAAAGTATGTAACAGGCAGAAGGAGGCGTGGCAGACCCCACAAAGTATATATATTCTTGATCAGGGTGACGAGCTGAGTCGATTTGGCCCTGTCCGTCTGTCTGTCCGTCCGTCCGTCCGTCCGTCGGTATGTATGAACGCGTCGATTTCAGAAGATATAAGAGCTAGAGACTTGAAATTTTTTTTTCTAGGTCCGTGTATATCACGCGCATATCAAGTTTTTCTTTTTATATCGATAACTACTCCCGATATTTTATTATCGATTAAAAACCTTATCGAAAGCTAGTTATTTAATTATATCTCCTACACCTTTAAAGCTAGAGCTTCCAAATTTTAAATGTAGACTTATATGTATTTTATATAATTTCGATTTTTTTTGTAATTTACCCCCCACCCCTATATCCACCCCCTCACCCTCACCTATGTAAAAGGCGTATTTCAAGTACTAGGGACGTGTGCTTTAGAATGTACACACATTTTCACCATATGATTACGCCCTGAAAGTTTCATTAAGATTGTACGTCTAGAAATTAAATTATTCAACAAATAAATTCTTATAATGTTGCCCACACTACAGCGCAGCACAAGCGCAGTCGCTGCTTACTGCGCAGTTAGCAGAGCGCGTTCTAATACGTGCGTGTGTATGTATGTGTGCCGAAAAGAAGTGCAGAGTGAATATCAGATTAGAGGGTTCAGGGTATCTCCTAGTCGAGCAGTCTCGACTAGAGTCTTCTTACTTGTTTGGAATACGATCTATTTAGATATGAATATTGTAACGGATACTGTAATTCGAAATAAAACACTAAAGTCGTTTGCTGTCACAGACGATGTGATAAGAAAGTACATTGTATAGAGTTGATGTTTATTTTTTGTTTCGTAGCCATGTTTGCCCCCACCCCCAAGTGTTTCCAGAGTTGTGTGAGAAATGGCCCCACAGATCATTGACGCTGGCTCGGCTGCAGCTGAGAATTCCCACCGACTGGCAAGCTCGTATCAATTACCAATTGCATATCTGCAGTTATGCCCACACACACACACACACACACACATGCACATGCGCATAGGTATCTCTTGATGCTGACTATCGATCAGTGATCTCATCTCATCGGTCTTTTAGCCAGGGTCGTTTCCCACACCTGAACGAGCGAGAGCGGGCAACAAACTTTGGCAAATAAAACGCCTTCTATGGCATTATGGAAATACCGTTAGCATTTGCCAAAAAAAAAAAAAAAAAAAAAAGAAGAAGAAAGAAGATGAAAAAAAAAGTAACAGAAACAACAACAACAACAACTCCAATCAAATTCATAAGTTTCTATAACCAAGATCAAAAGTGGGCCCCGAGCAGGTGATCGACGTAACCAACACACAAATCTCTATGAGCAACTGTTGCTGCCGCTGTTGCCGCTGTTGCCGCTGCTGTTGTTGTTGCAACAATCATTTGGCAGCGATCTATCATTGCCAACTGTCCAAAAGCAGAAAGAGCGAGCGAGGGAGATATACGACACGGCTTGGCTAGTTAGTTGGCTACGAGGAAGTTGTCCATGAGAACCTTGAACCCCAAAAGACAACAATCAGTTGTTGTTGTTGCTGCTGTTGTTGTTGTTGCTGCTGTTGCTGTCGTCGCGGCCTTTGAAATATGATTTTGAATGGGACAGCGTGGACAGTTTCTTATTTTGATTGAGTTGAAAACAACATTATATATATTTCTCTCTTTCTCTCCCTCACTCTCTCTCCCTCTCTCGCTCTATATATATGTATATACATGTGTGTGGGTGTATCTGGACAATCGGTGGCCAGACCAATTCACTCCATTAGACTTGGCTTTTTTAGCTGCCACGCCCCTGCCCGCTGCCAACACAATGCAAATTTTTTTTTATTTTTGAATTTCTTGTTATTTAATTCGTTAGAAAAAATTGGTTGAATTGTTGAAAAAAAAAAACAGAAACAAAAATGAAACGGTTGACGGCAAATCCGCTTAGGCGTTGGCCAAATCAACGGCCCACACACACACACACACACACACACAGAGACACATGTGCTTGGCTGCTGTGTGTCCGTGTGTGCAGTCGGCTATGCCTCGCATGGCATTTGCAGGGTATAGCGCAATTATAGCTGGCGCATATCCTCAGGCTGTGCTGTCAATACCCTGCACATGCAGGCTATATAGGGTCTGGCATATAGGGTAGTTTGACTTTATATTGAAATTGAAGCAAGTGCCTGTAATTCTATCTAAAGCGAAACTAGACACAGTTGAAGACTAAGATATATGTACATCTATATACAATATACCCTAAATTTGAGTTACCTATATAATGTAGACTTATGTATACATATCTTTAATCTATTATACATCTTCAGTTACATATAGACTGCTCTACTATATTCAGCCCATTTTTGTTGTAACTATTATTTAGGGTATTTCCTTGGACTTTTCAGCTAATTTATGGTATATTTTATATACCGCACTTTTTTGATATATTTTTTTTTCAGTTGCGTTGATTTGGGTGTCGTTTTTTTTTTTTTTTTTTTGATTTATTTATTTATTTTTTTTTTTTTTTGCAATGTCATTTTGTATTATAATTTTTGTTCGACTCGCATTTTTGGATTTTTTTTCTTCACACGCTTTGCGGAAGCAAAAAGCTGTTATAGGCATTACATAGACACCATACGTACATATATATCTATATATATATATATATATATATATGAGTTTTTTTTGCAATTGCCTTTTACCTAATGTTATTAACGTCATATTGACATACATTTGAGCAGAAAGGCAAAGAAATGGGAAAAAAATGGAAAAAAAAAACTAAGAGGCAAAGCGAAAAATCTAAGCTAATTACGTGACAGTTGCCTCTGTCTGTCTGTCTGGCTGTCTGGCTGTCGTACCTGCCTTTGCCTCCCTTGGCCCACCCACTTGGCGTCTTAGCAACTCAAGTCGCACCCACTGCCTCTGGCTTGGTTGCTTGCTTGCTTGCCCCATTGCTGTGGCGCGTGTTGCAACATCTTTTGGCGCTTCCTTAACGGCTTTCGCTCTCTTTTTCACTTTTGCCATCTTTTGCTTTTCTTTTTCTTTCATTTGTTGTTGTTGTATTTTTACCTGCACACATGTCACGTACGCGCGCCATGTTGCATGCAACGCGCAGCTGCTGCATCGACTTGGCCCACATTGCATCAAAGTGTCAAGTCAAAGTCACGTTTATATTGCATCGACACCTGCCAAACAAACGCCCGAAAATCCACGCCCCTCTGCAGCGAGGCCTCTGACCCCATGTGGCACAGCAAAGCAAAGCTGAGACGAGCCAACTTTGTAGAGCTTAAGCTGAAAAGAAAAGAACCAACTACAGCCGGAACACTGAATACATACGGAAGAGGCATACGTATAGAGACGGGGAGAGATATGAAATAGATCTAAACGAAAAGATTTGTAGAGTACATTCTTCAAATTGTTTTGAATATTTATTAATTGTTCCCAAAAATGTGTTACAGAGGCTTATAGCGTGGTTGTGAGTGTGTGTGTGTGTGTGTGTGTGTGTGTGTGTGTGTGTGTGTGTGTGTGTGTGTGTGTGTGTGTGTGTGTGTGTGTGTGTGTGTGTGTGTGTGTGTGTGTGTGTGTGTGTGTGTGTGTGTGTGTGTGTGTGTGTGTGTGTGTATGTGAGTGTGTGTGTGTGTGTGTGTGTGTGTGTGTGTGTGTGTGTGTGTGTGTGTGTGTTTGTGTGGGTGTAACGTATAAAGACTTTGTGCGTTTAAGCTTGCTGCAGAACGGGATTCCTTGTGTTTAATCCTAGGATCTCATAATATATAGATAAGTCTAAGTTTGTTCCATATTTGGTAAGGCACGCATTGGCTTGATATTTGGTTGTGATTTGGTATGATTCGATCATTTGATTCAATATTTGGTTAAGTTATAGTTAGTTTAATATTTAGATAAGTTTTATGATATATTTATATTTATATCAATTTTATTTTTTATGATATTATTTAAAGCGAGGCTTTTAGTGTGTTTGATATGTAGTTAAGTTTTCGTTTGCTTTATATTTGCATCAATTTTTGGTTTTATGAGAGTTAGATTTGTTTTTATGTTTAATATTTCGATAAGTTTTAGGTTATATGATATTAAGTCAGTCTTTAGTTTGCTTGATATATTTAGATTAGTTTTAGTTTGCTTGATAGTTGGATATGTTTTAGGTCATATGACAGGCAGTCATTTTTAAGTTTGTTTAATATTTAGATTAGTTTGAGTTTGTATGATTTTATTTCCATACAATTTTAGTATTTGGTGTGCTTGAGTTGGACTCCCCGAGTTCGACTTCCCTGAGTTCGATTTCCTTGAGTTAATATTTGTAATCATATCTAGTTAGGCTTTAGCTTGTATGATATTTGTGTGACTTCCTTGAGTCTGTGCAAAATGTGAGTTTGTATGATATGATATTTTTTTGATGGGTTGTTATTCGCGTACAGCTGTACAGAGTGACTTCCTTGAGTCTGTGCAAAATGTGAGGTTAGTTTGAAAATTTAGTTAGTTTTCTGTTTGTAGGAGGGGCAGTTTTTCTTTGGAGGTGGCACGGGGTCTTCTTCGTCATCCTCCTCGTCATCCTCATCGTCATCCTCCTCGTCGTCCTCCTCGTCATCCTCATCATCCTCCTCATCATCCTCCTCATCATCTTCATCGCCAGCCTTGCCAGCATTGCCAACGGCTTTCTTATTCACCTTACTCGAGACCAAGGATTCGGCAGAGGAATCGTCAGAGTTAGAGGTCTCAGGCTGCCGCCGGTAATAGCGTAGCTGTGTCTGCTCACGCTGCTTGGTTTGGACCTGCGGCTCCTGGTACTTCTTAGTGGATGAGAGGCCCACACCAGCCACAGCAATGCCCGAATCGTTTTTCGGCATCATGCCCGAATTCTGGCCAGTGGTCTCCGAATTCGCAGACGATGATGGCATTGTGAGATCCAAGCGAGTGCTCTCCAAGAATCCCGACTCATTGGCTGTGGTGTTCTGCGATGATGTTTTTGGGGGCTTGTAGACAAACGGATCGTCTTCCTCGCTGTCGCTTAGCGACGTCTCAATAACCATGTCGGGGTCATTCCGCGAGGTGCCCATGGCGGATTCAATGCGCTTGATCTTCCCCTCAATGTTCGCCAGCTCTGCGTTCAGACGCGTGCCCTCGCGGCTGGTGCAGGGCTGCTCCAAGCGGCTGTGGATGCACACCATGCGCATCTGCAGCTGATCCAGGGCCTCTCTCAGATCCCTTTTGATTTTGTTCATGCTATTGATAAGCGAGGTGCGATCAGCGTCGGACAGAAGCTTGGCAGGCGCGCGCCGAGCTCCAGAGGACGACTTGCGCCCAGTCCCGGTCCCGGTACCGGTCCCGGTCCCGGCTTGAGCTGCGGCCCCATTCGAAGGCATGCTTAGAGGCAGCTGTCTGGCGCTAGTCTGCGGTATATTAGTGCGACGCTGTTCGGGCATCTGGGCAGCAGCCCCATCCAGGAGCTCAAAGTCAAATTGTGTATCGGTGCTGTGCTTGACGCGTTTGCCACCCTTGCGGTCAACATTCTCGTCGGTGGCCTTCTTCTTCCCATTGATCGACATGTGCTCCAGAGTGTCACTGAGCGAGGAGCTCGAGCTAGCGTCTGACATGATGCCCGGCTGTGGCTTTGGGCTGGGGATGATATTCATGTCGGTACCCAGATTCATAAGCTTGCGACGAACCTGAGCATGCTCAGCATGCAGCTTCATGGCCAATTCGCTGCTGCATGGCGCATCGAGACGCCTTTCGATAATGGCCAGACGACTGGTCAGATAGCTCTTCGTATTTTTACGCTTCAATTGTTCGTGAGCCTGAAGTCCAGGCTGGGCCATCTGAGCGTGCGTCGAGGTATGGGCTACATGGACCTGGGGCGAAATATCGCCCATCTGGCACTTAAAGGTCTGCGGCGATGTGAGGGCCATCTTAGCCTGGGCCATAACAAAGGCATGAGACCTTGCACGATCCTGAGCATCGGCCAGAATTTGATTGTAATTTCTTTTCAGAGCCTGGATCCGGGCGTCTGACAGAGCTTTCGCTTTGGCCTGAGCCTCAGCCGCTGCCTGGGCCTCAGCCGCTGCGTGCGCCTCAGCTGCTGCCTGGGCGTCAGCCGCTGCCTGGATCTCAACCGCTGCCAGGGCCTCAGCCGCGGCCTGGGCCTTGGCTTTAGCTTTAGCCAGAGCTCGAGCTTGAGCACGAGCCCGAGCTTCAGGATTAACGTGAGCGTGAGCCAAGACCTGAATAGGCTGGGGGGCGTGGTCGCTGTAATCAAATCCTCCTCCTGCTGTTGCAGCAACCTGAGCCTGGCCATCGTTCGCACTAGTCGAGTTGCGAGCGTTATCGCTAGCAGGCAAAGCGCGACGCTGACGCCTGCGTGTAGCTTGAAACTGTGATTGCAATGATTCAGGTGAATCCAGCGATGCCTTGCTAGAATCGCTTTCCGAATACTCACAGGTCGACGACGAGTCGACCGGCGAAGCCGGCTTGGGCGCAGCCGGAGCCATGCCCTGGTCACAGCCCTCCGATTCGACGGGCGAGTCCGATTGTGAAGACCGGCCGTGTGGCACAGTGATGGTGAGGCCACCGCCGAGTGGAGTGAGCTCGGGCTTTGGCTGAACTTCCACTAGTTCCGTGTCATCCGATCCGGACGATGATGTATCGGAGGAATCGTCAGTCTCCTGGCGATCGTCTACGTTGGGCTTAGCTTGATCCATTTTCTCAGCTTCTCCTCCAAACTGGGTTCTCAATATGCTGACACTGCGTTCGATGCTGTCTATCAAGGCCAGCTCCACGGAGTGATCGGGTTTGGTCTTCGTTTGTTGCGGGGCGTCGGTCATATCGGTGGGGGAGTTCATGTAATGGGTGGATAACTTATAGTTGGTTTTTTGATCGACAATATTGGTATTTGATATAGGATATGATTGGATCGCATCCAGATCCGTATTATTATGACAGAAACGTTTGGCACCGGACATTTCCGTACACGATGGCTTGCGTTTGTTGGCAATGTTGTATGAAGTCAGTGAATGAATGAAAAGCGGACGCCATGTCGAATTGCGCATTTGCCGCATACGCAATTCGCGTGCGTAATATTTCACGAAACGCATACATAGGAGGCCCACTCGGAGCTGCAAGGGGCGAGACAGCAGATGGGCCGCTGGCACGCGAATGCAATAATGCACGAAATATTCCATATACTGGCCAATCGGAAAATCTAGCTGATACTGCAGCACAGGATTGTCCGCCACCTCATGGATGGCCGTCAGCAGCGAGCTGGTGGTCGGATACTTGTATAAATTGGCTATTGCCAGGCCTGCGCGAGACAGCGACTGGTCGCTGTTAAATGCGGCGGCATTTTGGCCAACCATCAACGGATTCATTGCAATGTTTCGTATTTATCTTATTGAATGCCAAATTAAACTTTATAAAACACAATTGAATTCACCGGAAAACAAGAAATTGAGTCGAGAAAAAAAAAAATTTGTATTTTAGACTTACTTGAGCACACGAACTGATTCGAGCAGAGCTTCAAACAAAAAGACAGGATGTGACTTTCAGGAAATGGCTTGTCAGAAGCAGCCGTCAAATAGTTTGATTATCGATAATCATGCTGCTTGTCTGGCACCTAGGATTATATGAAATTGTTCAACACTGATTCACCGAATTACAAATAAGCAGAAACATTGAGCACGTGAATATTGTTGAAAGTGCTGCAATTTCCTGTAGCTGTTGCAGCGTCTGCTTTAAAACACCTTTGCCGCACTTTCCAACACTACATTTGCTTTGCGATAGCTCAAGTTTAGCTCTGTGATAGAAGCTCATCTCTAGAATGTAAGCAGGACAGCAATGCAGTGGCCCAAGTTTAGGGCATAGCTGCACTCTTCCCTATCGCTATCGATGGCATAGACAGGTCAGCATTGCCCAACACTGGCTTAATCAAATCATCAAACACTGGCACGTGCCGCGCCATGGCACAATTGATTGTCAGATGAGATGTCATAATAACAATTTCCATGTGCCTCGTGTCGAGGCTTTCGAAAGTGAAAATCTGACGTGGCTTAGCATTGGCAATGCCACCAACAACAACAACAACAACAACAGCAGCAGCAGCAGCAGCAACAACAACAACAACGAGAAGAGAAGCAGCAGCAGCAGCAGCGAACGATCTCGGCGCATCTATTTGAATTTTGAATTTTGTCGTCTCCGGCTCTAGTCGAAACTCCAATGAGCTACCTGCATGGGATTTGCCGATGCGCTGACTCAGCTCCAATATGCAAAGCAATAAATTTGAATTGTGCATCGCATTTGGCCAGCACAAGGCCAGATGCCCGTGGATGCCGTGGGTAGCGCAGCGAAGATGCAGACAGACCTATTTAACGCCTCGAGCCATCAAAGTGCATCGTGGGCGTCGCTGTCTCTCCCTCTGTCTGTCCCTCTGTCTGTCCCTCTGTCCCTCTGTCTGCTGGCTGGCTTGGTGCCTCTTGCCTTTCGCGCATTCAATGATAAGAGCTGCAGCAGACGCCGGCCCGAAGAATGGACAGACGCAGACTCTGGCAAGACGACTAGCGAATGCTCTCGATTCAAATGATCCAGCGAGGCAGAGGCAAAGGCAAAGCCAAGGAGGGGCTTACATATACATATAATCATTGATATAATGTCAGGTGCGTTCCCAGCTAACATCGAAGCTTCTTACAGATCCATTCGAAGTTATTTACTCGTAGTTCCCGACGGCGCAATTTAAAAGCTTGGAAAGAGCTTTTCAATTCCGGACCTTCCTTCAGTAAAACGATACTATATACTATATACTATATACTATATACTATATACTATATACTATATACTATATACTATATACTATATACTATATACTATATACTATATACTATATACTATATACTATATACTATATACTATATACTATATACTATATACTATATACTATATACTATATACTATATACTATATACTATATACTATATACTATATACTATATACTATATACTATATACTATATACTATATACTATATACTATATACTATATACTATATACTATATACTATATACTATATACTATATATCTATATACTCTATATAATATACACTATATACTATATACTATATACTATATACTATATACTATATTCTATATACAGTATATAGTATACTATATATATACCACATAGAATTGCTCATCGTAATTGCATTCCAAATTCAATTCAGCTTTTCAAATTGTTTGACTGTCTGACCACTCCCACAGCTATCGGCAGACGTCAGCAGCTGTCGTTGTTGGCCTTAAATGGACTTAGGGTATTATCTCTCGCTCTCTCTCTTCGTCTCTATAAATATATACATATTTATGCATATATATATATATAGATAATGAAACGGTGAAACAATAAACACCAAATAAAGCACTTTGAATGCAGTTTGCGGCGATAGCCATAATAAAAAAAAAAGATTTAAGAAAAGCAAAAAAAAAAAAGATAGTAAATAAATAATAAGCGAGAGAGAGAGAGAGAGAGAAAGATGGAAATATTGAAATTGTTAAAATATTAAATTATTACAAAAATGTGCATAAATGAATATGGAATGATGTATGTAAATGGAAATGGAATGGGAAACTGAATAGGAATGGGAAATGATAATGATAATGGAAATGCATGACACGTCGTTTCCATTTGCCGCCTTTCGTCGTGCTGCAGCAGCGCCTCCAAATTGCATCCCAATTGAATTGATGATGCTGCGCGCATCGATCGCAGCAGATCGGATTGCAGTTCATTATTTTTGGAGGCTGTGACATCAGCTCGAAAACTCAACTCATTGCATATGGATTGGATTCAGGCTATGAAATGGCAAGCAACAGGCTGAAGCAGGCGTGGCAGAGCCCAGAGGGCATAATATATAATATAATATAATATAATATGTTATATAATATAGAAGCCGTTTATAACGACTCCGCTTATAACGTCCGTACGGTTATAGCGCCTTCCGGGTATAGCGACGGTCCCTTGAGTGTAGTTCTAATCGGGTTCGACTGTATTTCTATGATATAATCCCCTTCATGTGACCTACTTATACATTCAACTATGATATTATGTTCCCCAACTGCTTTAAGATCGCTTTATTCTCAGCATTATATCGTTTTTGGGGCGTTGACTTGTGAAATGCGTAAATCCAAGAATCTGCAGGCATCATATACTTGGGTCTATCAATTTATCATATTGTATATATCCATATCTCTATCTATATAATATTTGACCTGAATCGACTATAATATATATGTTTTGAACTAGCAAATTTTTAGCTTTTATATATGTATATAGATATTTCCGATATTTCCCCCATTTTCCCCATTCTTCCAAGGGAACATCTAACAGGAATTCTACAGTATTCCAGCTCAGCTAGCTTTGACTCGCCATCGCTATCTCGCTATGTTCTATACTCAACCCAGCTAGACTAATTAGTGGCCCAAAAGCATCTAGGACCATTCACAAATTGTGCTGTTTCTCTGCCTCTATCTACTTCCCTCTGCCTCTCTCTCGCTCTCTCACTCTTTCTCTCTCTCTCTCTCTCTCACTCTCTCTCTTTGTGTGTGTCTGCCCAAATGACTGATGAGTGACGAGTGTTTGCAATTGGAATTAGTTTGCCTCACAGCAGCAAATTTTTCATTTTCATTTTCACTTCTTTTCATTTGCTTTTCTAATTAATTATGCATAAGATTGCGGCGCCATCAATTCGAATGATGCAGCGCCTCTCCTGTGGAGGTATGGATGCGGCGCAGGCGGCTCGATTGTCGCGCGTATACCCTGTACTTGGCGCAGGGGCGCGGCATGGGGTGTAGTCGGCTGGCCCCGTTGGCTAGCTGTACGATCTTAAAAAAAAATAAGAACAAAAAAAAAAAAAAAAATCAGCGAATTCTGCGCTAAATTCTTGAGACGCTTAAAAATAAACTTTTTGCTAGATTTTTGTCGCGCTTTAAAAAACTAGAGGAAAATATCGCTGTTTCTTTAGGCGACTTTCACTTGGTTATCCCATTGTTGTTGTTGTTGCTGTTGTCTAATTTATTGTTGTTGTGCTCTTTAATTTGTTTTCAGCACGCAAATTATGTGCGACAAGCAGCCGAGGACTATTTGGCCCGCCGACAGGCGCGCAACAAATCAATGACACGCTCCATGACTTCCGGCTTGGCCGGACCGATCCTCGCCCTGGGCAACGTCTACTATCTGCCCGCAGCCAAGAGCGGCACGTTCTTTGCGCGCGACAATGTCTCCAATTTCATAACCTGGTGCAGGTGAGTCCAGCTAAAATATTCTAAGTTAATTGTAGTTCTAAGTAAAAAAAAATATATAAAAATATCTGTAGAATATTGTAGATCAGCAATCGATCAACATTTGAACAAGTGAACAGTTATCCTTCAAGAGTATATATTCTTTTAAATCACTTGATAATTCAGAATTATAAGTTTTCAGCTGTTTAAGCTTTGGGCTTTGTGAACCATGATCACCAGTTGCTGATCTTTAAAGACTCAAGAGAACGATCTCTTAACTGCTCCTTGATTCTGGATCATTTATTACTGCTGATCACCGTCACTACTCACACTTAACGCTGATCATTGATCAATGATCATTGTTCAGTGATAACTGTGCTATGCCTATTGATATCTACTGATCGCCCTCTAGCTGTTCACTGATTTTCACTGACTGATCACTGTTCCATGATCTCGGATGAATGCCAGCAATCAACTGGTATCTTACTGCTAACTAATCACTTCTAAATCATCACTGATCACTTCCAACATCTTACTAATCGCTGATCACTCGTAAGGAATCACCCAACACTGATCATAGTTAACATATCACTGATTACTGTGCTGCTACTACAAATCACTGCTAAATGTTAGCTGATCACTGCCCATTGCTGACTGATCACTGAATAGTCACTTACTCCTGCATAGTCACTGCTAATTGATAAATATGCACTGATCACCGTCAACTTCTCATCTAATCCTGCATCATTGATCACCCAACACTGATCACAGTTAACATATTATCTGCTACTATAAATCACTGCTAAATGTCAACTGTTATCTGATCACTGATCGTTTATCACTGATCTCTGTTCACTGTCCCCTCTGAGTGATCACTGATCACTGTTTACTACTGAATATTCACTGATCACTACTAACTGATCACAGCTGATCACAGATCACTGCCCTCTGCCAACTGATCCCAACTGATTGACAGTTGAGTCAATGGCAAGTGAAGCGCACTGCTCAAGCGTCGTTTGTCATTTTGCAGAAAGAGCCTGAAGATCATCGAGTGCCTATTGTTCGAAACGGACGATCTGATCATGCGCAAGAACGAGAAGCATGTGATACTCTGCCTGCTGGAGGTGGCCAGACGTGGCGCCAAGTTTGGTAAGTCTCAATAGAAACATGATCATGAATGCTGATCGCTAGATATATGTATATGGGTGTGTATGTCTATCGATAGGCATGCTAGCGCCGATGCTTGTGCAAATGGAGCGACAAATCGATCGCGAAATCGCGGCCGATAACAAAGCCAACGGCGTTGGTTGTGGCACACAAACAAACAACGGCTGCTCGGAGAGCGGCACTCAAACGGAGGCGCCACCTATCGGCGACGAGTGTGTGGCCAACGAGACGGATCTGTACGACAGCGATACAGAGAACGAGGATGAGAACGACAAGGATCCGATGCTGATGTACGGACCCCAGCCACAGATCATAACCAACGATCTGAAGAGCCTCGACGAGATGGTAAGTGCAGATCCGAATCCGCTAGCCCTAATTGCGACTACTGTTTGCAGTCAGCTACCAACTGGCTTTTCCACACATTTCTCCTCAATAACTCCTCTAGCCATAAGTGTGAGAGTGTGAGTGTGTGAGTGTGTGTGTGTGTGTGTGTGTGTGGGTTCAGTGGGTCTATGTTTTCTCTTTTATTTATTTTTTTTTAGTCGCCGCGGACCTCACGACTTTTTGTTATTGTTGTGTTTTCATAGCTACTCTTCTCATGTCCATTTTTAGCCACGGCTAAGTTTCCAGTTTCAAACTTGGGCAAAACAAATCAAAAGCAGCCAACAGCAGCCCCAACAACAACAACAACAACAACAAAGAAAAACTATGCGAGTTGTCGAAACAAATGCAATGGATAATTGCTTTCGACGATTTTGCCGAAAAACGTATATGTACGTTGCCTAGCCAGCTATCCAAAAAGAAATAATCTAGTGCTTGCCCAGGCAAGTCGTGATCTTTGCTTCTCCCCAGAGCTCCAAACTTGTGCTCGACCAACTGTGTGCTCCACTAGGCTCCACATAATACTGCTGCGAAATTCCCCAAATAGCATATGTTCGATCAGGCTTGTGATTGCAAAATATCAATGGATAGCTACTCACAAGACGCCAATCGATATTTATCGATCGATAAGACAATGTTTAATCAATCGAATGATCTGATCAAAGTATGAATATTGACAGACTATTATTTAGTAAACAAAAATATTTAAAATCTTGTTATTCAATCAATATCTATCGATTATTATATGTTCAGTCTTATAGTTAAGCGAGATTTATTTAATAGCACCAGGTTAAAATGCTGAGCAAAAAAAAAACAAAAAAAAATAATGATTGATAAACATATAGAATTCATCAATATTTATCGATTATTGAAGGCAGCTCTTATCAATAAGAGCTTCAGCGTATGTACATTTCCTGCATGCTCAATCAAGTCTGCATAGCATTTCTAATAAGAAATTTAAAAAGTTTATCACTAATGCGCGATAAACTTATCGATTATCTCAACCAACAGAAAACTATAGATATATGATCGAATACTTAAATAGAATTATATTTATATTTCCTTATCAACACGCTCCCTACCTCCCTCTCTCTCTCTCTTTGTGTACCTGCTTTATGGTCCTCTTATCGATATTTCCGCACTGATTGATTTATCGTTTATCGCTGGCCAAATATTCAAAGCATTTCAATGCGTCGATTGGTGCGACGCGATTGGCAACGCTTATGTCACGGCAGCTCAACATATTGTTAATTAATTTGACAAGATGTTCGAGGCGTTTCATTGCCGTCCCGTTCCATGCCCGTTCCGTTTCGTATCGTTTCCATTTCGTTGCGCTGGCTGTGTGCTGCCCGGTGGCGCCAGCTGTGCCAAAAGCAATTACAACAATCGCCAATTGCCAATGGTAATTGCAAGTGTGACTGCCAGCAACATGCGACGACAGCAACATGCAGCAACAGCAGCAGCAGCAACAGCAGCAGCAACAGCAGCAGCAACATGCAACAAGGATTGAGGAGTCAGTCAGAGCAGGCCAAGGCAAAATATCGGAAAACTAATGAAAAGCCAAAGCCAAGCATTTCCTCACGCCGCCAGCGAGCACTGACAACAATGCCTGCCTGCCTGCCTGCCTGGCTGCCTGGCTGAGTTGCCTCTCCTCTCGTCTCCTGCATCGACAGCTGCTCGATGGATGGATAAATCGTTGCGCATTTATTGGACGCAACATGGACATGAACGTGCTGCCAAAACATTGTCAGGCAAACACAGCAACACAGCAGCAACAGCAACAGCAACTGCAACAGCAGCAGCAACAACATCCAAGTCTGCCCCGGCGGGCGGACATGCTCAATGGAACGAGCGCCTCTGTCGGATCTTGGCAGCGCGATCACTCAGCCAGCCAATCAATTTGTTTGCAGCAACAGCAACAGCAACAGCAACAGCCACAGCCACAGCCACAGCGGCAGCCAAATCAGCAAATAGCCTCAACAACTTGTCGAAAATCAAATGATGTGCCACCACGACAGCAGCAGCAGGAGCAACAGCAACAGCAGCAACAGCAGCAGCAGCAGCAACTGTTGCAAACCAGCCACGAATCATTTGTCGCTGCCGTTTGGCACGTCCGCGTCGTCAACATTGTTGTTGTTGCTGTTGTTGCTGCTGTTGTTGTTGTTGCTGTGTTGTGGCTGCAATTTATGGCTTAGGCCAGGATCACAGCGCCAGCTAATCTTGCATGCGTCACAGTCACGCTGTGGCTCTACCGCAACCTAGCTACCTCAACCCCTCGCCAGTTCCCCAACCTCATCCGCCCCTCCCCGTCTGCTGCCCATCGGCTGGCCTGGTCGCCTTGTCAATTGCGAATCTCTGCGCCTGGCTGATCATTTTGCTGGCTTATCGCCATTTGAGATTTATTGTGATGTCGTCTTGCCACAAGCTACGCCCAGACATCCACATCCCAGCCGTTAAGCACCGCCACCCACCTCACCTCCACCCCCCCACCCCCCCTGTCGTTGCTGCAACGCATTTGCAGCTGTGGCACAGTTCCAAAAAAAAAAAAAAACACAAGCAGCCAATACAGAAATCTATGAGCCTCAGTTAACTAGCGAAGTTCAAAGGTGCAAATGCGTTTTGTCTGTTTTGCCAGCCCGTAGTCCGCCCCCCCCCCGTGTCTCACCCCAAGCCCTGCCTGCCTGCGATCCTCCTGAAAACTGATCTTGCTTTTATGGCACTCGGACTCGTTGCCCTGTCAAAGGCAGCCAGCCCCACGAGCACAGTAGCCAGGCGAAGCTCGCGCAGCTCCCTACAGACACGAGACATAGCAGAGCCAGTTGCATTTTGGGGCCCAGGTCTGTTGGCCTGGCCTGGGCTGGCTAGGTCTGCCTGGGTCTGGCTTGGTCTGGGCCAGGTCTTTGTTGTTGTTGTTGTTGTTGTTGCTGCTGCTGCTGCTGCTGCACTGTGGCTCTGTGGCTGTTCCGCTCATTTGTTTGATCATTTGTTCGGACAATGGCAGCGCGTGAATTTATGCAGTGAAAAGCGCAGTCCAAACAGTCGTTTGTCGTTTTTACCTCGATTGAACTTATGCAATGGCCCAAGGGGTCAGCCCCAGGCTCGACTCCCTCCACACAAGCATACCCCATGCACACACACACAGAGCCATAGATGTGGCTACAGTACTGCAGTTGACACAAATTTTTCTTTACAGGTCAGAGATTTGGTGGAGAAGTGCACATGCCCCTCACAGTTTCCCATGGTGCGCGTTTCCGAGGGCAAATATCGCATCGGCGACACCAAAGTCCTCATCTTTGTGCGGGTAAGTTGAATCCAAGGCTGATAAGGCTTTACACCAATCTTGGCTGGCACTAAAAAAAAAGCTGCTGCGCTTAGCTTGCATTTTAGCTATACAAAACCTAAACATCAATTACAAAATTTGAATCTGGCTTTACTTTTAGCTAGCCTCTAGTCAAAACTTGTCTTCCGGTTAAATCATATCTTAGATTCTAGCTAGGCGCCCATCTGGAATGCTCTTTGAGTATAGAAATATCTGAGATCTATTTTAATTTCAAGCCAAACTTTTAACATAATTTGTAGCTTATTTCGTTTTAAAATGAGGGAAACAAAAATGCAAAAAAAAAATAGAAGCAGTTTCATATAATTTGTATCTAAAGCTTTGTTCTTTACGAAAATTCTTATATATATTTTGAGGGAGATTTTGTTTTTAAACCAATCTCGCAGAAATCATAGCTGAACTTTCGTAAAGCCTTTGTGTTAAGCTTATGTATAAAATTCTAACCTTGATTCGGATTTAGCCTTAGTAATTGAGAATTTTGAGAAACCTGCGCCATCAGATTCTAGCTAAACTTTTTGCTTAATTTAAAACGAAGCTTTCCGCTAAGCTTTTATCCAATAACTTGCCATTAAGCTTGTCGCTAAACTTGCCACTAAGCTATCTGCTAAATTTACATTTGAATGCTAAATGGAACTGTGGAATCATTTTATGTTGGGATCTCTATTAAAAGCCGAGTAGATATCTTCCTGTACGACTGTCTGTCCGTCGTTTAGTCTGTCTGTCTGAACATCCTTCAGTCTGTGTGTCTATCTGTCCTTCATTCTGTCCGTTCTTCAGTCAGTCCGTCCATCCTTCAGTCTGTCTGTCTATCTGTGCTTTGCTCTGTACATCCTTCATTCTATCTGTCCGCCCAGCTCTATGTTTTTCTGCCCATCTATCCATTCTACAAAGCTTTTCTCTGTAATCGATATCCATTTTATCGATCCAGTTCGATATAAATTCTGCTAAATCATACAGATATATACAGATATTGGCATTTCTTAGAGATTATATGTATATTCTCATATGGATGGCTCAACATCTCTGCCAGCTTCATCTGCTTGGGTCTCACCTTTACCTCTTCTATTTACAGATCTTGCGCTCGCATGTGATGGTGCGCGTGGGCGGAGGCTGGGACACGCTCTCCCATTATCTGGACAAGCACGATCCCTGCCGCTGTCGGGCCCAGCATCGCAGCTCGCTGCAGGCGCGTCTGATGATCCGCAACACGAGCAATTCCGGCAATGGCATTGAGCTGCACAAGGCGCATGTGATATACGAACGGTGAGTGACCCGCTCGCTAGCAGGTTAATAACTAGCCCAAACACCCCCCTCCCCGCCAGACCCCCACCGCATTGGCCGCACGATGGGGCTGGATGCATTAAGTTGTTATCGCCCCGCTAATTGCATGCATAAAGCCGGATAATGACGCGAGTGCGAGTGCGAGTGCGTTGCGAGCTCCAGAATCCGCAGCGAGTCGCGCCAAGTGCCCCATTAACAAGCTCCATTAAAGACACACTCGCAGCTAGCTCAGCCGGAGGAGGAGGAGGAGGCGGCGGCTAAAGCGGGGCGTTGCTGTGAATAGTCGTCAAATGCATTCATGAATTAACGCGCTCATTCACCAAACGCAAATAGATGCTTAGGCAATGCGGCTCCACTCGCCTCCTGCTCCCCGCTCAGAGTCCTTTTGGGCTGTGTGCATCTATCTCGTGGTTGCAGTTGAGCGCAGCCAACTTAACAGGCCCAAACAATTGTTAGCTTTTTAAGCTGACTGTGCTTAGAGCTTTAACTGTTTAATCTTAAAGCGCAGCCAACTTAACTTAAGCTTAAAGCATTTGATTAATTACAAATTTCATTTGAAAGTCGCTATTCTGAATACTAGATGAACGTAATTCCCATTAATACTAGCTATATTCTATGGCACCAGGCTGTTATACCACGACTTCGTTTATTATTGCACTCTGGAGAGATAAGAGCTTTGTATTGCCCACATTCGACTGCCTATCAATGTGAACTAAGCGTAAATAAGACTGTAAAATAGACTCAGCCGGTCTCAATGAGGTGTTCCACACCAGCTATCTATATAGTACTGGGCGAAACTATAGATATAATATAAGAGTTTGGGAGTTAATACTTCCTGATGAGTCATAACTCAACCTATTCAACTTCAATTTTTGGATGTACCCAGTTGATTTTGGGAAATACCTTTCTGGTTCTTGTGCACACGTTCGGCTATCAATTGATATAGAATTATACAACTTTTTCTAATCTAGTTCTTTGGCTAGTTGTCGTTGGATCATTTCTATAAGTAATCAGTGATCTGATGTTATTGTTATTTTCAATAGCTCCGTTTTGTGTTACGCCAAAAGACCAATTACAGCTATTTATTTATAGACTTGTAAAATCGATAAGATATCGAAGCGCCAAAGTAAATCCATAATGAACTAACAAATAACAATGCACAACGGGTAAACGGCTAGAAAAACCAATAAAAAAAACCTGCTCTACCGACTGCTGAATACTCTTTCCACATTTGATTGAAACAGAGGATTCCAGCTTTGTAAACGATTTGGCACGCCCACTAGAGTCTATTTTATATCTTTTGTAAGCTAGCTCTAGAATAGACTATATAGACTCTACAGTAAATCATGCTGTTAGCTGGAAGGCTGTAAAGCTGTAGATGATAATACAAAGGATTTCCTGATATTTATATATAGATTATTTATAGATTAAAGAATCTAATCTAGTAGGAATCTATCGCAATTTATAGCACCCATCGCTTTAATTATTATACAATATTTGGCCATTGGAGCTATAGGTTATACTTTTACCACATTGGATATATATATATGTATATTCATAATATCCAAATTTTGGAATTAACGGACAGCTTGTATCCGTTAAGCTTTTGCCTATCGATTGCTTATGCCATAATCGATTTCTTGCAGCTCACCACCAGCAGCTCGACGCGTGTTATCGAATGGCGCAACTGGTTCCGGTTCTGGTTCCGGTGCCGTTTCACCAGCCGCTGGCGCTGGCGGCACCTCACCCAATGCCAGTCTAGCATCCAATGGCGGCAGCGCCGTCGCCGTGAAGCATCGCAGTCGCAGCCCGACGCCACAGCGCAAGTTCTTGAACCAGACAAACGGATTGGCCCAGACCGGATTGGAGCCGTTGCCGGCGGGCTCGCCCTACCTGGCCCGGCGCTCCATGTCGCCCAGTCAGCGGCGCATCAACGATATGCGCAAGAAGCAGAGCTCGCTGGACGGCTACAGCAGCGGACCGAAGTCCCTGCCCGCTGGCTCGGGCGCAGGAGGCGCAGATGGGCAGGAGGAGTCCACATCATCATCGTCGTCGTCGTCGTCGTCGGCGGCAACGGCGGCAACAGTCGCTGCAATCGTCCAGCCCGAGCAGAGCAACAAGTTCGAGAACATCAGCGACAATGGCAGCGAGATCAGTGACGAGGGCTACCGCAGCCTGGGCGTCATCCAGTCGAATGCACAGAAGCGCGAGTCCCTGCACAGTCAGGCCTCCATCGAGGACGCTGAAACGAATGGTGAGTACAGATGGTAGCTCTTGGAGAACTCTCTGATCAGCTTGGGACGACTTGAATCTCTTTCATCTCCTTTACAGCGCGTCTCGATCAAACGTCAAGCGACTCGCAGAGCTCGCCCACGGATGAGCACGAGCAGGAGCAGGAGCATGACCGGGAGCAGGAGCAGGAGCAGGAGCAGGAGCAGGAACCAGTGCCTGAGGTGGAACTCAAGACGAATTGTGTGCAGGAGGCAGAGCCGGTGCCAGACTACTCCATCTGCGAGCTGGACGGACCCCAATCGCTGCCCGCTGTGCTGCCCTGGCGCAAGACCGCCTGCGTCAGCAAGTTCGAGCAGTCCGGCGTGTTCATTACGGATGATGAGATTACAGTGACCACAGATCCAGCAGAGGCGGTGCCAGTGCCAGTGGCAGTGGCAGAACCAGAGACACAGGCAGAGGCAGGCGGCAACAAGGCGCCGCCGGCAGCGGGTCTCAGCAAGATACCGCGCTCGCCCCTCGCCAGTCGTCGGCGCCGCAGCAGCATCGACAACAGCACCTGCGGCAGCAGCAACGGCGGCAGTCTGCAGGACTTGCACAGCATCAACCGGAAGCAGCCCGTCTATCAGTCGGTGCGTCGCCCGCCGGCCACGCCCAGACCGAAGGCCTCGCAGCTGCCGCTGGTGCGCGACGTGACCAATACGTGGAGCGGACGCAGTGCACCCCAGAATGGAATCGCCGCCAGCAAGAAGCGGCCCACCATCAATCCGGACACGTTTGCGCCGCCCACTGGCGCAGCCGCTGCGACGTCCACGTCGCCGTCGCCGTCGCCCTTTGAGCGCGGCAGCAAGACGCGCCACTCGCAGATCCTCTACGACAGCAACGGACGGCGGGTGCGCGGCGGCTGCAGCAGCTCGCTGACGACGTCGCCCGTGAAGAACCATGCCGCCTCGCCGCTGGCCCAGCAGCTGCTCGAGGCGGCGAGCAGTTCCAAGAATGATGCACAGATTCTGGAGAAGATGAAGTCGCTGCTCTATCGCTATGCCGCCGGCAATCAACAGAAGCAGCAGCCACAGCAGCAGCAGCGGTCGGGCAATGGCAAGAAGACGCCCGTCTACGAGGACTTCACATCGGCCTGGGTCCACAGCAACGGCAATTTGGAGCGCTCCGAGAGCTGCTCGCCGCCGGCCAAGGCGCGCTCCAAGCGCAGCTCGGCCGCCTCCTCCTGCGGCAGCAACAATTCAGCTGGAGCTGCCGCTGCCGCTGCTGCTGCAGTCATATCGCCACGCAGGGAGCGCGGCCTGTCCAAGATTCCGGCACCAGTGCGTCAGCACACGGAGCTTTATTAACGGCGCGCCAAGGCGCAAGCCAGGCACAGCCCGATCACAGTGAAGCACGGGCGCCCTAGACCATAACTAAGCTAAAGGAATTGTCCGTCTATATGTCTGGGTGGCTTGTTAGATTGTAGCGAACGCAGCCGTTCCAATAGACCTCAGCAAGCTAACAACATACTCGTCTCTCTCCACACAAATATATATATATAGATATATACAAGAATACAGGAATAGGAACTGAAGGAAAGGGAAAAGGAAAATCAATATAAACTGCAACTGCCTCATTAGATCCCCAGGAACTCGGCCAATCCATGCACCAGTGCCAGCAGCAATCATATTCCAGAGAAATCCTTAAGCCAGCCACGTCTACTCGCTGTTCTTGCTGAACGCTCTCTGCTCTACGCTAAACTCTTACTCTTAACTCTTAACATGTCAGCTTACTCGTTGCTGTCACTCGCTGCTACGTCTCTTTACAAATAACGAGTGCAGGCGGTGTTTAAGAGCTGTACTGCAGCAATGCTTCCATTAGCTTCACGGTCGTCACTCGTTGCATTTCTATCAAGCGAGTGACGAGTGCAGCTAAGCTCTCGTCTCTCTCGTTACTCTCCTGGAAAGTAAATTGATCGCTACTCGTCACATTTCTATCTAGCGAGTAAACAGTAAAGCTTAGCTCTCTTACAGAAGTCAATGACTCGTTCACTCGTTCTACTCGCTCGTCTAGCAAGTAGCTCAATCGCTACTCGCTACTCGCCACTCGCTACTCGTCGTGATTGCTTGTGACCTGCGTGCCGTGCGATGCGTCGAGAACCAAACATTTACAATCCAAAATTGAGACTTTCAAATTACAATTTTAACGTTTCCTCTTCTATATACGGATATACATACATATATACGGATTTTTTTCGAATAGAACCTAAAGATAAGATAGTTTTTTTTTGGCATACAAAATCTTAAGGAACTCTGATGCATTGCTCCCGTGATAGATCTTAGAAGCAAAGAAAATAAAAAAATAAATAATAATAATAATAATTAAAAACATAGAAAGCGCATAATTTTCTAGAAGTTTTACGATTAGTGTACGTACACTCACACACCCACGCTCACGGCATGCTGTGAGTAAAAGAGAGAGAGGAAGAGAAACAATTTGTAAATAGGAAAAATAATGGGAAAGAAAAGAACTTTTGCCTAATTAATTGGGTTTATGTAATAAAAGGTAACTAATTAGGACTGATTGTAGAGCATGCATGTGTGTACATGTATGCGTATGTGCATGTGGCGTGTGCGTGTGTGTGTGTGTTTATATATGTGTGCGTACTTAATTATTTCCAGCATAGCCTTAAAAAGAAAATGGAAAATTTATTTTTATACGCAAGCCATCAAAGCGAAAAACGAGGGAATAAAATGAGAAAATTTTAAACAAAAACAAAATTACGATTTTACATGACGACGTAAAGATATACAAACCATAAGAAAGGAGCAGACATAATAAAAAACAACAACACTATAATAATTACAAACAACAATAATAATAGTTAAAAGCACAGTTGAGCATTAGTTAGGATTGTTAGAGCAGCTGTCGAAGAACTTAATGAATTTTGGTGCTTTATATAGGTCAGGCAGACACCGAAGATAATTTCCATATTATGCCCCCAAATCAGAACTATATATAGTACATATATAAAGGTCACAAAAAGTTTTCGAATTTTAAGTGGAATGCTTCTTATACTATATATAAACCCCATATAACTAAAAAAAAAAAAAAAAAAAACTTAAAAAAACCCATAACCGAACTATGTAAAAGCCTAATATAATATTTCATTTGACCACAAAATATTAGAATAATTTTAAATATAAATATAATTTTTTTTTTTTTTGCTTTTTGTAATAGCAAAGTTTAGTACGTCGTACCTTTATAAAGCAGCATATAAAAATATATAGCATATATATATAATTTCAAGTCAAGTTTCTGTTAAACAAAATGTATCCAACGCAAGCAAACCACATATATCTATATGTATGCGATTATTCTCTGCTATATCTAAGAGCCTAAGCTCATAACTATATATATATATATATAACAAAACAATATATAAAACAAAAACATGAACAAGAAAAAGAAAACAACATATGTAGATCAAATCGAAACAATAACACTACAAATTTCATTTCAGCAAAATGACAATTTAATTGTTTACACAACACGCACATAACATGAAGATAAAAACAAAAAGATAGAAATCTATCTGACAGATACTTTTGCATATGTTGCTGTGTTGACCTAATGGCAATTTCTTCTTTTCCTCAAGCTCTATTTATATTCTTGTTTTGGAAATTGATGTAATGCAACACATATACATATATATACATATATATGAAAATGTATTTTAAATACAATTAATTATTATTAAATCATTTAAAAGCAAACTAACTATTACAAATAGATAACGAGAAGAATATCTGTGTGTGTGTAAAGCCACAATATATTGATTTTAATCACAAGAATTTAATAAATATATAAATAAAGTATAAACGATAAAAGAAAACGAAAAACGCACACAATTTCGAGTTTTATTTCACACACCTAATCTGGACGTCAAGTCTAGCATAGCAAATTAGCTGCAGGAAAAAGTCTGACAGGCAACATATTGCTTAATTAGTGGAGCTATTATAGAAACGAACTCGTTGCAACGTATGCGGATACGCATCGTGCTCACCTGTCGTCAAGGTAAATTAGCATGTGCATCTGCAACTAATTAACAATAATCAGGCAAAGAAATTCTCCTGAAATTCAAAAATACGTTAAATGCAAATAGTGCGGATGTCGCAGCACCAAGCTTGGATTACCTCACAGATTCGATAGTCAAATCGGTTGTTATCGCTATGCAGCACTGGTTCACTGAACAAAAGCAAACTTTAAAAGTGAATTCATAAAAGTTAACATGTTCTTTTATGGAATATACATATATTTATTGTTTATATACTATTCTTCATTAGAACTCTTCTTTTTTTCTCAGCTAATTCTACTACCCTACAGATCTCCCAGACTACTACTGTCCATACCAAAACGAGCCTTGTCTTGACTCTCGGTCCAAGCCTTGGCAATCATTTGCTTTGTTTTTGAATCGCCGGAGTTATACATTTTCTTCATGATGTTGACCAATGCACCCTCGGGATTTTCACTATCCTTAGACAACTCGCTATCCTGCTTCTGTTTTAGACGCTTCTGTATGGATGTTAGAACGTCCCAGCTCTTATCTTCCTCGACCTTCTTCAAATAAATAGCAACCATGTCGGTCTTCAGCTTCCGATAACTCTTCTCAACATCGATGGCATAGAGCAGATTGTTGACGGTGAGCCCAAAATCTTTGCCGTTGAGATCGCTCACATACAACTGCATTGAGTTTTCCGTGTAGTGAACTGTGACTGCCTCCTCGGCACAGTTCTGAACGCCGGGCAGCGTTATGAACAGCTTAACAAACTTGGCGCTTTGATCCCAGCCGTAGTCTGTGAGCTCGTGTAGATAGCTGATGGGCATATTTCAGTTTCATTATATGTATATATACATATGTATATAGTGAAATTAAATTTTGAAATGCTTACCGCTTAGTTTCTGGACCAGCTTTTCGTTCGGCTGCCAGGCGTGCTTTTATCTCTAGGTTAATAATTTCGCGTTCTGCTTCAGCCTTAGCCTGGGTTAACGCGCCTTTTACACGCGCAGTTTTTGCTAGCTCCAACAGTGCAATGCACTCGGCGACTTCGGCCTTTAGCTGTGGCAATTGACATGTTTTTTACATTCAGTTTATTTTAATTCATCACTTTGTCTACTTACTTGTTCGACGGGCATTTTCCTTCAAGTTTATAAGCGTCAGGCTCTTACTAAAATTTGTATAACTACTGAATCGTAGAAACTTCGAGCAATAATGACGCCGGCTTATGGATGTGTCCTCTGATAATATCGATATTTAGAAAAATGAGCTACAACTCACGATACTTATCACGGTATTTATAAATACTGAAATACTAAATAAAAATGCATAGCTTATCGATTGGTAGCGGAAATCGAAACAGTTATTTTCAATGTATTTATGTGCTGGCAATACTGCAACGTAACGGTGCTTTTCCAGTTTTGCGCAATTAGATTTTCTAATTGGTCCAATATAAAATATGAGTCTGCAAGACGAGAGCTTTCCCACTGATGAACTGTTTGACCAACTAAACGCCACCACAGCCAGCGATGGCAATAGCCAAAGTTTTCAGCGTCAATACAGCATGTGTTTGGGGCTTGATGTGCCCGAAAACATTGAGCGCCAAGTGTCGCCATTTTTAAACAGCGACTGCTCAGAAAAAACGTGCTCCAGCGATCCCCTCGGCATGGAACACACGGAAAGTGGGGCCAAACGTAGTGAGTGTCAGCATGATCCCTTATCATAATGATTCATACATGTTATTGCAGGCAACAATGGGGTGACAGATACGCACCTACAGCTGGGAAGTGGGCGCAGCAATAAAGCGGTTTCTTATCAGGACATACACACGGCATACACGAAGCGAACGTACAAACACGTGACGAGCAAAGTGAGCAAATACATTGCGGACATACACGACCAGGAGAAACAGCGTCGAACCTCAGCCAGCACATTTCAAAGGCACCGGTCGATGCCCGAATCGCTCACGCCCCGAGGCGGTACCGACGACCAGCAGAAAATAGATCATTCGCTCTCGCTGGCCAATAGCAGCAGCACAGACATGCACGTACGCGACGAGAGCTACGAGCGATTGGTCAGCGAGAAAGATCACTTGCAGTCGTACAATGATTACCTGGAGAGCAGGCTTTACAAGAAGATCAACGATAATCTTGTCCTGCGAAAGAACTTCGAGGTCATACGAACGGAGCTAACCGATTGCAAGGACAAGCTTAAACGTCAAGCCGTTGCTCCAGTTGCTGCCCAATCGCTGCGCTCACTCGTCTATTGTCCTCCCAATGAGAGCGTCGCCACACAAACAGATTTGCCAGTTATGGCCAATTTATCCAATCTTTCAAATATGCCCGCCTTAGCGGCAAATGCAACACCGCATCCTAACACAAACCTGAATGACATCACTTACGATAGTAGCGTCGGCTCTATTGAAATACCGTTACTCAGCGTGCAGCCGACGGCTCACCAACTGAAACTGACCAAATCGGTCAAGAAGAGCGGGATAATAAAGCGTTTGTCCCTAAACTTTAGCAACGACAGTGCTGACGGTGATGTCACTGGGCAAGCGTTAAGTATATATATTAATAAATAATAATGAGCAATTAAAAACCATTTGCTAATTGTAGCTGGTGTTGCAGTTGGCGTTAGCATGGAACCAACTGGCACTAATGGCGCCACCACAAACCACTCAGGCAGCAGTCATCCCAGCAGCAATGACTCAGCCATTGAGATAGAGGGTAACGAGCTGCGATCACCGCGAGTCAATTATGGACCCATCCGCGAGTGGGGACAACGTGAAGGATTGATTTACTTTGACAAGCACAGCAATCGGGTCATTGAGCTGGTGCCACTCAATCCGCATGAGTCGAGCAACGGCAGCTCAATCAACCAGAGCCAGTTCAGCATGCTGCAGTACACGGCCAATGCGCACATTGGCCAAAGGAAGAAATCCCTGGCTGCTCGCATGCTGCGCCTACTGGGACCCTGTGCCCGTTGCGATGATCCCAATCAGATCGATACCAGCACAGCTACCTATACAGTGGGTATACCACTTTTGGCCAACGAGTCAAGGCGTTGAATATTCATTATTTATTGTATTTCTATTTCTATGTTAGCGCTGGCGTTTTTCTCTTTATTTTTTTCTGTTTTAACCACATTTTTATGTTTTAGTCCACATTTGTATTCAATAATTCCATGTCATGTTATAATTTATGGCTGTATGCATTTTTAGTCGTAGTTTAGTGTCAGTTTATCAACATGTATCCATTCATAAATATTAAAATTGAATTGCGTTCTTAAATTTGTAGATTAGCGTTATCGATTCATAATTAATCAAATTGAATTGAGTGTTTAAATTTCGCGGTCATCAGTGCACCAAGCTATCGATGGACAGCGCTGCAGCGAACCGATATACCAGTGTGGGCAACACTGTCATCAGCTGGTCGCCATTTGTCGCCATCGGCGAATTGTCAAAGAATTGCAATGGCCTGGCAGGCATAGACTAAGTAACTTGATGGTCGCATTTAACAAAAATAAATAATTCGGAAAGTTCGAGAGGAGAGCGAAATATATCCCGCTGATATTCGCCAAAATTAACATCGGTTTACCAGGCGAGTAACAGCGGGAACGACAGCAACAGAAACGAAGCCAAACGGAATCCAGATTGACTAAAAACTTTTAAAAAAAAGTAAGCGATTCAAATTTTGCCTACTGTTGAAGGCGAAAAAAACCCTATTCCTCACTAACATTACAGCGCTCAACAGTGCTGTTCGGCACCTAAAAAAAAAATATATTATAAAAACGAAAAATTTCCAAATTTTTAAAAACCAAATTAGAGACGTATAATTTTAATCGCGATTTCGGACTAAATTTCCATGTATTTATAGAAAAAAAAAAAAAAAAAAACCAAAAATAAGAAAAAAGGCCATTCCATATAAACGCGGCGAGCCAATAAAAAAAACGGTTGTCAAGAATTTGCTTAAGCCAGCTCGGGCCGATGCTGCTGCTGATTGCGTTGCGTGAGAAGAGAGCCCGTGAAATGGAGAAGCGCGTCAATTCCGGCAATGGACGCTGCGGAAACGCGACTATGCCGGCTGGTCCAGCGAAGAAAACCAACGCACATGCTAATAAGCTAAGCACCACCAAGGCCACATCCAAACCGAGGAATCTGCAACAGAAGAAAGCTAGCAATGCAACAACTGCTGTTACTACTACTACTACTACTGCTACTACTACTACTACTACTGGAGCAGCAGTAGCAGCAGCAGCAGCAGTGGATGGCAACTCGAGTCCAAAGTTAGCGGCCACATTTCAAGGCATGAGCGTAAACGTGCCGCCGACTGCGAGCAGAGGCATGCACTCTTGGCCGCGCCAGGACGAGCATACGATGCAAACAACAACTGCAGCGATTACAGCTGCACGCGCAAGAGCAGCAGTAGATTTGGCCGCTTTGGCAGCCACAGCGACGGCAAACATAGCGAATAATAAGCAAAATAACAACAACAACTACAATGGTATTGTGAAAATCCAAAAGCATCCGCCAGTGTTGGGAATAGGCGAACAATATGCAACAATTGCGGCGAATTACAGGACGAAGCCACGCAACAAAAGCGACGGTAAGGCAACCATTTTGAATTTGTATTTTCTATTCCGTGCAAATGTACTAAGTGTGTGTGAGAGTTTGCGAATAATGTGTGTGTGTATTCGTTCCTATTCAAATCTATTTTTATGCATAAGACAGTGAGTGGAAGAGGGAGGGGGCAAGTGCTTTTAGATTTAACAAAAGCTGTCATTTTCTTATTAAATATTGACAATTTCAATTTTCAGAGGCCATCAACGATCTGCTGCAGCGCATACCGGACATTGGGCAAATATTTGATGTGCAGAGTAGAATTGGCAACGGAACCTTTAGCACTGTGCTCCTGGCCACACTTAAGCGGGAAGCACAGTTACCGGAGAATATGCGGCGCAAGTTTGCTATCAAGCATCACATACCCACCAGCCATCCGGACCGCATTATGAAGGAGCTGCAGTGCATGACTGACATGGGGTAAGTCTACCACATTCCAATATTATCAATATGAAAATTTATAATTACTAATTGCAAGACAAAAATGTAAATAATTTCTCAGCGAATTATTTATGCATATACATACATACATATGTATATACGCGTGTGTGTGTGCTGCCTTTTCACTGAGAGAGCGTCACGAACGACGTCAGCCGGCTGCCGTAGACGTCTCTTCGATTCTACGTGCCAACGGCATATACGTCATTGCAATTTATTTCAAGTTGCCGTTGGCGTTCTCATTCCCGCTCCTGCTCCCACTCCCATTGCCATCGGTCTGACGTTTATTGCACTTTCACACACCATTCACGTGCTAGCTACCTTCTCAGTTACATGGTCGCCAGCCTCTCTTTTCCTCGTTCGGTCGCTGGCATTCGCCAATCATTTCTCGTGTAACGTTTGTTTACAAATCATGCAAGCAATTTCATGTATGTACATTTAAACAGCCAGACACACACACGCCCACATGTATGCATGTGTATACAAGTACACTCAGGCATACAAATATACATATACCGAATGCATGTATGTGTGAGAGCAGTGTCATCTTCATAAAGTGGATTGTTTGGAATTGTAGCTACTTTGCATATCCTTCCAATAAGTATCGATTACAGTGCCGGTGTGTACTTGCATACTATCGATACTATTCACTCTGCATGGCTCAGATTAGATAAGCAATACACACTTGTGTTCGTGTGTGTTTGTCTGATGACGTAGACAAATCATTCAATTCCGCTCTGAACTACCTTGGGCAAGGTTATCGCAAGAATATGCCTAAATACCAAATGGCAGCCGGCTTGAGTTTCAATAGGGTTCACTTTGCTCCCCTCTTTTCTACTCTGCTGGTATTATTTATGTCTAACAGGCGAGCCAGAGCAAGAGATGGTTGAACAGACAGCGCTCTCTGCGTGGGTCGACAAGGTGGGCGATTGGCTGGGGTGGGTGGGGGATTGGCTGCTCTAAACATAACATTAGTCAGGCGGTCAGCCGGCCGGTTGTACAGCTACTGCTCCCTCTCTCGCTCTCTCTCTGTCTCTTTCACTCTGTTGCTGTTCATATGCATATCTAACGATGTGTGAGTGTATATTCCTGTCCTTATCCATTCAATTTGCGCAAATTCCATTGCCGAATTGCGTCACAGCGTTTAACAATTATGATATGGGAACGACGGGGATTTCGAGTCGTGCGCACTGCTTGGCTAATAATCTTTGCAATGACGTCGACCCTCGTCCATCGACGTGGGCGACCCTTCTCCAGCTAATGTTGTAGGGCATAAGAAAGAGAAGGCGGCGAATGGATGACCAACTAGCCAGTATCTCCTCTCGAGTTTCTCTCTTAATTCAATTAATACTAAATTTACTTCTTTATGGAACTGTTAACAACAGAACGGGTGAAACTTGCCAAAGAATTCGCACATTAGCAAAACGTTAACCGCAATTGTTTAACCCTTGGGAGACATATGAGGTATATAATTGCCAGAATAGCTTACATTTAATATATATATACATATATCTTCCAAAATCAATTCTTATCTCTCGTTTGACAAGTGAAAGTTCTTATCTTTTCAAAGGCGCTCATGTCGATCCTTCACTGATTTATAACGGCTCACTAGCTTCAATAGCTCCATAAGCTTTTGTCTCCCGCTCAGTATTCATCTGTAGCTCTAATCCCTCGCACCTTTTCTAGTCTCACCCTATCCTCTCCCTTTTTTACCCACAATCATATAATCTAATACTCTGTCTCTTTTCTTTTATAGAGGCACCGACAATGTCGTTGGGATCCACTGCTGCTTACGCTGTGAGGCATCGGCGGCCTTTGTGATGCCCTATATGCCACACGATCGCTTCCATGACTTCTACACAAAAATGGATGTGCCTGAGATTCGCCTTTACATGCGCAATCTGCTGTTGGCCCTGCGCCATGTGCACAAGTTCAACATCATCCACCGCGATGTGAAGCCCAGCAATTTTCTGTACAATCGTCGTCAGGGCCAGTTTCTACTCGTTGACTTTGGGCTGGCACAGCATGTCAATGTTCCTGCCGGCCATGCGCCCCAACAACAACAACAACAACAGCAACAGCAGCAGTATCCGGCGCAGCAGCAGCAACTGGCAGCTAACAGCAAGCGTCCGCGCGAGCGTGAGCCACATCCACAGCGTCAACAGCTGCAGCAGCAGCAACAGCTCTCTTCAGCTTCCCCAGAGGCTACACTCGGTGGTGGCGTCAAGCGCATGCGCCTGATTGAGGAGTCAATCAACTGGAACAAGATGCCGCTCAAGCCGGTCAACGAGATAGCGCAGAGCGCCAAGGCTGCCGGAGAACTGATGCTCAACGATGGCAAACAGAGTTTGCCGGAGGGGAGTGGAGCGGCAGCAGCGGTTATATCAACCACCAACAGCACCATACAGCCACAGCAGGGGCCAGCTGCTCAGCCGCAGCTGGTGCAGCAGGAGCCGCCAGTTGCTCACGCTAGCAGCGCCACTGGGACCAAGTACAATACAAATCGCACGACTGGCGGCGGCAATAACTCGAAATGTTTTTGCTTTGCGAATCCCTCCGTTTGCATAAATTGCCTAACCAAGAAGGAGGTGCACGCCTCGCGAGCCGGCACTCCGGGCTACCGTCCGCCGGAGGTGCTGATCAAGTATGCGGATCAGACGACAGCTGTGGATATCTGGGCAGCGGGCGTCATCTTTCTCTCCATACTGTCTGCCGTCTATCCGTTCTTCAAGGCGCCCAACGATTTTGTTGCTCTGGCTGAGATTGTGACCATCTTTGGGGACCGGGCCATACGCAAGACGGCGCTGGCACTGGAGCGCATGGTCACCCTCAGCCAGCGCTCAAAGCCATTGAACCTACGCAAGCTCTGTCTGCGCTTCCGCAATCGTTTGATCTTCAGCGACCAGGAGATGGTGCGCAAACACGAGTCGCCTGACGGCCGGATCGATGTGTGCAAGAACTGTGATCAATATTTCTTCAATTGCCTCTGCGAGGATAGTGTCTACGTAACTGAGCCGCTGGACCCATACGAATGCTTTCCAGCGAGCGCCTATGATCTGCTGGGACGCTTGCTCGAAATAAACCCCCACAAGCGTATTACCGCCGAGCAGGCGCTCAATCATCCATTCTTTACCATGGAGCATCAGACGCCTGATCCGCCCGCACCAACTGTACCCCTTGCTCCTCCCGCTGCCGTTGCCGTTGCTCCTACCGCTGCCGTGGCTTCACCATCGCTCAAGGCAACTAGCAAGCAACAGACGCGCAGGCGCGCTACGAAAAACGGGACGTCACAAAATGTTGCGTCCAATCCTGAGCAGCTACAACCAACTCTACACAAACTGTGAAAACTAGTCGAAACAGAACCCATTTGTACAAAATCCTCTGCAACTTATGATAGATATATATCTATAGATATATATACATTTTTTTTTTTTTTGCATTGAAATCCAGTGGTAAACATAGTCGTATATATATGCATATATACACTCACGCACGCACGGGCGTATGCACACACACACACACATACACATACACACAGAAAATTCTAACATTAAAAACTAACGCCCTGCGCCCACACAAGCACACACATACACACTGCCCCAGTAATCATCATGGCTCCATGCATATCATCCATATACACACAGAGGATTACATAGCAACAAAAAAAAAAAAAAAAACAAGAATAACATTAAAATTAAAATTAGTCGCAAAACTTAAAAAAAAAAAAATAGAAAAAACAAACAGAATTATTTAGTTATAGAAACAAAACAAAAGAAATTACATACCTCAGCATTTTTTTAGCTTTCCTTCATTACATATACTCAATATCCAAATCAAAAACCGTTCGATTTTCGGCTAAAACCAATTTTATGTACACCAAAAAATACATACATTAAATCTACACTTAATATAATTAAAAACTCGTTTTTTTACCAATCAAACCAAATGCAAAACACAAATGGACAAAATAGTTTATAAAACTGCAATTTTAGTACTTAATTAATAAAAGAGAATGAATATGAAAATGTGAGCAGCTAGTTCTGCTCCAACACATAAAAGAAATTAATTGTAAATTGTTAAATATTATTCGAATATCTCTTAGTTTGTATATATTATTAGAGTATGTGTACATATATACATATGCATAAGTAGATCATGTCTGCAGAAAACAAATATATTTATACCGTACAATTTGTATAGAATGAGAAAAACAATTTATTTTGTATTTAAGCTGTTTGCCAACGGAAAAGAGAAGCATGAAGGGTCGGAGCTGAACATGAACCACACTGATTCTTAGTTCACAGCCCTGGTTTGATCCCTTCACTAATGAGCACACTAAGGGAATTTAAAGACCCATCTTTTTAGTGATTTACATCCCTGGTTTAAAGTCTGCACTAAGTTCCTTTTTAAAATATAGTAGAGAAAACAGAAAGGAAATTTAACATTCGTTAAATATATTTTTCATTCTTTTTATATACATACGTATATATTTATATAATTTTTCAATCTTGTAAAAAAAAAAAAGATAAAAGAATTATCTATCGAACTAGTAGATCCTTAAGTCTTCCTATTATTTGCCATTCAGGTTCAGGTCTCCGCTTTCTTTGCTCTTTTTCGTGTCTTTTTCGCGGACGTTGTGGGCGCATCCTCTTCCATGACATTACTGTCTTCGGGTTTCTCCTCAATTTTGATACGTTTGCCAGCCTTGGCCTCCTCCTTGCTGGGCTGTGTCTCAATGACACGCTTTTTGGGCTGCTTGAAGCTGCCGCGGCCAGCCGCCCGTTCCGATTCCTCAATGCTGTATGGCTCCGTTTCGAGTGCCTTGAGACGCCGCTTGTGAACCTTGGTGCGGAAGTGCGCCTGCATGGATCTATCGTCGATAAAGTACTTGGCACAATGGACGCAGTAGAATTGTGCAAAGCCCGGCTTATCCAGGTCAACGCTTTGGTTGATCAGCTCTCCGCTGCGTGTGCGCATATCATCGTCGATCTGGTCCAAATCTCTGCGCCGGTTACGCACACGCCAGCGACGCTGAAGGTGCGTATCGCCATAGTGCATCTTCTTGCGCTTCTGTACCATACCCATCTTGAGGCGTTTGTGATAGAAACAGTTGACGAAAACAAAAATTAGAGAATCTGCTTCGCTTGTTGCAAATGTCGGCTGCACGTGGTGTTTGTTTTGATCTCTTCAGAGTGCGCAACAGCTGCTTCAAAAGCTAAAGGCTGAAAAACAATTCACAGAAAATATGAGTTAGAATCAGTTTTATATACGTGATGCACATAATTTACATACCCACCTCTTTTGTTAAATTTACGGCGTTTTCCTTCTTTTTCCTTATTTACTGCGTATAAATAGGAGACAAATTAAATCTGTAGGGTACACACTATGTAGCGGCTATTGGGTATGTCAGTGTGTACACACTAACAGCTGTGTACACACTTTACAGCTGTTTTATATTTATTTAATGCGTGAATAATTGTGATGTAACATTACGTTACATTAAAAAAAAATCAGTTTTCCTTAGTTTTTATGTTTTTTGCAAATCAATTTTTTTTATTATGTTCATTTATATTTATTCGATATTTGAAAGTAAGAGAAATGAAAATACTCGATAGTAAACAAAAATCGGTTAGTAGATCGAAAAGCTCAACAATCGTTTTCCCACTGATGGTGCCATGAAACGAAACTTTAATCGTGCGAACAAGTTGTCTGCGGGCGGACGTGCGCATTTTTTGGTTGTTTAATTTTTATTCAACACCAATACGACAAAAAGAAGTAAATAATAAGCGTATTATTAAATAAACAGTAACTCAATTAAAGTCCAATAATGCAATACATGAGTGCTAAGCCATTAATGCACACACCACGAAACAGAAACATGTTTCTTTGATATGTGATTAAATAACGCTGTAGTGCGCTTCCTTGCTATAGCATTCATTAAATTTTTTTCTTGTTATGTTATGTTTGTGCATTCAATGAATAAAAGTGCTGGACATATTCGCATTATTGTTATGCTAATGGATTCGCCAACTGCGTTCAGTGGACATCTCCGCCGTCGCCATCGTCGTTGTCAACGATGATTTTGATTGTTCAATTATGCCGTTATGAACAGCTGTTCTGATTGTGCATCACTCTCTCTGATGTTGCAAGCACGAACAGCATGCGAAATGTTAAACGATAATTTGACTGCGATAAATACGACTATATAATTCCGTTTGTCATGTTATGCTGTGCGTGTGTGTAGCTTATTCAAACAGTGATTACACTCCCGAAAAAGAGAGAAAAATAATAATAGCATATATCGTTTATTTACTGCCGATTTCTGTTTCAGCTTCGCACATTCCGTTGACTTTTGTATACACCGGCTTACACTTGTTTGCATTTGCATTTGGAATTTTTGGCGCAGACTTAAATAGTGCAGTAAGTACAACCATTTAATACAAACATATATACACATATTTATACAATAACATAATGTAATTGTTGCTATAGTTGCCTCTAGTATATACAAACATACAAATACTTATCAACAAATAAAAGAACGTGCGGAGCCAGTTTATCAGTGGCTGCAGCTCCATTCGTTAATCAACCTTTAACTGCTATATGCTCACACACAAATCCACGGAGAGAGAGAAACGGTCACGTGCGTGTGTGTGTGTGCGACTGTTGGTATTTAAATCTGTGTTATTTTTTGTTGCTTTTGCGATCGATTTCGAATTTAGATCGCATCGTGCAATATTTGCAGTTGTCTCGAAACTTAAATGTAGCGCGCGCTGTGACGTAACAGCACACGCACACACACACACACACACACACACACACACATAAGCATACAAAGTGAATTTACTCTATTGCCACCTCCTCCGCTGCACAGCTGTGTGCGTGTGTTAGTGAACGCACCAACTAACACATGCAGCAATTCACAGTCTTCCTCCTGTCAGCTGTCAAAGAGTTGCTCTCTCTCTCTCGGTCACTTGCTCTGTTCAGCACTTACTCGTGCTCTCGCTGCTTAAAAAACAGTTTGCTCGTGCACAGCGATTATGATAGCGATTACAAGTGATTGCTATGCGCGATGCACAATTGATTAACTGGCGAGAAGTTTTGCTGAATTTAGCAATGATAAGTAAATAACTGGATAGATATAGAAGAAACGTGCATTCTTTTATATTTGTATTTGTTGCACATGTGTATGTATATGCAAATATAATATGTTTGTATGTAAATAACATACAACAGCTCTGAGCATAATGCTACGGGTTGCTAATAAAGTCGCTAATGTCTCCAGCTGAAAGCGAAAGTCTTTTGAACGAAGACTGAGACGCCAGCAACACATGAAACTTGAATGTCCGTTAGTCATTTGCCATTTAGCTGATCTTTGATACCTCCACAAAGATTATTGTGCAATGGCGTGAATGGTAAATGGTAAATTTGACGGTAACCAATTCGTAAATAGTTGTTAATTAACAGTATAAGTAGTTAGTAGTATTTCCATTTAGTTTGTAGTTTTGGTCGACCTTTGTAGCCCTAGTTCCTCACATCTTGGTTAGCAAAACAATTTTTTTTTTTTTAATATTAATTATTATTATTATTTTTCTCGATTACTCAAGTTTATTGGTTATTATTGGGCAACCTAGTTACGAAAATGTGGAATAGTAGTAGTAAAACGACTACAAGCAATGCTAATAATAAGGAAAATGATCTGCCGATCGAAGCGGTCTATCGTGCCATTAATGCTATAAAGGAGTCGAAGGCTGCAATCAAGCCTACATTACTGAATCCGTTAAGTGTACCCCAAGATGAGATCGTGAAAGCCGAGGAGCAGAAGGGCATCATTGAGTTCCATTGCATTAGCAACTCTTTGACAAAGGACGTTGATAAGCAGACTGCGATCTTTCTGATTGCTCTCCAATCGGTATTCGGGCAACAGCTGCCGGAGATGCCACCCACTTATATAACCCGACTGCTGTACGATCCCATGCACAAGACGATCGTGTTGGCTAAGAAGGGTCAGGCTATTGGTGGGATCTGTTTTCGTATGTTTCCCACCCAAGGCTTCACCGAGATTGTGTTCTGTGCGATCTCCATGCCGGAGCAGGTGAAGGGCTATGGCAGCTATTTGATGAATCACTTGAAGGACTACATCATGCAGAAGGGCATTCAGCATCTGCTGGCCTATGCCGACTGCAATGCCATTGGCTATTTCAAGAAGCAGGGCTTCTCGAACAATATACGTCTAGCACGGCCCATCTACGAGGGCTATATCAAGGAGTACGATAGTGCCACTCTAATGCACTGCGAGCTCCATCCGGGCATTGTGAACACCCAAATCACATCGACCATACGCCAGCAAAAAGAAGTCCTTAATGAATTGATTGCACAGCGCCAGAAGGAGGTGGAGAGGGTGCGAACCGGCCTTACGTGCTTCAAGCATGGGGTCGCCGCTATACCGATCGCTTCGATACCGGGCCTCAAAGAGATCGGCTGGCACCCGAATTTTTCGGCCACTCGTGTCGAGGAACGATCAAATCCTGCCCATCTAACGGGCCTATTCGAGGCAGTGCTGCAGGCGATGCGACGCCAAACCACTGCCTGGCCCTTCCTATCGCCCGTCAATCCCAAAGACGTGCCCGACTATTATGTCCATATCAAATATCCAATGGACCTGAAGACTGTGGGTGAGCGCCTCGAGCGTGGCTACTATAAAACGCGTCGCCTGTTCATGGCCGACATGGCGCGTATGTTTTCCAATTGCCGCAGCTTCAACGCACCCAATACCGATTACTATCGCTGTGCCACGACTCTCGAGCGTTTCTACCTGAACAAGATGCGTCAATTCGGACTCCTAGACAAGTGAAACACTTTCCACGATCGCAGCTGGTGCTGATAAGAATGAATCACATTTATTTTAGTTTATAATTTTTTTTTTTAATTTTAATTACCATGTAACACTCAAAAGCTAGTCAGCACTAGACGACTCTTGTAAAACACACACACACAAAACAGGAAGACTAAAAATACTAACAATTTAATCAATAATAGCTTTTACTTTTTATTTGCTTGCTAAACATATGCCTAGAATAGGTACTGAACTGAATAGAAAAGCAAAGAAAGGCTGAAAAATAATGAAGATATATATTTTATTTTATTTTTTTAATTTTTTATACATATTCTGTGAATATACTTTAGAGCTTTATATATAGTATGTCTAACATATTGTTGCTTTAAAGTTTTTGTTTTGTTTTTTAATTTGTTCATTAATTCTTAAGCCATTTATAGATATATTTCTAATACATATTTGTATTAACAACATGAAGAAATACCCACAAAACAAGAAGACAAATACTAACAATTTAACCAATGATAGCTTAAGTTTTTAATTTTTATTTGCTTGCTCAAAATGTGCCTAAACTAGGCAGTGAACTGAATAGAGCAACAAAAAGAGGGCGCAAAATAATGAAGATATATATATTTTTTTATACATGTTCTGTGAATATACTTTAGAGCTATATACATATACGGATAGTATATCTAACATATTGTTAGAGTTGCTTTAAAGTTTTTTGTTTTTGTATTTATTTTATTTTTTTTTTTATTTGTTTGTGATTTAAAAATATATAATATATACATATATCTAATAAAAAATTGAAGAAATAAATTTATAGTTTTTTTGTTTACTTTTAATTCTGTGAATATACTAAGAACCGTTACAGTAAGTAAAGTATTCGAGAAAAAAATTAAGATAAGCTTTTTCTTGTGATTTATTAATATTAGAAATTAAAGTTTATAAAAAATATATTTATCTCGAGAAAACTTAACTGTTAAAGCAGTTATAGAGACATAATTATAAAATTGATACTGGAATTCTAAAACCGATAGATAAGTGCATATATGTATGAATAAGGATATTCTCTAAGAATTTAAGTAATGCATTAATAGTATTATCAAGCATCTGCTATTAATATCTACCAATTATCCCCAAAATAGCAATCCGCATAAATCCCGCTTGCTGTCAAAGATCGCTTAGCGACTTTAAATATAATTCAAATAAGATAACTTCGGAGCATGTGGAGCAAAGTTTGAGAAACAATTTTTTGAAATAAGTAATTTCGAGCTGGTATGAAATAACAATTGCGACCAGCAGAGCGCCAACCCGTTGGGCCAGTTGAGCGCCGCTCGGGCTCAATTGGCATCAAGGTGAACGTCTTTTTGGCTCTCTCGAATTGGAATAAGCAAGCATACATAATGCCGTTATGGGCCATCAGTGATGGACATTTGTATGTTTAGTATATAGTGTATATAGTAATATATTCTTATATACAATATGTATGGTGGGGTCAGTGTAGGAGAGAGAGTGAGAGCGAAGGAATGTGGTTTACCGTTCGGATTTACTTTTTGCACTTGCCTTTTGGCTTATCTTTGTTAAAAAAGAAAAAGGAAAAAACAATGCAAAAAAGCAGCTGGTTTTTATACCGTTTTTATTTTATTTTTATTTTTATTGCGGTTGCTTTGTTGTCGAATTACATGCGATAGTCGTTTGGTTTATATTTGTATGTATGTACATATATACAAATAATTCTTAACACGATTTCGTATAGACAAAGTGAATATCAAATCTTGTGATTGTGATTTGGAACTCGTTTTCTATCAATTATAGAAATACCCTGTAAATGGGGCATATTATTTAAATTTAGTAGCAAGTATGTACATATGTATCTATGAATTGTTAAAGACAATACAAGCTTCGACTATTTACTATTGATAGTTTGGAGACTAAATTTCTCAAACTTATCGATAGCTTGCAATCGATGTACTAATTAATGTTGTAATATCCAACATTATGCAGGGCATTCAATAGTCGTGCCAGTCGTAGCACATTCACTACACTCTATATTGGTTCCATTTGAGTTCTTTCTGATCTTAGCCCGGATATGGATGGAGACTGTGTCACGTGACTGACTGAGTCACTTAGCCAACGTGGTAGTTCGCTTTGGCATTCGCTTTGGTAGTTCCACATTTGATTTTTACAAGTCTAATTGCAAAAGCGAAAAGAGATATTTCATATAAAGTAGCTGGAAAAACCGGATTCTCGAAACTGGGGCTAACTGAACTCAGATACGCTGACGGGAGCCCCTAGCCAGGGGGCGTGGCACGCGAATGAAAAGTAGGTAATTCCTAAAAAGTTATAATAAGGTAATTTCAGAGATGAATGTTGAGTGAGAGAAAGAGAGTAGGGAACACAAACCACAAACAAACAGCGAGAGAGAGAGAGAGAGGCACTCATGAATTGCTTATCGCATAAAGCAATGGAATCCAACAGAAAGAAAGAGGGGACGATCGAGGGGGAAAGGGCTGTAATACGCCAGACTAAATGGTAATTCCCATAGCTCAAAGCTATTATAAATAACTAAACTATATGAGCTTTAAACAGTACCAGTTCAAGCACAGTGAAAGCTCACTAAAGTGTACGCCCCTACTGAAAACAGCTGTCGAATCAGTATAATTGCATTACTGCAATTAATGAAAATGATAAAGCTGTTTGCTCCACAGTCGATTTATAGTATCTACATATGTATATTATTTAATATAGACACACTCATGTACGCGCGATATTTGTAGCGTTAATTGCCTGTAGCTTCCCATTATAACTATTGCTGAGAGTGGTACATGGAAAATGAGGCAAACGCCAAGTGTTAAATGCTCTTTAAATCGAATCTGAGCTATATGTCTAGCATAGTAAATAAGAAAATCAATCGTTTGAATATGAACTGTCTAACTGGAGAATCCGATCTGCTTGGGCAGTCTTAACATATATGTATATACATACATATAAATGTATATAGAAATATTTAACTTTTAAAATCTTGCTATCTGATAATAAAAAGCCAAATTTAAAGATAAGTTTCCACATCTTTTCATAGACAATTATTGCTGCTGCTGATCAGGATTGTGTATGCAGATGTATTCAAGACGATAGTAGTGCAACTGAGCAATATTTTCAACAACATAATCTAGTGCTTAGCGCAAAATATAAGTTTTAAATTTAATTTTTAAGATTTATGTATATCTGATAAACTAAAATAAATTGTTCATTATATTTATCTTATGGTTAGTACTATTTTCTTGAACACAGCTGCATATTACATATATTTATATGCGTCACATATTGCATGCTCGAATTGAAATACTCTGCTGGAAGGGTATGCCAAAACAGAAGCAGAAAGAGCAGAAACAGCACCAGCCAGTACAGACAATCGAAACACACCAAATGCAGCCTTATCATTAATTTGCACTGATATGCGCACATGTATATAAGCGTATGTGTGCGTGTGTATGCTCGGTCACAGACCACAAACAAACAAACTAAACCATAGCAGAACAAGTGTAATGCCTCAATCTGAAATTTTTACCACTGCAGTTGCCCCCGTTTCAAGAATGAAAAAAAAAAAAAAAAAAAAAACATTGCAAAATAAATATACAAAAGTTGATGCGACGATTGCGGTTAAGTGTGATAAACAGTGAGATATGGAATATTATGATATTGCTATATATACAATATACTCTATACTCTATACTCTATACTCCATATATATTTGTGTCTGTTGGTGAGGCTCAGACGGGGAGGACGGCGCAACGCGGCTCTTGAGTCGAGTCTGAATAGTCGAGCGAGTGCAGTGCAACGATTTGGGAAGAAAAGTAAAAGCGAAAGTTAAAGTGATTTATTTTAATTGTGGCCAGAGGATTATCGTGTTGTATGTTATCGATAACAGTTCTCCCTTAAAAGTGTTTCCAAATAATTGAAGAGCTGTTGCATAAAGCAGAGAGAAATGTTTATATACTTTTCTCTTAATAAATCTATTTGCTCTACTCTAGTTCACTATATTTGCTCTAGTCGAAAAAACTCGATAATTATCAGCTTTGCTATCGAACAAGATAATTAAACTTGTTTGCAGCACAATGGAGCAAGAGCAATAAAACAAGACAAAATTTCCTGCTACTTATCTTATGAGATATGCTGAATGCTCTGTTTATGCCATATATGTATGCTATGAGAGTATATAGGTTTTATACAATATTATTGAAAATGTCATTTAGCTCTATGCTTTACGTAAGAGCGGGTTATTAGGGATATACATATACATACATAAGTAGTGTTTGTCTATATGCATATAAGCATACATCTAGACGATCTATGTTGCCATAGATCAATGGCATTTGGAAAGTAAAAATTAGACTCTATTTGCTTTGTAGACTACAGAATCAGACTCTATAAGTAAATAAGCCGTATCACTTGAACTTTTACCTTTTACTTACTACTAGTCCGATTTGCCTTCTCCAAAAGCCTTTGTCATTTATCAGATTTCGTTTTCTGAACAGCTGCTCTATATCACCTTTCACTATCATCTCTCCCACTCTCTCTTTCTCTCTCTCTCCCACTCTCTCTCTCTCTCCCTGACCTTTCCTAGTTGCCAGATTCGAATTTGGCACTTACTAAATTGCGGCAAATTGTTTAAAATTTCTCGCCCAGCTTAAAGCTGACTGACTGACTGACCCAACTGCGTCATGCGTTCTTTCTCTCCAGCTCTCCCCTTAGCTCTTTCTCGCTTTAATCCAGCTTCCCTACGCACGCACAGCTATGCGGAGATATTTCAATTCATTTGAGTGAATGCCACAGGAATTTGTGACCTTTGTCTAAGTGGCGGGCAAATACGCGAATGGGGCGTGGCCGACGCTTGGGGCAACTTTCTAAGCTCATTTGAAATGAACAGCGGGTGAAAGGTGGCAGCATATAAGCATACAAGCAGACAATATACATATAGTATGTAGATATACATCGATTGTCTTTTTTTTTTTTGGACAGCTGCTGCGTCATTTGATTGCTGGAAGTGAATGAATTACTTTCTAGCTGGCAATAAACCAATTGATTGAACGACGGGTGATCGCAACATAGCTCAGATTCGTAATTGGGCGATGTGAAGATGAAATAAAGGTGATTAGGTCGCATGGCAAAGTAACCGTAAATGAAGTTGAATGGAAATTATATACATGCAAATGAATTTCAGATCAATAAGCAGAGCTGGCAACAAGAAGAACTCTGACTCTGACTAAGCTCGGTTAATATATCTTAAGTTTGCCGACAATCGATATATATCGATTTAATTGACCAGAACTATCCAACTAGCAATATCTGAAAAGTGTATATATAGGCATAACCCATTTTATAATCCATCTTAACCAAAATATACTAAAATTAGCTCTAAGGGCATGCTGGGCAGTCGGGCAGACTCGCTCATCACAGATGCTGTGGCTAAATTTCCGTATTACCTTTGAATTTCGCCGCAGTTCAATAAACCCTGCTAATCGGACAGAGCAATAGAACCAGCTGGCGAAATGGACCCACACGCACACCACAACGCACCCGCTGTTGGTGAGTAGATCCGTTGGATCCCTCTAAATACATATGTATATATGCGTGTCTGATTTGCGTTAGAACTGATAGATCATTCCATGCACGGCCACGATCATGCAAACATGCATCACGATCACGATCACATGGGACTGGATGCCACCACGCTGACGCCGCCTTTGGCGACGACCCACGGCGATCTACCGATGACCATGCATGCGGGTCATCATCATGGCGGTGGCGGCACCGGCACTGGCATGGAGCACATGATGTCCATGGCGGTAAGGGCGCAAGCCCTTGTAACAACAAGAGAGACTCAAATTAATATCAAATTTTTCTATTGCTCCCTTTGTATTTTGTCCAGTTCCACTTTGGCTATGATGAAACCATCCTCTTCTCGTGGTGGCACATCGACACGGTGGCTGGTCTGATTGGTTCGATGATAGCCATCTTTTTGCTGGCGCTGCTCTATGAGGGCCTCAAGTACTATCGCGAGTATCTGTTCTGGAAGACGTACAACCTGCTTGAGTATCGGCCCGTCACGGGACCCCAGCGAAATCCGGAGGCGCCACGTCTCCCAACGCCCGCCGCTGCCGCCCCTTCTCCTGTGCAGTAAGTATATCGTGCATCGTTGCTTGATAATTGTTGATTGTAGATCGGAAAGCGAATATTACAGATCGAAGATTGTTGATCAAAGATCATTGACCGAAGATTGTAGATAGTAAACCGCTGATCAAGATTGTAGATCGCAAATCGGTGATCGAAGGTCAAAGAAGAAGAAAGTTCGATAATTATAGATTAATGGCTATATGTCGAAGAATGTGGATTCTGTATCAAACATCGAATGTGGAAGATTGTAAAAAATTGCTAACTGAAGAACGTAGATTGAAGATTGATGACTGAAGATCATAAAAAAAATCTCAAGATCAAGTAGATTGAAGGCTGATGACTATATATTGATCCTGGAAAACTGTAGATTAAAATTTAGAGACAGCGTTGATGGTATATCGAAAATAACACATTAAAAGTTCGATATTTCTTGATTATATAGATTGTAGACTAAAACTGTGTAGATCGAAGACTACATCGTAGCTAACTGTAGATTGAACATCGATGATCAGAGATCAAAGTTTCTTTGTCGACTATCGAAGGTCAAGGTTGAAGATCGCATATCGAATATCGTTTGTGCTTGTTCTTTTTTTGTTTGTTTGTAAGTTTCAATGCATGTGAATATGCCATTGCTTTTTTGTAACTCTCTGTATATAGTACATACATCTATTTTTATATATAGTCTAATGCTCTTTATATATCATATATATTTTTCTCTCTTTCTCTTTCTTTCGTTTTCGTTGCCGTTTACCGTTTTTTATGCGTCTCTTGTGTGTACCATACGCTTTTCGCCTCTGCGCTCATCAACTGTATCATAAAACCAAAAAAAAAAAAAAAAAAATACAAAATTAAATCAAAATCAATTTAATAATCGCGCGCGTCTTTCATGTAAATTACGCTCATCATCTGCTAAATATTCGCAAAACTGTAAAAACAAATCAAACAACTTCACAAAATAATCCCATATCTATCAATACAATCAATCATGAAATCTTACGTTTCCAATTTGATAACGATTACGATAACAATAACAATTTGATATTGATTTCCCCATCTGTATACGTACACCCACACACACACGCAACCGCTACCCGTTTACCGTTAACTGTGCCCACGCCTCCAATATATATATATATATATATATATATATATATATATATATATATTTATGTATGTATATGTATACCTATATATATTCATGCCCCCCAGATACGTTGGCGAAGTTGTGCACAAGCAACCGTAAGTATCCCAATATTCCCGCCACCCTTATTTTCACCCGAAAACCCTATCCAAATATTTAGCCAGTAATACGATTATAAACCATATGTCTTTCTCTATATCTGATTACACCCTATATACGATATTATTATTTGAAAATGCAATTAGTGCTCTTTCACCCTTAAGTGTATCCGTTTTCAATTCTTTTTTTATGATCCGTACGAAACACTCGCGTCTGATTAGCTATATGACAAATTGTTACTTGAGACCCAATTACGATTACCTGACCAGTTATCGGCAAAATTAACAATTATCAGTGACTAAGTCACTCATTGCACTAATGCGTAGCGAATCCAATTTGCAAATACTAATTTTGTAACCAATATGTATATGTAGTTTTTAATTAATTTAATTTAGCACACTAAATGCACCAAATGACAATATATGATTACCTAATGTGTATAGCGTATTAAACTAACTCCTCTAGTTTAAAACAAAAACTAAAAATTAAACAAAATCTCACTTTTGTTATTGTGGACGCCTAGTCCTCCCTCTCTCTCCCTCTCAATAAAATTTGCACTGTAAATATATAAATTTAAATCAATTGAATTATGCAAGGAGCGGATATTTTAAAATTAATTGCGAGTGCGCCAAAATGGCGATAACAAATTATCGATAGGTAACATTATGTACTAAAGAACTAGTATAGGTGAATCAACTATCGCTAGAATTCTATCTTGAACTAGTTCTTCTTTCACCGCATCCTGTTAATGTTTGAATTTCGTTTCATTTGTTTGTTTATTAATTTGTTTATGTTATGTTTACTTGCCTCCCCTCTCTTTCTTTAAAACCACTGACACATTTTTCGTTCTTCCATTTATGGGGTCTTAAAAGGGCAATACATATAATACAAGATATTCTAATGAAATATTTATTACTATGCCACGCTATACAGACCCACAATGCTGTCCATCAACCATCTGTACCAGACGCTGTTGCACGTGCTCCAGGTGACGCTCTCGTTCCTGCTCATGCTGATATTTATGACATACAATGTCTGGCTCTGCATGATGGTCGTCCTGGGCGCTGGAGTTGGCTATTTCCTGTTCTGCTGGAAGAAATCGGTTATCGTCGATGTGACCGAACATTGTCACTAACAGCGCTCGATTGGAAATCCAATCAGAAGTGCGTTCCAGGCGATACGATAAAGCAGACCCTGCGGAGCAGCTGAATGCTCCAATATCTCGAAATGTCAACAAAAGCAACTACACACAAAGACATACATACAAGTTCTCCAACCTCCATACCCGCATATAAACACATTTTTAGGTATTAAAATATAAATATGTATATGTATATAACTATATATACATATGTATATACATTATCCGTGCTGGATAATCGGGGCAACGCATTTGCCAGCACTCAAATTTTTTACAACTGTGAAATTTTTTAAACAAATTTAAGACACAAAATTCTGTATACAAAAAAAAAAGAAGGAAAAGAAAAACCAATGCTTTGGACACACTTTTCTTTTTCTACGTCTTTTGAGGTTAGGTTAGTTAAGAAATTGTTAAAAGTTGTCCAGCTAAAAAATTGTAAAAATTGTATAAAAAGAAAATTCAAACAAAAACAAAATGTTATCAGGAAACAGTAAATCATTTGTTGTTAGAACTCAATCCTAAGCTAGCGAAACATTTCTCAATTGCTCAATGTTAATTGCTAATCGAGGGCCCATTCACACACACATACATATATTTTTCTTTTTTTTTTCAAATTATTCGCATTATTATCCATATAATTATGTTTTATACTATGTTAATTATATTCACTATACATATATACAAATACATATGTATGTATTATATTTTGCGTTTGTCAAAAGCGAAGAAAAACATTTGTTTTATATTTGCTACGCCTCAAAGTTTATGAATTTATAATTCCTTTTTAATAATGATATTGATCAAAATACATGGCTACTATATACGTATGTATATATGTATATATAAATTCATATATAGATTGCTGTAGATATTAATTGTAAATGCAAATAAAAACAATAAATGGCAACAAATTTATAATACGTATACATTATCTATATAAATATATAAATTAATTACAATAAATATTATACAATGGCTAAAAACAAATTGGTATTTTTAATTCTCGGGAAAATTACTGGAAATTTGAACTACATCTACAAAGGGCGGGACAGATCGATAAAAGAATTACTTAAAGGATGGAGAACTATACAATTTTTGAATTTGAAATGCAACTGCCAATACTCCAAATGGCTGAATTCAAAACGAACCAGTTCTTATTCTGGTCGACCCTGAAAACCATACACGTTTATTTGCTGAACAAAACTAAATTACGATAACGATAACAAATCGTAAATGTGCTGTCCTTTTAAAAGCAACGGTTTGAGGAGCACTGAATATAAAACATTATGCAACACCCGTAAATAAACCCACGTAGACACAGGAAATAAACAAGATCATTTTCAGGATTGCGCAATCGTTTGCAACGTTTTTGTTTTTTATTAATTTTTTCTTGCGGTTTTTGTTTTTTATTTTTCTTTTTTTTTTTCGTTTTAATTTTTGTTTTGCTTTGATTTAATAAAAAATTATCGCGATTTTGAATGTTATTATTATCATTAATCTTAATAGATATTAAGTGTAAGATGTAAGTTATATATATGCGTGTAATATTTAAAAACTCGCCTTTCTATGGACTACATTTTCTTGTTATAGCTTTAGCGTTTCTTTTTGCTTCTTTCTCTTTTTTGAAATGTAATTATTAGTTGGTTCTGCATTTGTTTCATTGTATTCAAGTATGTAAATCAAATGAAAATTTAGAAAATATATATTTAATATATATTATTAGATATATATTTTTGCTAAATACATAACGAAAGGCGGATGCGTCAATATACTTCACAAAAGCTCTCCAATCAAATTGAATAAAATTAATTACAACATAACAGAACCAAATACATATACAATATATATGTATATATATATAAATAAAATCTTATTGCCAATGTTTGTGAATGATACAACGTGGCCAAAATAGAATTAAATCTTTAACAATTGTTCGGATTGTGGTTTGTTGCAGGGTTAGCAACAAACAGAGAAGGATGATAGAGTGGAAGTAATTTATAGATTATTTATATATATACACATATATATAATATATATATATATATATATATACATAGAAAAAATGAGATAAATTGAAATTCACCTCGTATCTCATGCTTTAATACAGTTAGCATGAGTGGAAGATACAGTGAGACCGTCACCCTCGCTGCTCGCTACTGGTTACTCGTTAATCGCGCTACTCGTTACTGGTTACTCGTTGCTCCTTTGACTAGGCACTCCATGGCATTTGCATTCGTCTGTCTTGAAGAAACATAACTGGTGTTTGTTGTGGGTTGGCAAAGCAAGTTACCTGGAGTAGCTCCACATTTGGGGCCCAGGAATACAATGCTCTCTTTCTCTTTCTCTCCCTATCTAGCTGTCAGAATTAGAGCGATAGTTGGTAATTGGAAGAACATGCGCATTCCTTAGATCCTGCAAATGTTTATAGAGACTAACATCAGTATACAAATATCACACTAAAAATATTATTTTTCATTTTTAATATAAACTAGAAAAATTAGCACCCGAAACTTCTTACAAAAATTTCGCCAAATACATATAAATATATATGTATATATTAAAGCATAAAGTTGAACCCATCGATAAAAAGCAGTTACATAATCACGGAGAGTGTATCGAGGTTGTGTGTGTGTGTGTGAGTGTGTGTGCGTGAGTACGGGAGTCGAGGGGTTCAGTGTTGCTAACCATTTGTAGCCTTGAGCTGCTTAAGTATTAGAAATTCCTTAGGTTAAACGATACTTAGTGTATATTTTAGTAGTATATTTAAACAAAATTTAACTGTGTTTACATACATACAATACATATGCTTACATATTTATGTATACACATCTATATGTATACATAAATCATACAGACATACAAACATACACAGTTCACGCTTTGGCAATTTTCGAGTTAGGATATACAAATTGGTATAAGATTACGCTGCACTCGCCTATAAATACAAAGCTATCAATATATATATCATACATATACATATATATATATATAGATATATACATATATATATAAATATATATACATATATATATAAATATGTATACATATACATAAAAGATATATATACATATACATATATCTGTGAATGATATTCAATTGCAATTACCTCTTATTCATTGATTCGTTAGATCGATAACCAATTCAAACCGATTATATCGATTACTGCTGCAATCGTCGCATATATATATTATCTTGTGTTCTTTCCCATTTCGCTTCATTAGTAGTATATACATTGGGAAGCACAACAACAATAAACATGAAATCAATTTCGGCGTAGCCGATATCTGTATGCCCTTGCCAATGCGATACAAATTTGTTAAATTAATTTACTTAACAAAATTAATTAAGTTACATATGTTGTAAGAATAATTGAATTAAAAAATAATAAATTATTTTTAATTTTAAAAAATGTTTCAAGAGATATTTTGCTTTAGGTAATAAATTCAAACAGATTCGGACAAAAATAAATTATATGTAAATATAGCATATGTGATATATATATTTGGAAAGGGCATAAATACATACACAATTGAAGAAAATGTACCTGACGCACTTGCGAGTCTCGGAAAGCCGTTATTTACCGGTTCGTGTGTTGTTCAGTGTGATCGGGCCTTTAGTAAAGTTCGATTTTTGTACTCAATTCAATAATTTCACTCTTCCCACTGAACGACTACAGCACAGATTCATAGACGAAAGAGTGAACGAGAGAGAGAGAGAGAGAAAGAGAGTTGCTTTGTGTGTTTGTGTGCGTGAGTGTGAGAGTGTGTGAGCGAGAGAGGATTACGTACCTCTGGGGTCGGTTTAACCGTTAACGTATAGAATAACTCAACTGCTTAAGGCAACCCTGACCCTGATCGGTTGACAAAAATTCGCATTACGAACGGATCGTGATTGGATTGTGGATCCCTGGTTCGGCTGTACCGCTGCACCGAACCATCGCGAACCACCAAAGCACATGCCATTCCCATGCAAACGCGATATCTGTGTGGGTGTTCCATTACATCATAATATATAGCACATATGCATTTACTTAAAAGAATTTTCTATATATATATATTTAATTTGATTGTTTTTTTGTTTTTGTTTCATTTTTTAATTTTTGATGTTAGTTAATTTGTTGTCGAGTGGTAAATACCTGGTACAATCAATTTGAACGTATCTCCAATAACAAGTACGACAAGGATACTCTCATTCCCAGCTGTTCTTTGAGTTACTTATTCAGTTATTCTTTGCATATCTCTGTCGTTGTCGCAGTCTCTATCTCTGTGTGTGTGTGTGTGTGTGTGTATTTATGTGTTTGTGTGAGAGTGAATGCTGTTCCCATTAAAAAAATTCGTTAGGCCTTCTTCCATTTTAAGAATTTACCACTTTTCTCTAATCTCATTTAATTTCACCAAAATGGATCCTAACCTCAAAAGACTAGTTCTCTGGTTCCACATCCAGGGACGAGAGACTCTTTATGGTTTGCCTGTTTCGGGTCTCATGGTGTTCCAGTGAAAAAATGAAATTTGAATATGGCTAACGACAACAGTTATTTGCGCAATAAAATTGCGATTTGTCTCATTCTAGCAGAAGTTTAGAATTGAATATGAAACAACTTACATTGATGCATTTCTAGTATAACAGTTTTTTTTTTTAGGATTTTGTACATTTTGCTGTTTGAATTTAATAGTCTTATTTTTTATATTAAAGACTGAAAGAAACTAAAAATATGTTTCAGCTCTGCATTGCTAAGCTTTGCCAGCTTTGCCCTACATATACCTTACACATAAAGACAATTGTTTGTTTTCTCTAAAAATTACTCAGCATAGGTCCTATAATGCCGTTCCATCCCACTATTCCTTTAGTAGCAGCTGCACAATGAGCATGCATAGAGCTAACATATAAATTTAGATGTAGATATATATAGATAAGACCGAAACAGGCGAGCCTCGTGCAAATATTAGTCTGTTATCTAGTAATGAATTTTTGTGTTTGTGTCTATGTATGTGTGTGTGTGTGAGTGTGTGTTTTCTTTGAATTGAGTGAATTTAAGGTTTTTTGATTTACTTTAAAATATTGTTTGAGGTTTTTGTTTTTTCGACAGTTTGTGCCTGTCTCTGTACAGATGGAGATTACACATGGAGTATATATAAATTTAACATTTTTTGGTTTCTTGGTGGGACTACGAGTACGTGTACAAGTTGGAGTTATATGAATAGCGTTATAGATAGTCTGTTGTTGAACTCACCTCAGATCTTTGGCATGTTTGGCACATGTGCCACGCACACATGCGTGCCCCTTAGACTGTCTGATCTTAATTGCTTTTTTTTTTATATATTATTGAAATGTGTTATTATTATCTTATTTTGGAGTACCTCGATGCTGCATGGAGTATGTAGGGGTGGAAGAGGGACGTGGCAATCGGCCAGAGATGTTGATGTTGTTGTTGTTGCTGAGGTTGCGTAGTATCTTCAGCTAATTTCATTTTGCGTTTCGATTAGAAGAGTTTATTATGTTTTTGCTTTGTTTTTTATCATAGTTTGCTGCAGTTTTTGTTTCTTTTGTTTGCTTTTGTTAGATGTTGCTGTTGTTGTAGCAGCGGCTGTTTGTAGCTTTGGTTGTGTCCTAGTAACGGCTGCGACTGCGACTGCGACCATGCCGCTCCCGACTGTCGTGACGATAATGATGACTATGACTGCTGCGCCGACTGCTGCTGCTGCTGTTGTGGCTGCCACTGCGCGAATATGAATGGCCGTGGTGTGATTTGTGATGATCTGTGCAAGGGTCCAAAAAAACATTTAGGCAGTTAATAAACCAGAATGCCAAATCAATACTAAATAACTGTGCCGTGCGCAAACTTACGATGCCGCCTGTCCGACGATTGACGATTGGGCGGATAGTCACGACTGCGTTCCCGATAGTCGCGCTGATCACTGCACGAATTCAAGTGGAATAGATATACATATATACAGAGAGAGAGAGAGAGAAAGAGAGGAATAGAGAGAATATATATATATATATTGCATATGCATATATATTTAAATGTAAAGTGCAATATGATTTACCGTCTGCTCTCGTAGCTATTGTGAAAGCGTTGCACACGATCATCGCGCCGCTTGCGCTCCTCCTCTTCGTGCTCCTTTTGTCGCCGCTCATTGATCTCGGCAACAGCATTGCGCAGCTTGGAGTAACCCAAATGCTGTTTGCCCATCAAATGGTCTTCGATGCGCTGCTGGGCATCGCCCACAATCAGAAAAGCGCCGCATATTTCGCACACCTTCATTTGTTTTTCGGGCAGCACTTCGTGCGACCAATTCGCCGTCTGTTTGCCATCGCCCTTGGACTCCGATTTGTTGTCATCGGCTGAGGGGGATGCGGCCGCTCTGGGCGAAGCACATTCGCTTGATGGAGAGCTTGCAATTCCTGTTGTTGCCTCATCGGTCGTTTCATTGGGTTCTTTGCTGTCGAGCGCAATCGTATTGCCAGCTACGTTTTCTACGCTGGAACCGGGACTGGCAAGTAGCAGCTGTTCTCCTATTGGTGCTTCGTTTATTGTTGGTGTGGTGGGCGTGGTTACAGCTGTTGTTATCGCTGTTGGCGGCGGCGCACGCAACTTGTGATAGCTTTTCATGTGCGCCTCATATTGCTGATGCAATGATTCCTTCTCCTCTTTGAGCTCCTCGCACATGGCCATCAGATCCTGCGCCTGATCCACATCGCCGCGGATGCCTGCCTCCTCAGCCTCGGCCATCAGTTTGTTGATGCGTGCGGTTAGATTGTTCAGATGCTCCTGCTGCTTGGCCGCTTGCGACATTGTGCCCGACGGATGATCGCGCTGCATCAGCTGCAGGCGCTGCTTGCCCTTTTGTATCTTCCGATCGACATCGTGCAGCATCACATTGCAGAAGCGCAGAAACTCATCCTCCGTATGGCGTTTGCGCTGCGATGGACGCGCCTCCTCGTACAAATGTTTCGCCTCCTCGTCGTGGATGCGTGTGCAAGGACCCAAATCGGCACGAGTATTAATAAACAGATCATGCGGACAGAATTTCACATTGTAAAATTGACAGAACTGGAAAAAACAGAAAATAATATCAAATTCATTATATGAATTTAGGATATTAATTAAATAAGATGGCATTCAACTTCCAACATAACTTTTCAACAAGTGTATGCATGTATCTAAAGTCTGAACTACTTAAGAGTAATTCAGAACTTGTTATGAATGTAAGAAAAGTTGAGATGGGCAGCACTGCAAGCATAATTTAGATCGTAGCACGACTTTCGCTATGCACTGTGCTTAGCCGGCAATGAAAACAATGCAATTTAAGTCATCTGAAATAGGTTTGTCTTTGCCAAGAAATGCGATTATATCACACTAAGTACGTCTATAATGATACTGCAACATATTATTCTGGTTGTGACTTACCTCTGGATCTTCCCAATTGACCGCTTGCCCAGCCTCAGATGGATGCAAATTTCGATTGCGGCCCATTAGCTCATCGAGCATTTGTCTCGCAGCGTCCACCATTTTAGCAGTGTGTGCGTGCTATTTGTGTATTTGGGTGGGTGTGTGTGTGTGTGTGTGTATGTAGGTGAACTGCTGCTACTGCTGCTGCTGTTTCTGCTGACTGGCTTAAATCAGTTTGACAGTCGCAGGTGCTGTGCAAACTTTGTTGCTATTTTTGTACTGGTGTAGCGCACGTTTATTAGACGTATTCCATTAAATTGACTCTACAAAGTATACAGCTCATTTAGCCAACTCCGGGATCAATAATTCCCTAGTCAGCTCACGCGTTAGCGATGGTAACTTGAGCAAAGACCCGCCGTCGGAAGGCCAATATCGCAATATTGTACAATGCTGCCATACCATTACCCGTCGGCCATCATTACGCGCCTAACTATCGATTAGTTTTTAATTTAAATCAAATTATGGAAATAATAAGTAGATAAGAAGCGTCTTGTTTATAAATATATAACATATTATTATGCTATACAACTATTATCACGATCGATACAATCTCACAAACCCATTTACGCAAAACGATAACTGGGTTATGCCACGATCGATAATTCACATAAAGCGAATTGACAGCGCGAATTGTCAAAAAAGGCGCGAAAATTGGCACAAAAACACGCAGTAAACAGCATTAGAGTCGGCACACAGTTTTTGCGCGTTTCAGAGTTATTTGCTGTAAGAGAATTAAGCGAAATGGATGTTGCGGATGCACAAATCGGACAGCTGCGCGTTAGAGATGAGGTTGGCATACGCACCCAAAAACTCTTCCAAGATTTTCTTGAGGAATTCAAAGAGGATGGAGAAATTAAATATGCTCGCCCCGCCGCCAATCTCGAGTCGCCCGATCGCTGCACGCTCGAAGTGAGCTTCGAAGATATGGAGAAATATAATCAGAACCTGGCAACTAGCATTATTGAGGAATATTATCATGTGTATCCGTTCCTCTGTCAAGCCGTCTCCAACTACGTGAAGGATCGCATTGGCCTAAAGACCAACAAGGATTGTTATGTGGCCTTCACGGAGGTGCCGACGCGGCATAAAGTGCGCGATCTGACCACCTCGAAGATTGGCACCTTAATCCGTATCTCTGGCCAAGTGGTACGCACACATCCCGTCCATCCGGAGCTTGTGTCCGGCACATTCATGTGCCTTGATTGCCAAACGGAAATCCGAAATGTTGAGCAGCAATTTAAGTTTACCAATCCGACCATTTGTCGCAATCCCGTGTGTGCAAATCGTCGTCGTTTCATGCTGGACGTGGAGAAGTCTCTATTCCTCGACTTTCAGAAGATTCGCATACAGGAGACACAGGCGGAGCTGCCACGCGGCTGCATACCACGCGCCGTCGAGATCATATTGCGCTCCGAACTAGTGGAGACGGTGCAGGCTGGTGATCGTTACGATTTCACCGGCACCCTCATTGTGGTGCCGGATGTGAGCGTGCTGAGCATGCCAGGCACCAGAGCCGAAATGGGCTCCCGCCATAAGCCGGGCGAGGGCGGTGACGGCATCACCGGACTCAAGGCTCTGGGTGTGCGAGAGCTCAACTATCGCATGGCATTCCTTGCATGCAGCGTCCAAGCAACTACCGCACGCTTTGGCGGCACAGATCTGCCCATGTCCGAGGTGACGGCGGAGGACATGAAGAAGCAGATGACCGATGCCGAGTGGCAAAAGATCTATGAGATGTCCAAGGACCGCAATCTCTATCAGAATCTGATCAGCAGCCTCTTTCCCTCGATATATGGCAATGATGAAGTGAAGCGCGGCATACTCCTGCAGCTCTTTGGAGGCGTGGCCAAGACCACAACGGAGAAGACCTCACTGCGAGGCGACATAAACGTTTGCATTGTCGGCGATCCGAGCACAGCCAAATCTCAGTTTCTTAAACAGGTCTCTGATTTCTCGCCACGCGCCATCTACACTTCGGGCAAGGCATCCTCTGCAGCGGGTCTCACAGCTGCTGTAGTCCGGGACGAGGAGAGCTTCGATTTTGTGATTGAGGCGGGCGCCCTCATGTTAGCAGACAATGGAATCTGCTGCATTGATGAGTTCGACAAGATGGATTTGCGCGATCAGGTCGCCATACACGAGGCCATGGAACAGCAGACCATATCGATAGCTCGTGCCGGCGTTCGGGCCACACTCAATGCACGCACCTCTATTCTGGCTGCTGCGAATCCCATCAATGGACGCTACGATCGTTCCAAGAGTCTGCAGCAGAATATTCAGCTGTCGGCTCCGATTATGTCGCGTTTCGATCTGTTCTTCATTTTGGTGGACGAGTGCAACGAGGTGGTGGACTACGCGATTGCACGCAAGATCGTGGATCTGCACTCGAACATCGAGGAGTCTGTGGAGCGGGCGTACACGCGAGAGGAGGTGCTACGCTATGTAACATTCGCTCGCCAATTCAAGCCCATCATTGGCATAGAGGCGGGCAAGATGCTCGTGGAGAACTATGGGCATTTGAGGCAACGCGACACTGGCTCCTCGGGCCGCAGCACTTGGCGGATAACCGTGCGTCAGCTGGAATCGATGATACGGCTGAGTGAGGCCATGGCCAAGCTGGAGTGCTCCAATCGAGTGCTTGAGCGCCATGTCAAGGAGGCGTTCCGATTGCTCAACAAATCTATCATTCGTGTTGAACAGCCGGACATTCACCTGGACGATGATGAGCCTCTGGACGCGGACGATGGCATAGAGCATGACTTTGACATGGAGAACAATGGTGCGGCCGCCAATATGGATTCCGACGCACTGGATACCTCTAGCAGTGCTGTCCAAAAGAAGAAGTTCACACTGTCCTTTGAGGACTATAAGAATCTGTCCACCATGCTGGTGCTGCACATGCGTGCCGAGGAAGCGCGCTGCGAAGTGGAGGGCACAGATACGGGCATGAGGCGAAGCGATGTTGTCACCTGGTATCTGGAGCAGGTTGCCGAGCAAATTGAGTCCGAGGATGAGCTCATATCAAGAAAGAACCTCATCGAGAAGCTAATCGATCGTCTCATCTATCACGATCAGGTCATCATACCTCTGAAAACCACAAGCCTAAAGCCCTTCTCCAAGAGCCCCAAAGCATCAGCTGCCGATGAAGAGCTGGAAAACGATCCGCTCCTTGTGGTTCATCCCAATTACATAGTGGAGTAGTACATTCAAATAACTAGCCTGCTCCACCATCATTCTCACATTTATTTCATTACATTCGTAGTTACGTTTGTGCGTTTTTTTTCTTCTTTATATTATATTTTCCATATTTACAGATGAATTTGTCTGAGAAAAATTGTTTTAGGTTAAGTTTCATCTATTTCTTAAGAATTCATTTAAGAGTTAAATGTAATTTAAGATAATTTACATTTAAATGATATAAAACAACAATTATGTTTTACGTGTAAGCCATAGAAGTTTCTGATCTTTTCAATTATATGCATATATTTTCAAATACTTCCATTTTTGGAGGTTATATCTTGAACAATTAATAAATAAAGTTTCTTTACAAAAATATTCAAATTACCATATATCGATATATTAACCATTTCTACTTGACACCACTGTAAGGAGAACAGGCTCACGAACCGCATACAAGAGGCCCAGTACCAAGTCGTGAACATCGATTTATTCGCTTTGCAGCCCAAAATCTCACCCGCTCTTGACGTAAAAATTAACGAAACTGAAGATATTTCGATGGTTTCATTTTTTTTTTAATTGTACATATGCGTAAATTGCCTAATTAATGACAAAGGCGGAGCAAAACAAAAAATTGAAAACTACACACAAAGCTTCTATCCGCCTTGGCATCCCTAACGTTCGAAGGTGTAGTGTTTGACGCCGTCAGCGGGATATTGCTTGGCAGCCACTGGCCGATACATTTTCTTATCCTCGAGCCAGTAGTATAAGGCTAGGCATCCACCCATAACGCCAGCGAAGCACAACATATAGTAGCTTTTGCTGTAGCGGGGATAATCGGGCTGCGAGTAGCGATCTTCGCTGTACAAATCATGATCCGCTGAAATCTAACAAAGATATACAGCTATATAATCTATGTTGTTTAGCTTGAACTAATCAAACTTACTGGCTCATTAAAATTGCGTTTGATCTCCGGATAGTCATAAGGATAGTAGTTATCTTTAAACTCTACACCGAGGCCGCCGCCAACTTTTGGATAGTCGCCATAGCCGAGGCCATTATCTGCGTAGGGTTTGTACTCTTCGGGCAGCAGATAATATTTCTTGGCAGCTGCCTCGCGTTCCTTCTCGGTTTTGGGATATGGTCCCGGTTTGTAGTCCTTATTCCAGCCGGCGACTGTAAATAGACAAATGCAATTGTCAAAAGCTCGTCCGCAAAAGTTACGTAAACAAAACAGAAACTTTAGCGATATGCACTTACGATTGCGGACAATGTGGGCCTGCAGAGCTGGATTGGCAGCGCTTAGCTTTTTGACCAGAGAAAGAGATTTCATTAACGCTGACATTCTGTAGTCAATGGCGTTATATGCTTCCCAATTTACAATTTATGCACAACAATTTTTTTGCTCGCCTCGCAGCAACTCGGCAGACGGCAGTCACAGCTGTTGCTTAGAGGTGAGCGATAACAATACTACATCTACTCACTACGATGAATGTATTAATCGATATACACTCGGAAACGAAGCAATCGTCTATCGTACTTATTGTTATTGTTGTGTTGCGTGCCTGGTCCCCGCCAGTTGGAGAGCGAGTGATATAAACGCGGCTTTATTCTGTTTGCATCTGCTGTATTTAACTATTTACACATATAAATATTTTTAAAATGGTGCTACCGCTTTTGCAACGCTCTACGCTTCGTGGCGTCCAACAGTTGACCAAGCCATGGGCGAGCGCAGCGTGCAGTCTTCGTATGGTAAGGAGATTTATCGTGGAGTGTGCGCGCTTATGTAATTTTGCATTTTATTTTTTGCCTGCACTGCCCCTTTTGGCCAACTTTTAATGCCCGGGTGCAATGCTCAAGAGCATTGAGCGGGAAACAAACCTCTCTAAAATACACTCACGCTCACAAGCAAGCATTACAGATATTGCCAATTGGAATCATTGCTATGTGGCGATTGCCGGCATTTCATAATCAAGTATACTATGCAAATATGGTGTGATTATATTAAACGGTGCTCTGATAAGTGAAACATTGGTGGAGAAGGAGCTGCATATGAATTAAAGTCACCTTTTAATGATGTCGCTCTTTGACTAGAACTTCAACAAGTTGTTCAGGAGTCCAACAAGATGCATGTGAGCTGTGTGGATATGCTCCACACTGATTAGCCCAATAGGATATTGTGATTACTAACTGGAACTTATTGTGAAAGACTCCAACTAGAACTCAGCTTGAAATTTCGACTCGACTTGTTCAATCAATAATTTTGCTGCATATAATTACTGTAATTAGTTATCATCGAACCATAAAGAGGACTATAGAAATTTTTTTCTTGAAGCCTTGCCTATACAAATATAATCTTATAGGATTTGCCGAGAGTCTGATTCGCATAAAGCATTATTACAGCTCGACAGAATTGGTTTTCTTAGGGTATTTTTAAGTCAATAATCATTTTTCATTTTATTGAATTCGATTTGGCACGCACTTAATATGTTTACATATATTTACTAGATTTCAAAAGCTTTGCTTTACATGCATACATACAGACACATTTAGATATGTATGTATGTGTATATTACATATTCTGAAAACTCGCTTCTGTCAGCTGTTTTAATACACAAAAAACAATGGCAATTTTTCAGGTTTCTTGATGTTGAAAACCTGTTAATTGTATTTAGTTGATGCTCTAATTGGAGCTCGATTGTCACATAACTGTGCGAACTCTATTTAGCCTTATCATCCACACTGCTTGGCATCCACTAACTACCGTTGCTTGTTAGCAGCGCCTTTGCTCTGCTCTAATCTCCCACAGTTTAATTGTTTGTTTTTTACTCAATTGTCTTATATTTAGCACTTACTTGTGGCTTTTTTACATATAGCGGGTCTATAAACTTTAAATCTCACACAACACATGCAAGCAGATTAGCTCACAGTCGCATGTACACATGCACACACACATACATGCACAGGCGAGCATACAGGCATAAATTGCGCTGAGCAGCCGAAAGCGCGCCCCGTGGGTCGCAATCCTATTTTTCCACATAGGCGCATTGTATATGCCCTACAGGAGCAGAGTTATTTAATTTAATCATATTTAAAATAAAGAATATATATTATAAATACAATTTTTATATACGATTAATTCATATGTTTGTCATATGTTTGTTTGTCATTTCAAAGCTTAGACATGCTTTAAGCTGTGTCGTTAAGTTCAGTTCAAGTTCAATTGAATGGGTCATTCATGAACCGTGCTCAATGAACAATTTAGCTGCACATCCTTGCGGAGCTACTGCACAATGAATTCATGTGTAAAACGATTGATCGAAATTATATTCTTCATAGCGATTGAGCTGATTTTGCCAACTCTTGTGTTCAATGAGCGATTAAATGACATTTAACTAGAGTTATGCGAGGAATTCAACTGAAATTGACAAACCGCAGTGTACGGCATCAACGAATCATGCTGGCCCAACCCAAACTACACGCCTTACTTGCTGAGCTCGTTCTTGCTTTGATTTTTTGCCACTGTCCGCATTTTGCTGTTGTCGACTTATCTGATTCGCCAGTCATCCGACGGAGCCGCTGGCGAACGGAATCATTTAATTACGAGTAGCTAATTCAAGCATAATGGTCAGCCACCTGCTTTGTATTACTTACATACCTATGCATATATGTATGTACAGTTATGTATACCGTCTTATCTGTGTGTCCTTTCTCGTTGGCAGGCATCGCAGGAGTTTCGCGTGGAGAGCGACACGTTCGGCGAGCTGAAGGTGCCCGCTGATAAATACTATGGCGCCCAGACAATGCGCTCCCAAATCAACTTTCCCATTGGCGGACCCACCGAACGCATGCCGGCAAGTATTTCAATCAAGATTTATTAATCCCTAATTTGTAGACTTATTGTGCGCTCGCCACAGAAACCCGTTGTCCAGGCCATGGGCATCTTGAAGAAGGCCGCTGCAGAGGTCAACAAGGAGTTCGGTCTTGACGTAAAGGTTAGCGAGGCCATCTCGAAGGCCGCCGATGACGTTATCTCTGGCAAGCTGTACGACGATCACTTTCCCCTAGTCATCTGGCAGACGGGCTCCGGCACCCAGAGCAACATGAATGTGAACGAGGTAGGTCCACTTATTGACCATCTAGTGATCCCAGCTTAACTGTTTGGTCATTCGCTCGTCAGGTCATCAGCAATCGCGCCATTGAGTTGATGGGCGGCAAGCTGGGCTCCAAGACGCCCGTGCACCCGAACGATCATGTGAACAAGTCGCAAAGCTCCAACGATACCTTCCCCACGGCCATTCACATCTCAGTCGCCCTGGAGTTGAACAACAATCTGAAGCCGGCGATCAAGACGCTGCACGATGCGTTGGCCGCCAAGTCGAATGAGTTCAAGGACATCATTAAGATCGGCCGCACCCACACCATGGACGCTGTTCCCCTGACCCTGGGCCAAGAATTCAGCGGCTATGCCCAGCAGCTGGCCTACGCCCTTGAACGTATCGATGCCTGCCTACCCCGTGTCTACGAGCTGGCTTTGGGCGGCACTGCCGTCGGCACCGGCCTGAACACGCGCAAGGGCTTCGCCGAGAAGTGCGCCGCAAAAATAGCTCAGCTGACGGGCCTGCCCTTTGTCACTGCCCCCAACAAGTTCGAGGCTCTAGCTGCACGCGATGCCATGGTCGAGGTGCACGGTGTACTGAACACCATTGCTGTCAGCCTCATGAAGATCGGCAACGATATCAGATTCCTGGGCTCGGGACCGCGTTGCGGCTTGGGTGAGCTCTCACTGCCAGAGAACGAGCCGGGCAGCTCCATCATGCCAGGCAAGGTGAATCCCACACAGTGTGAATCCCTGACCATGCTCGCCGCTCAGGTGATGGGCAACCAGGTGGCCGTCACTATCGGCGGTGCTAATGGACACTTCGAACTGAACGTGTTCAAGCCACTGATTGTCTCCAATGTGCTGCGCTCAATTCGTCTGCTCTGTAAGTAAAGAAATTAGTATAATCCGAAGCAGCTCTCATCCAATTTTTGTTCCTTCTCATCTTGCAGCCGATGGTAGTCGAACCTTCACGGCCAACTGTGTCAATGGCATAAAGGCCAACAAGGAGAACATTGCCAAGATCATGAACGAGTCGCTGATGCTGGTGACGGCGCTCAATCCTCACATTGGCTACGACAAGGCGGCCAAGATTGCGAAGACGGCGCACAAGAACGGCACCACACTGAAGGAGGAGGCCATCAATCTGGGCTACCTGACGGAACAACAGTTCAATGACTGGGTGCGACCCGAGGAGATGCTGGGACCCAAATAGACATTGCCCTATCCCCATTTAGAGCTAAGCGTAAAGTCGACCTTGCGTTAGCTGTCAGAATGTATTTGGAAGCTAGACGGCATGCGTGTGTCCGAACTGTTCAGTCTCACTCCGAAAATTCAATAAAAATCATCCTTTTTTCGTCTTGAACATAAACTTTATGAAAAGAAACGAATAGATTTTTCATTTGAATTCCTATCAAAATTATCAATCGAAAGACTTGGTCAAAATGTTGTGCAAAAGGCGTAAACTCTTGTGCCCGCCGCACCTGGTCCTGAAGAGCTGGCATCACAATTTGGCCACGACGCTCTCGCTGCAAAATCAAAAGAAATCAAAGGGCGTAAGTTGTAGCCGCCGCTGTGCTGCGCAGCTTCCATTGCCTGGCATAACCTCACCAGCCTTTTGCAGGATGAAAAGTTTCGCGTGGAGAAGGACACCTTTGGCGAGCTGAAAGTGCCAGCTGATCGACTCTATGGCGCCCAGACCATGCGCTCGGTGCTCAATTTTCCGATAGGCAGCATTGGCGAACGTATGCCGGTAATTATGCCCGTATCTTGCCGTCTCCCTCTCGTCCTGCCCCTCTTACAATATTACAATCAATTGTCCGTGATATGTCCAACAGAAACCCGTCGTTCAGGCCATGGGCATTTTGAAGAAGGCCTGCGCCAATGTTAATAAAGAGTTCGGCATGGACGCCAATATAGCGGATGCTGTGTCGTGTGCCTGCGATGAGGTCATCTCTGGGGAATACTACACCAAGGGCCATTTCCCGTTGGTCATCTGGCAGACGGGCTCCGGCACACAGACGAACATGAACACCAACGAGGTGATTAGCAATGCAGCCATCAAGGCAATGGGCGGCGAATTGGGCTCCAAGAAACCCGTGCATCCCAACGATCATGTGAACAAGTCGCAGAGCTCCAACGATACCTTTCCGGCTGCTTCGCACATCTCGGTCGCTTTGGAGCTCAATAGGCGTCTTATACCAGCCATTTCATATCTACGGGATGCACTGCATTGCAAGGCAGTGGAGTACAAGGATATCATTAAGATCGGCCGCACCCATCTGATGGACGCCGTACCCATGACTCTGGGCCAGGAGTTTAGCGGCTATGCCCAGCAGCTGACGAATGGGCTGGCACGCATCGATGCGTGCCTGCCGCGAGTCTATGAGCTAGCCCTGGGCGGCACGGCCGTGGGCACCGGACTGAACACCCCCAAGGGCTTTGCAGAGAAGGTATCGGCGCGTATCGCCGAGCTGACAAAACTGCCCTTTGTCACAGCGCCCAATTTCTTTGAAGCTCTCGCAGCACGCGATGCAATGGTCGAAGTACACGGCGCACTGAACACCATTGCCGTCAGCCTCATGAAGATTGCTAACGATATAAGATTCTTAGGTTCGGGACCGCGTTGCGGCTTGGGTGAGCTCTCTCTGCCAGAGAACGAGCCAGGCAGCTCTATAATGCCGGGCAAGGTGAACCCCACCCAGTGCGAGTCCTTGACTATGATTTGTGCACAGGTGATGGGTAACCAGGTTGCGGTAACTGTAGGCGGAGCCTTTGGACACTTTGAATTGAACGTATTTAAGCCTTTAATTGTGTCGAATGTGCTACGCTCCATACGCTTGCTCGGTGAGTAGCCCATGTGAAGGTAATCATCGACAATCACATATAATACTTGCTTTTTGCAGCGGATGGTGGCGTCAATTTTAGCAAGAACTGTGTGGAGGGTATTCAGCCGAATCACGAGCGCATTGCCAAGATCATGAATGAGTCTCTTATGCTGGTAACGGCTCTTAATCCCCACATCGGATATGACAAGGCCGCCTCAATTGCCAAGACGGCGCATAAGAATGGAACCACACTTAAACAGGAGGCTATCAAGGCTGGCATCACCGAGGAACAATTTAAGGAATGGGTAGACCCTAAGAAGATGCTTGGTCCCAAATAACTGTATCATCTTTTGTATCGAGTACTTTTTTAAATGCGAGATTTGAATAAAATATCTGACTGAACACATCGATTCTATCGCGTATCATTTTGAGTATGTAACTATCGATGGGACATATACAATATTTTTTATCGATGATATTTCAGTACAGCTCTGTGCAACAAACCGACAGCTGTTTGTGTTTGAGAACTTCGTCTTGTTATTATTAAAAAAATTAACCAAAACTCGAACACTAGTGCAAAAACAAATTATATTTTTGGCTCTTTTACTTTTTATTCGTGTAGTTTAACGTTTCGCAGCTCTATATATATGGGCTGTAGGTCAAATCATTCGATGGTATATGTGATTATCTAATTTGCAACCGCAAAGCAGCAACAATTAATAATATCGATGTTTAACAAACTTTTAACAAGGAAAGGTATATAAATAGAAACAAAACAAATACATACAAACAGCTCGACACGACTACGATCGTCTAGTGACAGCCGGAAAAGCAATCAACAAGGCGAGTTATATTTAAAAAATTATCTGTTTCCGACCATAGAACAAAATCGAAACTTCCATACACATTGTAGAAAAAAAATATTGAGAACAGGCTTAAGAACATTTTAATTTGGATACCATAACCATTTGACTGTGTAGATATGTGCATACGTATATATTTCTAAAAAAAAATTAATATAAATAAAAAAACAAAAACAGCAGTGTCGGCAGCTATTTCTACGACGCAATACCAAAAAAAGAAAACAATCGTCAGCAGAGGCAGCCAACGATCGATATATCGATAGCTGGCGATCATACCTGAAACGCATGACAAAAGGTGGCGCCGCAGTCGTAAACAGCGACAAGGACAACAAAAACGCAACTAAAGCGCATCGCGAATATAATTAAAAGGTGAGCTCATTGAGAACTTTCAAAACAATACAATTACTATTTATCTCTTTTACTCTACAGTCTTTTCGCTCCGTTACTGTCGCACAGTGCGGTGTTGTTGTTTAGTCGGAATAACAACAACAACAGCCACAATAAAACCGAACTGCTGTTGGTAAAATGTCTGTAAGACTGTTAACCGTGCGACTGGTTAAACATGGTCGCTACGTTTTGCGCAGCTATTGGAATCGTGAAATACACTCCAACATTTTGGAACAAAGCCAGTTAAAGACACGCAGCAAGCGAGGCTTTCCCCTATCATCCGTCAATGTTTTGCGGGTGAGTATGGGATAATATGGTGGTTGATCTGTTTATATTATGCCCCTATGCATCTCCTTATCTGCACTGGAAAGAGCGAGATAGCAAGATAGATAAATATCCATGTTTAATTTATGCTAGAGATGACATTTACCAATGCAAAGCAATAAGCCATATGGTGCATATGTTTGTTAGCGGAACAGCATACTGAGCTCAAGTGTAAACAAACAACACTGCAAAGAGCGAGACAGAAATAGAGATGAGTGAGAGGTTTGATGATAATAAGTAAACGAAATTCCTGTTGCAATGAATGCTTCGACTGCTTTGCAGATGTCATCCTAGCATAATTTGACCGTTATTATCAAATATTCGCTTTGATTTTTGTATATGATTTATCGTATTTTTCTTCCATTTTGTTGCTGTTTAGAACTCAGCCGCACCACAGCCGACGGCAAATGTTGTGCCACGATGCAATCCGGCGTCCAGCGCGACGTCCAGTCCAGCGACCAGCGGACTCTTTCGCTTTGGCCAGCATGCACGCAAGCTGTTCATTGATAATATACTGAGTCGAGTGACCACCAACTACTCTGAAGAGCTGCGTCAGCGTGCGACACGTAAACTATTCTATGGCGATTCGGCACCATTTTTTGCTTTAATTGGCGTCAGTTTGGCCACCGGTTCGGGTGTGCTGAGCAAAGAGGATGAACTGGAGGGCGTTTGCTGGGAGATACGCGAGGCAGCTAGCCGCTTGCAGGCAGACTGGAATCGTGATGAGATATCCGAGACGTTGACCAGCAATTTCAATATCGATCAACTGGAGGTGGGTCCGCCCATAGCCAAAGGCTGTGCCGCTGTTGTCTATGCGGCCAACTTCAAGGAGACTCCCGTTACCCAGCAGAGCCCTAATACGTCCAGTGATACTACAGCGCGTCCCACTGTGACCAAAGCAATGCCAACCCCCCCGAGCTCCAGCTCGACATGGAATCATGAATTGATGTCACCGCTACAGAATATGTCCCGTTTCGTTCACAATTTCGGCGGCTCCGTTGACAACATTTACAACTACAGTCAGCCAACTGCTGCTGCAGCCTTTGTAGATGGTCAGACTCAGATGTCAAAGCAGCAACAAGAGGAGCAACAGCAACAGTCGCAGCAGCAGCAGCAGCAGCAGCCGCTGTCAGCTGCTTACAGTCAGCCACAACAACCCAAACAACAACAACCACAACAGCAACAACAAATTCATGCAGAAAACGAATCCATTGAGCGATATCCCCTTGCCTTAAAGATGATGTTCAACTATGACATACAAAGCAACGCCTTATCCATACTGCGCGCCATGTACAAGGAGACGGTGCCGGCACGTCAGCGTCGCATGAACGCCAGCGCCGAGGAATGGGAGAGGCTATTGCAGCATCAGACCGTTACGCTGCCACCGCATCCGAATGTCGTCTGTATGTTCGGTTTCTTTTGTGATGAGGTTCGCAACTTCCCCGAGGGCCACATACTGTATCCGATTGCGCAGCCGCAGCGCATCAATCCGCAGGGTTATGGCCGGAATATGTCGCTCTATTTGCTAATGAAGCGCTACGATTATAGCCTGCGCGGCCTTCTGGACACCACCGAGCTGAGCACGCGCACCAAAATCCTGCTGTTGGCCCAAATGCTGGAGGCCGTCACACATCTCAGTCGCCATGGCGTCGCCCATCGTGATCTTAAATCCGACAATGTCCTAATCGAGCTGCAGTCATCATCGCTCCATGATCAGTCTGCATCATCAGCGGCGCCACTTCTGGTGCTATCCGATTTTGGCTGCTGCCTGGCAGACAAGGTGCATGGACTGCGTTTGCCCTATGCAGCCAACGATATAGACAAAGGTGGCAATGCGGCACTGATGGCGCCCGAGATCTTCAATACACAGCCGGGACCGTTCGCCGTGCTCAACTACAGCAAGGCCGATTTGTGGGCGTGCGGCGCCCTAGCCTACGAGATCTTTGGCCAACCCAATCCCTTCTATTCGGCCAGCGCCGGCATGGCTCGCGCCAAAGGTGAGCTCACGTATTCGCTACGGAATAGCGACTATCGACATGAGCAGCTGCCGCCGCTATGCGACGACTGCCCGCCGCTGATGCAACAGCTCGTCTACAATATACTTAATCCAAATCCGTCGAAACGCGTCAGTCCCGACATAGCGGCCAACGTGATGCAACTGTTCCTCTGGGCACCATCCAAGTGGCTCAAGGCGGGCGGCATGCCCAGCAGCCCTGAGGTGAGCAATTCCTTAACCATGCAATTTATTCCCAATTCTCACAATTTTATTTATCCCATTTGCAGATCCTTCAGTGGCTTCTCTCCCTGACCACCAAGATCATGTGTGAGGGTCGTCCGCAGCATGGCCACAAGAGCAGCAGCAGCAGCAGCAGCAGCAGCGCCCCGTCCAGCGGTCGGCATGCCTATGTGGAGTATTTGCTAATCTGCAGCTTTCTGGTGCGTGCGCGACTGCGTCGCATTCGTGGCGCTCTCAATTGGATACAAAATGTGGTCGCTGCGTAAATCGTCGGCGTTCGATTTATTTGGTAGAATGGACATATTTATTGAAAAGGAACGTTGTTTACATCTTGTTATTCGCCGCGAGGTGAACGAAAAATCAAATGAAAAAATGAAAAAAAAAAAATAGATAAAGCGTGTGATACCTAATATATATATATATATGCATATATTGTTATGTATATATATAGATATATATATATATGCTTACATACATACATATTTTATAAAAATTACAAAATTAGCCGCATATAAAAAGAGAGGACGTTTTTTATTTTTAAATTTACATTAATGTAAATACTATTCGACATATACATACATATATGGTACAAACACGGTGTTATATATGACGGAGAGTGTAATTCCGTATCCTCTGGGTTAAGCTACATAGATCTATAATTGGGGGAACATTACTTAAGATTCAGTGTGGCCAAGAAGACGATCAATCCGAGGATATCCTGTGATTTATCCATATGCTCTTTGATATTATTGAAGTTCTTGTGTTCCGGAGAGATCTTCTCGAGCGAGATCTTTGATTTGTTTATCTCGATTATGATATAGGTGCCCCTGCTGAAGTCAATACAAAACAATGTCTTGAATGGATGGAGCATCTGGACTACGTTGCAGCCGAGATGGCAAAGTTTTTTACGTAGTATATCCATGTAGATGATCCAATACTTCTCGTCTAAAGTAAATAAATTGCATTTAGATACATACATGTATATAATAAAGAAATTTATATATCGCACCAATATTTTCGGCTTCGGCTTCTGACTTCTTCTCTTCAATTGCGACGTTCTTCAAGACAATTGCGAATTCATTTATGTTCTCGATGTTGTCTGAATCTGTTTCGTCAGAATTCATCTGCATTTCAATGTCGTTCATTGCTTTTGTGACTTCGGTAAGCGCCTTGTCCAACTTATAAAGTTCTTGTTCAACTTTTCCCAAAGTACATTTTTCAATAGTCATTTTGAAGAGAACAAATATAAACGTAAAGACGAACGCGCTGCTTTTGAGTGAAATAAACAAAAACGATAGCTTCCGATGTCAAACTGATTTATCGAGTCAGTATTTTTTGAATACTCATTCAAAGGGAATTGTAAAATAACGTAATAGTATTAATGACAAGTAGGATATGCGATTATTGACATCCTTTTTGACAAATAAATTTAATGTCATCATTAAAATCTTGCTTAGTCACTACTTACTCTTTGACACTTCACTAAACTGTTCTTATAAAAAGTTAACTAAACTCGTAGAAAATAGTAAACTCGAGGAACACCATTTATGTAAGTTAATAAATCCACTTAAAGTTGTTTTAACTAGGAATCTTAAAAAAAAAAATCCTATACATTTATATTAAAATCAAATGAAATCACTGTTCTTTGGTCAGTGATTAAATATAAACATATATTTATCATCCTCGAATTCTCTGCAGAGAATGTCGTCGAGTAGTCGTCGATAGTATTTTGTAAGGATAATTTATGCCTTTCTAAACAATTGATGTCTAAGGTCCACTAACATACTAACACAATCACATATATAATTTGGTCTCATTAATATGTATAATCTCATATACCATTTGGTATAAGGAGGCTCAGTTTCAGCAGTCTTGGAAAGCTGACAGTTGACCATACCATAATTGCATTTCATTGATATTGAAAATATTTTACAAACTATTTACAACTATTTTACATAAATGATTTGGATTTTATTTTTAAATGCATTCATAAATAACATTAATTACGTAGCAAATTTGGTGTCGACTTTGCTTACACACAGTTTATGGTCGTAAAAGGAGCAGGTGGCCATATGCAGGCTGTGAGTGTAGTCATCCGGTAATTCAAACTTATCGATATTTGGCGCCCAGTCGGCACCATAACAAATGCTCGAATGTTCCTCATAGCTGCCCATGAGACTTAGCGCCCCTTCCTTCAATTGCACGACACTAAAATTAGTGTACATGCATGCAGTGAGTATTAGATCGGACCGCTGTGGATGAGGCTTGAGCCGCCAAATGCCACCATTTAGATTCAGTTCGGCTAGGCTGCATTTCATTGCCCGCGTATCGAAAACACGCAACAGCTCATCGTAGCTGCCGGTGAGAAGTTGATGTTCGTTTTGTGGATGGCTGAGCAGACAGGTGACGCCAGCGCCATGCGCTCTATTTGTCCAGATGCGCTGCGGCTGCGCCTCGGTGCCGCTGCGCAAGTCGTAGGCATGCAGCAAACAGTCGTCGCCACCGCTGTAAACACGCTGCGGATTCCAGCGGTCAAAGGCGCATGTCCACGCTTCAAAGCCGTGTGCCTGCCAGGAGCAGAGCTTGCTCAATTCATCCTTTGCCGTATACTGCACCTGATGCACATTGCCCAGCGAGTCGGAGATTAGCAGCTGCAAGGCACCATCAGCATCTGCATCAGCACGTTGCCAATCGAGGGAGAGTGCCAGTGCCTTTGGCGTATTAAGCGTCGTTTCTTCGAGGGCCAGCTTGGCCCGCTGCTGCAGTCGTTGCTCTGCGTGCAACAGCTCATAGATCTCCACCTCACCCAGGGCATTCACTGTGGCCAGCAGCGGACCAGTGTCACAGCTCCAAGCTGGCAGCCACTTCATGTCTAATATGGCCGCCGTTTCGAGGCACTGCAGCCGCTCCAGTGCGTCATTCTGTCTGTCAAAGGCAAACAAATAGACACGACCCTTCCGTGGCCGTTGGCACTCAGCTTCAACTGCAGCTGTGCTGTTCTGCTCGGCCTCCACTAGCTGATAGGTGCCACAAGCAAAGTATTTCTGATGTGTTTCATCCTGTGAGCACCATTCCACTGAATCGGCCGAATATTCGGTGTCCACGTTGTGCAGTGTCGTAAACTGCATGGCTGTCAAAATAACAACAAACTGAAAAAACGCACTCTGGTCACACTGCAGCACAGCGATTGATTCAAATTGTTATCGATAGGCGCCACGTTCTTATTGCTCTTATTAGATTTATTTTCTTTGTTTTTCGCTACTTTAGAAAATTAATACGTACTTTCTACTTAGTGCTCGTTTCATGTTATGGGCTACAAATCATTATGAATTATTTAGGCTTAGTTGTTCACTTTCTTGCTTATTACATTACATACAAAAAAAAATGGGATTAGGCGGTCATGTAACAAAGACCGTTACACGTTCAAAAATGTTTACAAGTTCTAAGACCTATTTTATATGCAAATACATGGATTTCTCATGAGTTTTTTTTTTCGTTTTTGTAGTTTTCTTAATTTTTCTTTTTAGCTGCATAATTATATATATATATATGTATATATATAGTTAGAGTGCACGTATGTGTATGATTGTTGTTGTTTTGTTTGTTTGTTTGTTTTATTTGTGTGTCGGTGCGTTTCGTTACATTCTCCATTTACTCTTTTCTATTCTCACACACGATTTTGATGCTTTGTGTTTTTGGTTAGCCATGGACATATCTGATGGCATCTCTAATTGCTTTATACATATTAAGATGTATGTACAATGCACTTATTGCACTCTCGCTTTTCTCTTACTCTCCTACTCTCTTTCTCTCAGTTTCTCTCTAAAAGCTATTGCACTAACGTATCCTTAAGCTACGAATGTAAGTTTAAACATTTAAAATTTCATTCCAAAAAAGTTACAAATGTGTATATATATGCATATATATATATGTATATATATATATAGTTAGTTGTATATATATATATGTTTTTGTTTGTGTGTGTATGTGTAGTTTAGCATTTAAATATAGAACGCGCGCCTTAAGGATATCCTTTGTTTTTCTTGTTCGCTCTCTGTTTCTTTCGTTCGGTTTCACTTTGTACAAACGCGTTCAATACATACGAAGTATTTGTTATATATACGTATTTATATATATATATATATATATATAGCTACAAGAAATGTGGGCTGTGTATGTAAGGGGTGGGGGAGGGGTTTGGTTAGGGGGGGGCATGGCTGACCAGATGACATATTTGTGTATGTGTGTGTGTGTGTGTGTGTGTGTGTGTGTGTGGGTGTTCGTTGTCAACAACAATTTCTGCACGCTGCAGCGCCAACAATAGCCGAAATTATAGCTAGATTTATATATATAGATACATATAGCTGACATACATACATACATAGATAACTACACCACATATATATATATACATATCTAGCACTTAGTCAGCTCATTTTGGCGCTTTCGCGATACTCATTTGGTTTTCATAACAATTATTGGTTCGAGTATCTTTAGCATATCATTATTCTCAGGTGCGCCCGCTCCGTTGCCTCCTGCTCCGCCGGCAGCGCTGCTCGCACTGGTCGCCGTTGCCGCCTGCAGCTTGCTGTAGCTCTGCTGATGCTGATTGAGGCTGACCAGACGCTGCTGCTGCTGCTGTTGCTGATTGATGACGATTGCCTCGTGATGTGGCTGCTGCAGGAGGCTGCCCGTCATCTGATGTAGTTCGTGTTGCTGCTGCTGCTGCTGTTGTTGCTGCTGTTGCTGCTGTTGTTGCTGCTGCTGCTGCAATTGTTGAAGCTGCTTGTCCTGATCATCGGCATCGCCATCGTCCATCTGCGAGTCCGACTTCAGCACAAAACTATCCCCGCCATCCGTATCGTTGTCGTACAGCTGTTCCGTCGTATCATCCTCCGTCTTGCCATGGAACTCGGCGCTGGCGCTGCTGCTGGTGCGCGGCGTATGGCTGCGCATGCGACGCAGTCGGGCGTATTCCGCCTGCTTGGACAGCCGCTCCTTGCGCTCCTCATTGTTCTCGGTTGCACGGATCTGGGCACGCTTGAGACGCGCCCGTTCGCTCAGCTTCTGCAGGCGCACCGCTCGCTGCTCGGGCGATTCATTCGCACGCACCGCACGCTGATGCGCCGCCATTTTGTCCAGCCGAATGCGCTTCTCCTCCTCCGTCTCGTATTTGTTGGCGCCGCTGCGTCGCGGCGTGGCAGCGCCATTGCCATCTGCCGTGGAATGTGCATGATGCAAATGATGATGGCTTTGATGCAACGGCGGACGTCCGCGTCGTCCGCTTCCAATGCCCGAGCCCAAATGCGGTGCGGAGAGCATTTGATTCAACTCCTGCTCCAGCAGTGTGTTCGCCTTTAGGTGATCCTCGCTGGTCAACAGGCTAATCTTACGTGGACGACCTCGACCCATTTTTGGGAATTCGTGCAACAGTTGCTGTTGCTGCTGCTGCTGTTGTTGCTGCTGTTGCTGTTGTTGCTGCTGCTGTTGTTGCTGTTGTTGCTGCTGCTGCTGTTGCTGCTGCGGATCCTGCTGCTGCTGCTGCTGCTGGCCCAGTCCGGTGACAGTTAATGTAGGATTCGCACCGGTCGGCGCCGTCAGTATATTGTATTGACCCGGCGCCGTTGGACTGCTACCGCCGCTGGCATTGGCGAAATGCACAGGTGTAAACGGCGGCGGCACCGTATTCGGCCCGATGCCCAGCTGGAAGCCATTCGGATACATAGGATAGTAAGCAGTGGCACTGGCTGCCGCCGATCCATTGGCTGCACCGGCTGCACCGCCGCCGCCAGCCACCGTCACAGTGCCGCTCGCTCCGCTGCTATTGGCCGTCGCTGGAAATGTGGCCAGGTATGGTAGCTGATTGTAGAGCTGGGTCCCGGTTGTGGTTGAGGTTGTTGCTGCTGCTGCTGCTGCGGCGGCTGCGGCTGCAGCGGCCGCTGCTGATCCAGGCTTGAGCACCTTCTGCTGCTGCTGCTGCTCGGCGGCGGCCACAATCACCTTGGCCTCGTTCTGACCCAGTGTAACAGACCCGCTGTTATCGTTCGTCTCGCCAGACTGCAAACAGAAATGTTTATGGGTTTTTCAGGTTATGTGCGGCAAGTGAGGTTATGTTGAAGAAGTGATATACAAAAAAAAAAAAGAAACAAAAACTTTTCTCTCTCCCCTCTCTCTATTTCTCTGTATCACTATATCCTTTCTTCCTCTCTCTCAGCTATCTTGTTAAGTTGGCTGCGTCAGACTTATTTTTAATTTTGTATATATTATTATTATTATAGATATATGAAGTCACACAATCATCACAGATGCATATGAGTTCAAATGAATTTCTTACTGCTGCCAAACTAATCTATATCATTTTCAATAAGAATCCATTTTGAAAATTATGTGAAACATAACCTCTAAGGTGTATTTTTAAGACTATTAGAAGGATCTATTCTATATCTACATATAGAGTTTTTTATCTCTATATATACATATCCACTTAACATATTAGTGTGAGGGAGACTGCTAGACAAACATTCAGACAGACAGAGGCAAAGACGATGATTTCTAATTAGTTTTTTTTTTCCTTTTCGGAATGAATTGAAGACACATGTGGCATACATTTTGTGGACAATACACAACTTTGAGCTTTAATCGGCTTTTGGATTTTTTTTTTTTTTTTTTTCGTTTCTTTGTTTATTTACAAAAGAATTTGATATTTATACATTATAGTTAAATTATGTATCGAGGTTAGGTTTTGCCTCTTCTGCTTCTTCCATTCTTTTTCTGCTATGTACAGTAAAAGCTCTAATAACGAACTTGTATACATAAAGTAATTCACGCCGTTTCAATATGTCATAATAGAAATATATACAAAAAAATATTTTGTTGTTCCAAAAATTTGTTTAAAAAAAAAATAAATTAAAACTATTAAACCCTTTTTCGCCTGTACGCTCAATGTGTATTCCGATCGTAGTTATATATCTTCAATTGAATTCGAAGCAAAACAAAAAATCAAATATTTAATAAAAAACAGGGAAGAATTTTAAGGGTGAAAGAGCTCCCCATTTTTTTCGAGTTTCATTGTTTCTCTTCTCTTTCGTTTTACTAAGTGAAACAAAATTCAATGGAACACGAATACCAAGATAATTAGTACAACATTACTAAGGAAACTCGAAAGAGCTCTGTTCTTAGCTCTTTTGTTTTACTGGGTGAAACAAAATGAAATGAAACACAGGTACGACAACATTGAGAAAGCTCATAACTGTAGTTAGTTCTATTGTCTTTACATTTGCTTTTCTGAACTCTGTTGTTTTACTAAGCGCAAATAAAACTAAAAGGTAACATACAAAATATAAAAAAAAATTCTAAAGTTGTATTCATAATAAAGACTCAAAGCTTTGGCTTGAACTTCAGCCTCTCTACCCCTTCGCCTCCCTCTCCCGCTGTGTTCTTGTGCTTCAGTAGTTGTTTGTTTGTTCTTCTTGTTCTTTGTTCTTATTCATTTTCTTGCTGTTGTTGTTTAATTCCCGCCGCCCTGGCACTGCCTACGGCTGCATACGCACCTGAAGTTCCACCATATTGGCGTATTTCTGCTTATAGAACTCGAGCTGATTGGCAATGCTAAAGTGCGGGACATGCGCCTGCAGCAATTTACCGGTTTTGCCCGGCTCCTCGCCATAGATCTGTTGGACAAAGATGCTGCCCGCCTCGGCGGCTCCGCTGCCACCAGCAACGCCATCGATCAGCTGCTGGGCACCAAGGGAGTAGCGCGGCTGCTGCTGCTGCTGCAGTTGCTGTTGCTGCTGTTGTTGCTGCTGCTGTTGCTGTTGCTGATGCTGTTGCGGCTCCTGTTTCAGCTGCATCGTCGGTCGCGCTATAAACATATTCTGGCCCATATACTCGATGGCCTGATGCTGCTGATAGGCCGAGGCCGGTGCAGCTGTCACCAGATGCTGATCGTCGGCGGTAACAGTTGCTGCTGCCGCTGTTGTGGTGTTGCTGCTGCTGCTGCTTGTAGTGGTGGCATTGTTGGCAGGCGCTGATGAGACGTTTGCCTGATTTAAATTAATATTATGCTCATTATTACAATTGGCTGATTGGCCAGCTACGTTTGCAGCTGCGGCGGCGGCGGCAGCAGCGGCTGTTGCCACTGCTAGCACCTGCTGCTGCTGCTGCTGCTGCTGCTGTTGATGTTGCTGCTGCTGCTGTTGCTGCTGCTGCTGCTGAACGGTCAGTGTATTGGAATTGGTCGAATTGGTCGATGAAGACGACGACGAATTCTGAACATGCACCTGCACCTGTTTGTATATCTTTTTCTTTTCTCTGACCTTTTTCGCATAGTCGTTCAGCTTTCTCAGTCTTTCCTTCCGCTCCTCCGCCGACTCGCTGGCGATGCGCTGCCTGGCCCGGGCGGCCATCTCTGCCAGCCGTACCTTGCGCTGATCAGCCGTCTCGCTGGCCCGATACATGCGCATTCGTTCGGCCAGCTTGGCCAGGCGTTTGGATCGCTGATCCGGCGATTCCATGGCCCGTCGCAATCGTTGCCGGGCCGCATTGCGCACCAGCCGCATCGCCCGCTCCAAATCTGATTCATTCTGTCGCCGTTGGCGATTCGCTTCGGCGTTACGCATCAAACGTTTTCGATATTCGTCTTCACTTTCACGCTGACGTCTCTCGCGCATCCTCTCAGCATTGCGGGCCAACCGCCGTTGTCTCGCCTCTGGACTCTCGTTCCAGCGCTGCTGATGTTGATGATGATGGTGTGGTTGTTGTTGCTGCTGTTGTTGTTGTTGTTGCTGTTGGGGCTGCTGTTGCTGTTGTTGCGTATTGCTGTTGCTGACCGAGGAGGTGGGTCCCAGGGGTGTGGGTGGCGGCTGTTGCTTGAGCGAGAGCGGCTGTGTGTAAGCGGGTAATGTTATTTGCAATTGTTGCTGATGAAATTGTTGCTGCTGCAGATGATGCTGTTGCTGTTGCTGCTGTTGCTGAAACTGTTGCTGCTGTTGCTGTTGCTGCTGTTGCTGGTGCTGCTGCAATTGCAATTGTTGTTGCTGATGTGTCGATAGGGGTACCAACAGCGCTGACTGATGCTCGATAAGAAGGCGCGCATTTGGGCCATTTATTGCCAAAAGTGTTGCGTATTGTTGCTGCTGTTGCTGCTGCTGCTGGTGATGGTCAAGTGTTGGTTCGATCTTTATCCCATTGGGATCTGGTTCCATTATTTGGCAAAGCCTGAACAACAATCGAAATTGTCGTCAAATTATTTTCGCTACTGCTGCTGTTGCTGTTACTTGTGCTACGATCGATTAATGCAATGCCTCCTTTCCAGTCTGTTTTCCAGTCAATAAACAGCGATGATGCTCGTGTCCCCGTCCTTTTGCTGATATCGATAACTGTTGCTACGATTGCTATTGCTATTCTTGCTGTTGTTCTTGTTCTTGTTGTTGTTGGTCGGGCGACAATAACGCTGGCGTTTTGATCGCCGCATTTAACAGCCGTTCTCGTTTTGCTTGCGTTTGCGTTTGCCTTGCTTCTTGTTTCTCGTTTTTCGCTTTTGTTTTGTTTGCTGCTTCGCAGTTGGGGTTTTTGTTATATAAAATTTGCACCAGAATTATCGTTATCGTAAATCGCTATCGCTCTATACGCACGCACACATGTGTGTGCCAGTATCAGTATCTCTGTGTGTGTGTGTGTGTCTCTATATTGCTTTTTCTTTTGCTTCTTTTTTATTATTATTATTATTTTGTGCGTTTTCGTTTTAACAACTTTTGGCTGCTGCTGATGATGATATTCGCTCTCACACTCTCTCTGTCGTGCTCTCGGTTTTCTTTACCGTCGCTCTCTCGCAATCGGTGTGACTGTTGTTTCGGGTTGTGTTTTGCGCATCACCTTTTTCTTTTCCTTTTTTTAAATGTATTTATTTTTTTTTTTTTTTTTTTTTTGCTTGTCAATCAATTTGCAATATGCTTCTAAATGTTGACCGCTGCCGTTGACGCTGCCTCAGCTATTTTTCCTGGCTGCCAGGTCTTCCTCTTCTTCCTCTGCACATGCAAAAATGTCGGATGAACGAGTGGGGGGAGAAAAGAAATGAAAACAACAAAAATATTCATACAGATAGCAACAACAACAAATGGCATTCAAAACGTACGGTTTGGTTTGTGTCTCAACTAAACGAAATTGCGCACCTTTCACTGCGATTCTCGCCTAGACGCAACTATTCGTGATTTTTTCTCTTTTTCGTCTTATTTGTATTTTTTGTATTCAATGTTATTGTGCAAAAATGCCGTTGCGTGTTTGCGATTCGCTTTATTTTCGTTTTAGATTAGTTGACTGTATTTTTGTCTTCGTTTTCTTTCTTTTTTCTTTTTTTGGTGGCTACTTTTGGTGCGTGCGCACGTTTCTTCTTCTTGCTTGATAGTAAATGACAATTGGCGCCGCCACCGTTGCCGCTGGGCCGTTCCAATGACCATACGACTGACTGACTTCCAGTGCCTTCCAATCGATTTTTCACATGATTATACGCGCACATACACAGCCACATGCACACATTGGCTGCTTGGCTGGTTGGCTGGCACGCACATACAGACACATACACACACACGCACACACAGAGCTACGGCTACAGCAAACGGCGGTCTCTATTCATACATACATACACGTCGTGTCTGTCCGTATGCCGCACATACATACATATGTATATTGTATTTTATAAATATTTTGATGCCTTTTTCCACAATTGTTGCATCAGTTGCAATGCAATTCATATATTTAACACTTTGCCGCTCCAATTTGTCGGCATTTGTGAAACGCACACACACGCACACACACGCACACGAGTGCACTATAAATATGTTTGTATATTTATATATAGTTATATATATGTATGTATGTATATGCGTGTATATAAATATATTTAGTTTCCCATATTTCGGCTTTGCATTTAACAATTGTTCAATTTTCCCTATGCTTCACTTTTCTTCAATTGTTTTCAGTTTGTTTTCCCGAATGCTTAAAAAAACGCGCTAAAATTATCCGGCAAGTGAAATGCTCCGCCGTTTTCTGTACCAACGCACACAACAACACATTAAAAAATAAATACAACTGGAATGTTGGAAACTGGATGTGTAGGTGTGTGTATGTATACATGTAGCATCAGGCGATAAACGCGCCGCTGTCCAACAGCCCACAAGCAAAAAAAAAACTATCGAACATTGCGCGCAATTTCGATAGGCACGAAGGAAAAGTAGCTATGTAAGTGGGCGCGCACACTCAAAAAATATCGTTTCGTAATTATCCCAACTACAATTATTACGATTGCAATTTTGAAGATCGAAATAAAAAGGCGCTTTTCTTTTTAAAAATTGTGAATGCAACTTTATTCAAGTATTCATTTTGTTTTTCGTTTGCTTCTTGTGTTGGTTTTGAGTGTTGTTGTTGTTGTACATAGAATATTACAATTACATAAATTGTTTGTTTCATAATTTTACATCAAAACAATTTTCTTTTTCGGGGCACCGTTACAGTGGGGGAGTAATTCAAAAGAAAGAGAAAAAAACAATTTGAAATTTCGACTAGAACTTATATTATATATATATGTATATATATATATTTATAATTTATATTGTTGCCTTTAATTTTGTTTTGTTTATTACTTGTAGTTGACGGGCTAGGAAGGAGGGCGGGGAGGCGCTCAATGTTACTATAACAATATGCCATATACATATGTATATATGTAAATATATGTGAAAATGTATGCGTGTGTATGCATGCATGTTTGTGTGTGTTTGTAAATATCATACATAATCCCGTATGGATTATTTATGCACATGTCGCGGCACACACACACACACTGACAGGAGGCTGCTTATATTGAATGTTTGGAATTTGTTTTAATTTTCGCTTAGCTGTGCTTTTTTTCCTGTTGGTTTGTTAATTGCAAATATGAAACGTGGCAGCTTGCACAAATGATCGCCAGATGGCGCACCTGTTGCAGGCAGTGAAAAACAAAATGCCTATTGAAAGTGTATGTAGGTGAGTGTGTGTGTAAAATGCAATTAGAAGACAATTTTGGAGACTCACGCTGCAATTTGTCAGCAATGAGTCACCCTGTATGCAAACGTCTATGTGTATATGTGTGTGTGCATATGTGAGCTTGTGTGACTGTGTGTGTGCGTGTGTGTGTTCATATGGGGTTGAAGTTAATTTTGTTGCTTTTTGCATTTCGCTTTTTGGGGTTTGCTGTTGCTGTGCTGCTTCCACGAACACACATACCACACATACATATGTTTGTGGTGTGAGAGGTGCATACATTTACACATGACTGTGTATGTGTTTGTTTTCGCGTGTGTGTGTATCTATATATTATTCTGTGTTTGTGTATATATATAACTATTTCTATATATATGTACATACATACATGCACAAACATATGCATGGTTGTGTGTATGTATGTATGTATACACACACATATATATGTATGCATATACACATACATATGTACATTTACTGTAAGAATATAATGCATGCATTATAAAAATACTTTATTTTGTGTTTTTTTTTTTGTTTTTTTGTTTTTTGTTTTTATCCATATTCTTTTACTTCATTTTTGTTGTTGTTTTGTTAATGTTAACTTATAAAAAAAAAATTCTCACACTTATTTTTGCTGCCAAAAAAAGTGCCTCGTTTTTTTCTTCATTTCTTTTTAATATTATGGTTTTCTTCTTTTATATATGTATATATATATGTATATATATTATTTATATTTAAATTTTATGCGGCTGTTTTTCCTCTTCTGCTCAATTTACTTATTAATTTTTTTCTTCTTTTTCTCCTTTTTTTTAAAGTCAATTCTATGTCAATGTTATATGTTGTTTCCATTTGTTTTTTTTTATGTGTACATATATATTATTTATAGCTGTTATTTGTTGTTGTTGGTGTATATATTTATATATATGTATATATAATTCTGTTTCCTTCCTATATTCTTTGCTCGTGCTGCTCTGCTTATACACACACGTACACACATGCATAACAGCATATACATACATATGTAGCTATGCATATGTGCTTCTTCTTCTTCTTCTGATTGCTTCTGGTACTGCTTCTTCTTATGCTTTCTTCTGCATGCTGCAGCTACTGCTACTTCTTTTTTTTTGGCGTGTGTGTTTGCTTGCACATTTCTGATTAGATACCATTTGATTAGATTCTGTGTGTGTGTGTGTTTCTGTTTGTGTTTATGGATGTGTGTGCACTTTACTTGCTGAAGCCCGCTTCACAAGCTTCCAATGTTGCGCTCTGATTGGAGTAACGCGCCAGGCATATGCATGTGTGTGTGTATGTGTGTGTGTTTGTTTGTCTGATTGGGCTCTTTGTAGATTTGCTCTTTTTTGTTTTTAATAGCCCTTAAGGCGATCCTCGAGCGGCGGTTTAATCACCTTGGGCGCACTGGCCCTGGAGACGCGCATCCGTTCAGCTGCCTTGGCCAGGCGCTTCTTGCGCTCGTCACTTGATTCGCTGGCGCGCCGCAAACGCTGACGGGCGGCATTCTTCATCAGTCTTAAGGTTCTTTGTACTTCGTTTTCGTTTTGCCTGCGTACACGATTCGCCTCCGCATTTTTGGCCAAACGCAGGCGATATTCCGCTTCCGACTCCTTCGATCGTTTGTCCCGCATTCTCGCCGCGTTCCGTTCCAGACGCCGTTCCCGTGCCTCAATCGATTCGTTGCTGCGCCGCCGTGCCGCCTTCTGAGCCCGCGACGATTGGTGGCCAAGTGCGACGCCGGTGACAACGAGGCCGGTGGACAAATGCTGATGCAATGGATGCGGCTGCTGCTGCTGTTGCTGCTGCTGTGGATGTTGTTGCTGTTGCTGTGGATGTTGTTGCTGCTGCTGCTGTTGTGGATGTTGTTGTTGCTGCTGCTGCGGATGCTGTTGCGGAGGATGTTGCTGCTGTGCTGTATGCTGTTGCTGTTGTGTATGCTGCTGGAAGCTGTTGTCAGCGCCGCTGCCGCCGCCGCTATTGCGGGCGTTGCTGTTGGCGTTGTTGTTGCTGCTGGCTGAATTGTTGCCGCTGGCGGAGTTATTGTTGGCGCCGCTGTTGTTGCCACCGTTGTTGTTGTTCCCGTTACTGTTGTTGTTACCACTGTTGTTGGTGTTAACAGCAGCAGCAGCCGCCGCAGCAGCTGCAGCAGCAGCAACACCTGTACTCGCACTCGCCGCAGCAGCGGCCGCAACTGTCGTATAATTATTGTACTCAATTAAGCCTCGATTGCTTGGGTATAGATGATGCATGGGATTCTCATAGCTGAGATATTCCGGCTTTATGAAGAACGAATCGCGTGCCGTCAGCGGCGCCGTCGGCGAGTTGAGGAAGTATAAACGGCTATGATGATCTGTGGTAATGCTGCCTCCGCCGCCACCCACACCCGCGGACATCGGAGAGGGTGTTTAATTGTCGATGGCAAATGTATATATGTAGATATATCTTTGATGGCGCCCAAAAATTTTTGTGTAATTTCCTCTTCCTCCTCCGCACACGCACTCTCTCGCTTGTTTGCTCCGTCTTTCTCTCTCGCTCTCGCTCTCGCTTGCCGTATCGCTGAGTTCCGCTCTCTCTCTCTTGCCCTTCTCTCCCACACTCTGTTTTGCTGTATTTTCTAAAATTTATTTTTTTGCGTATTTTTTTTTTCGCGCGCGCAATACACACACACACACAAGTTGCAAAGACAGCTCGAAAAAACAATGTGGCGAGTAAACAACAAAAGCGACATATAACTAATCAATATGGAAAAAAAGAAACTTCCAAATTCTGATTGGAAGTCACAATTTCCACGATATACACGCACACACCGACGAACACGCATGCACCAAATAATTCGCATGGAAGTGCTGTTTACTCATTTTGGCTCTGTTATGCTCAACGCTGACTTCCAGTTGTTGGCGTATGTTGCTTGTTAAAGGTGTTGCGGGGCGAGCGGCACTGCTTTATTCCAATTGTCAAAAGATAGCCGGCACGGTTGCAGAGCAACACACACAGGGCTGTAATTGTAAACACAAATCGATAACAAATATTTTCAAATATATTTATAATCAGTTATGAAGAATTACACTTTTATTATGATTCTTAAACATATATTATTATGGAAATTATAATTTAATTATAAGTGCATCATTTATGAATACATTAAATCATCTTGTTGGTTTTATTAAATTTTCTAAAAATATATTTTTAATATATTAAATTTCGCCCTGCATATCTGAATTTTAAGTTATTTGTTTAATATCTTTTGTAAGAATTTCAATTTTCATAAATTAATTATTTTTAACATAAAGCTGTTAAAATTTACTATCGCTGGTGCGGCATCGTGTCGAATCGAGCATTACTTACATATCGATACACAGATTTTGTGGTGTAAACATCACCAACTGAGCTTAAACGAACTTAACATGTAAGTGCTGTAAGAATGCGGTAACATGTAAAGTTCGTAACAGTATTTTTATTGGATAGGTACCCCAAGAGCAAGTGGCTGCGTTGACGTCACAAGCCACTTGTATTGTCGATAAAATTTTTAATAATAAAAATTTATAGCTAACGATATACACCATTTATTGTTGAATAAAAACTAAGAAAACAAGTATGAGCATTAATAAGCTATTTACCTTTTTATCATATGTTACTCGTGGGCTTAGCAATCGTGACGTCACTATCTGCACATGCTTCGCACTCTCAGAGCGCGCTGCTTAACTGCTTAGGGCAACGTTCCACCTTGTCAGTGCATTTGTCATGTGCTGATGTTTTTGGTGTTGGGTTTTTTATTTTTGATTCTTTTGTTTTGTCTTGTCAGATATTTGCCGTGAGCGGACGTCTTATGTTTAGTGCTGCGCTGCGTCGCAGTTTGCGTAAATTGACTTCAAAACAACTGAACATAACTGTAATCAGCAACAGCGCATTTTTTTGAATTGTGTTTAAAACCGTTTGTCAATGCGAATTGTGAAAATTCATTCATTCATTCATTAGTGACAAGTTTGTGTTCATTAAGTATATTTATTTAAATAAAATCAATTGTTTTTTTTTACTGTTTTTTTTTTTTATTGCAAACAAAATGTGAAATTCGGCAAAGTGCAGGTGCAAAAAATGTAGAAATTATTAATGAAAAGAACAAATTCAACCAAATTTATGTAAGCACCTTAAAGAATAATGGCATATAACATAAATTTTAATATATGAATATCAATACATGCATACTTACACACATACATAAATACAATACGAAACGAACATGAACAATAAAAGGCAACTTTACACATTCCAATTTGATTCTCTGCTTGTGTGAAAAACTAATAAGTAAAAAGAAACGGAGAAGTAGCAGCAGCAGCGGCAACAACAATACAACTAATAATAATAATAACAATAACAACAACAACAATAGTACCAGCAGCAGCGTCGGCAGCGGCAGCAGCATAGGCACGGCAAAGTAGTAGTAGAAGAAAATAAATAGCAATTTCGACTAAATAAAGGTATGTATGTATTTAATATATGCGCGCTAGTATATGTGTGTGTTACGTTTACTTTACATACAAACACTATATTGAGTTATAGATATAACTGCCTGTCTGTGTGAGTGTGTGCATATTTCGTTATTAGTTTAACTCTTCAATTTATTTATTGTTATTATTACTGCCATCGTTTGTATGTATGTGTGCGTGAGTTTGTGTATGTGCTGTTGCTGCTGCTGCCGCCTGTCGTATTTGTATCTTTCTGTCTCTTTCGCTAGTTCTTATTGTTGTTTGCCATTAACTATGCTCACTTGAGCTGAGCCACTGGAATAGTTACGTTAAATCATTGCGTGTGTGTGTGTTTGTTTGTGATTTAGCTTGCGGCAGAGATTACGTTGATAATGCCAAGAGTATTTCTTTTTTTTCTGTGTGTGTGCATGTATTTATTTATTGTTCTCATAGATATTTATACACCCAGGGAGAGAGAGAGAGAGGGAAAGAGATAGAAATGCATATGCATGTATAAATTAAATTAAGTTTAATAATTGCTGTAAATTTTCAATTGCGAATCAATTTGATATACAATTCTACCAGCTCTTATATTTTTCGCATTTTCTCTCTTCTTTTTTAGCATTTCTTTTTTGAGTCTTGTTTCAGTTTAATGACCTCGCATTTTCATGCTTCTTGTAGCTAATAACTTTCTTACATTGCGCCATTTTGTCACGTCTTTAAATCTAACGAGTACACACACACACACACACACACACACACACACACACACACACACACACACACACACACACACACAGGCATATTGACATTTAGGCTAGGCATATGCATCGATTAATATAATCGATTAATCAGGCGCAGCCGTCAGCGCATATCTAATGCCAGCAATTGGAATCCATTGGAATGCATGTGTGAGGGTGAAAGAGACAGATTTAATAAGATTACCTTTGCTGTTGTGGCTTTTCTTTCCTTCTGTTTTAGGTTTGCGCTGTCATCCCAATTGCAAATCTAGTTGGGCCGATAAGAGTGCAGCCGCTGTAAAAGGCGCACGCTCAAAGGCATTTTCAGCATCTTTTAATGATCCTTTGCCCTGCCTTTGTCTGGCTGCCAGCAGCAGCAAAAAATATCGCTTGGCATTTTACGACACATGCAAAACTTGCTATTTAACATAACCATATCCATTTCCAGACTCTGCCTCACAAATACACACGTGCACATGCATACCAGCATACATACATAGATGTAACAGAGTATCATTAAATGCAGATCTCTATAAAAGCATAAAAATACATTGTTGTTGTTGTTATTGCTGTGGTTATTGCGTTCGCTTCAAAACGAAACCAAAACCGAACCAAGCCAAAGCCAACAACAACGGCAACTACCTATGCACATGCATACATTCACAAACATGCATACTCACACACTCACTCACTCACACGCACACATGCATACATAGCCATAGCAGCAATCCATAATAATCTTCCCGTAATTTATAGTCCAAGACAATTTATGTAATTTACAAATACCAAAAATGAAAGAGACAGCAAATTGACGGAATGTGCACGAATGAGCGGGTGAGAGCGAACGAGCAAAGCAAACGTTGAGAGCGCAATGCAACTGCAACTAACGATAATAACAATAACTGAAAAAAATATACGCAACAACAGCAACGACAGTGTACTAAATAAACAATTCAACAAATTTGATCCGAGGCGAGCACACACACATATACGTATGCATATACACACACGCATACATACATAGACGAAATAAAAAAACATCGTCGACTCGCACACGCATATCAAAATGCATATGAAAAAAAAAGAAAGAAAAATATGTGTAAGAAAACGTATAAAACAACAACAGTAAGTGCAGCAGCAGCAGCAGCGCTGCAAAAACGGCTCAACTGAGCTGGCTTGTCGGTAGGGCAGGGGGCGGGTGGGCGCATTCAAACAAACAGCAACGCTGACAGTGACTGCGGCGGCAACTGAGACGGCGACAGCAACGGCGACGGCAGCGCGTATACAGAAAATGTCGTTTATTTTTGTTTTTGCTTCTCAAGTTTTGTGAACGCATAAAATAACAAGTAGAAGAAAAGGAAAAAGAAGTAGTCATAGTAGGAGCCATAGCAATAATGCATCACAACGAAGCACAGGTACACTAAAAATAAATAAAAAAAAAAAAAAAATTAAAAAAAAACCCAACAAATATATTATATTTAGTTTGTTATGAAAATAAAGAAAATAAACATGAGATAAGATCTAAGTAACTTTTTCTCTATACATAGCTTATCAGCGTGCATGTCAAAGTGATTGTACACACTCGTAGCTCAGAAGAGTATACACCAAAGGTAGCATTACAACAACAACAACGTAAATAACTAGAGAAAAATTATAAAACTTGCACAAATACTAGCGCAGAAAGACACTGACACATAGAAACAGAGAGCGATGCAGACAGCCAGGCTCATGCACTCGCACACACACACATACAAACCCATGCGGTAATTGCATTTATTACACTCTTGCGCTCTCTTTTCTTTGCGCCAAGTCTCTTTTAGTTGCGCTCTGCGTTTGGTCCCGCTCCCGCTCTCGCTAAGAACGAACTGCAGCAAATAAAGTAATAACTTCTTAGATAAAGCATCAAATGTGTTTTGTTTTCTTCTATCTTCTTTTGACTTTCTATGTATGTTTTCAACATTATTGTTGTTATTGTTGTTGTTGGTACTGCCTGAAAGGGCATTCGTGTTGCGACTTTCGTGCGAATGCGAATGCGAATGCTTTTGCTTGCGGTTTAAAACTTTGCATTGCGTTGCATTAATGATGTTGAAGATGACGAAGACGATGACGATGATGATGATGATGATGATGATAATGATGTTGATGGGGCTGAGAACTGGGTGTAGAGTTATACAAAGCCAAGCACTTACACATATACACACAAACAGTTGCATTCATACATACATACATATATAGCAACATAGGTGAGAGGACTTGCTGGTTTGGCATCATTTATGGCGCTGCCTGGACTGTTGCCCGCCCCTCTCCGCCTATCGTACGCTCGCTCTCTTCGATTACCGTCCCCTGCGCTTCGCCTTCAGAACACAAACTCGTCTATGCGAATGCTTTTGTTGTTGCTTTGCTTTTTATGCGCTTTATTCTGTTCCCAGTTTTCAGTTCTCAGTTCCCAGTTCTTAGCTCCCACTTCTCACTTCTGAGTTGTCGCTCTGTGCGCTTATCTTTACTGCTCTTGCCGTTGCCGTTGCCGTTGCCATTGCCAAGTTTTTGTCTAGTTTTGGTTTTTCTCGTTCCTTTTCTTTCAACTTTGTCTTGCGTCTCGCTCTGACGCTTTACCACATTTGCGTGTTCCTGTAGCGCTCTCCTTGAGTCTTCTACCTTCCTTCGAGCACACACACCCACCGCCCACACGCATCTTAGCTTGTTTCTTTCAATTTCGCATACCCAGTTTCTTACCAGAGTCAAGGAATGGGGTACATTGACTTTGGGATTTTAGTTTGTTTGCTCAGATTTGTGACAGTAACTTTATTGGTATGTGAAATATCACAAATATATGATTGTTCAGTAATAAATGTAGCACTAAATACATCAATAAATGAAATTTTAAAATTTAAAATATGTATGATCAGAAATATATAGAATATATAATTATATATCTTTATATTGTAAATATTTCTGATTATTATTATTATTTATTTATTTAGTTCCATTTGATTGTTCAGTAATATTTATGATTAGTTGATATTTTCCTTTCATACAAACACAATATAGATTTAGATCTTATTATAGGGTATTTCGTTAGTCCCACAATCAGCTGCTCGTTAAATTTGCTTTGCTTTTTTGTGTTTTTGTTGTTTTTTTTTTTTTTTTTTTTTTCTTTGTGCAACTTTAACTAATGCTTCTTCTTCTTCATTTGCTGCTACTTCTACTTCATCCCATTTGATGTGCCTTGCCTTGCCTTGCCTTGCTCACATCCTCTACGTGGGCATCATCATCATTATCGTTGGATTTATCATAATCGTCATTATCGGCAGTTGTTTATTTTTGCGACTTGCTTTAGCGCATTCCTTTGCCCCCAACTTAGGTACACGATATTAATCTATATACACGCACATACATATGCATATGCATATGCATGTGTATGTATGTGTGTATCTTTGTGTTAATGCAGCTCTCTCGTTCTGTTTCACTGTATCGCTCTCCTTCTGGCCGTCTGTTCCTTTCTCTAATTCCCATTATTCAATTTGCATTTGTGGATATATCCATTTTCGATTTCTGTGAATTTCGCAATAATTTTGTTCGCGAAACAGAAGCCGTTACTTATTTTTGTATATTCTGTTACCTTATGTACTACGCGGAAAATGTTTACACAATTTGGTGCAAGTGCCACCAATCAAGCGATTAAATATCATTCAATATGTATACAAATATTGTAGATGTTTAGATATATGTATATGTATGTATGTATGTATGTATGTATGTTTATAGAGCATATTGCTTACGGTGCAAAAATTGTATCTTTCAATAACATGCGTAGGTTTCACTTGTCTATTTGATACTTGTATACATATGTAGATAGATATATTTATATATATAGAGATATCTTTATATTGGATACTTGAATATACAGATGTAGACATATTTGTATATACAGAGATATCTCCATATACGTGTTTACATTATTTTAAAGTCAACTCCGTTTTTATACAGTTATGTGAGATCTGAATGATGTGCACTATTGAGTCAACATTTCGATAGATCGAACCACTTTGCTTACCAGAGCTAAAGCACTTTAAAGTCATTCGACTG